TGATAAGCGTAGTGATAAGGGTTGGGGAAGTGATATGGGTAGTGATATGGGTAGTGATAAGGGTTGGGGTAGTGATAGGGGCAGTGATAAGGGTTGGGGTAGTGATATGGGTAGTGATATGGGTAGTGATAGGGGTTGAGATAGTGATATGGGTTGGGGTAGTGATAGGGGTAATGATAGTGATTGGGGTAGTGATAGGGGTTGGGGTAGTGATAGGGGTTGGGGTAGTGATAGGGGTTGGGGTAGTGATAGGGGTAGTGATAGGGGTTGGGGTAGTGATAGGGGTAGTGATAAGGGTTGGGGTAGTGATAGGGGTAGTGATATGGGCAGTGATAGTGGTTCGAGTCGTATCTGCCCGTAGCTGAAGGCGGGGCAGGCAGTAGCAGCAGCAGCAGCAGGATGATGATGATGGGCAAGGGAAGTCAATCGAGATGGGGGGCTGTTCCAACCGCACCTCTAATTCGCACGGCTAACTACGTACGGTGCAAAAGAAGTCCAACACACATACACGCGCGCGAGCAACGCATCCTTCCCATCCTCCTCATCATCATCAGCAGCAGCATCAGCAGCAGCATCATCAGCAGCTACAGCAACATCATCGCCCCGGGATCCACAGCCTCCTCCACCCCCAGGTCGCCGCCGCCAGTCGTCCCGCGGGTCTCGCTGCGCCCTCTGCCTCCTCCTCGGCGTCCTCATGGACGCGGCTGGAGTGGCGCTGCTCGCGGCCGGCTCCCTCGTGCCGCCACTCGCCCCCTACGAGGACGCGCTGCTACTGAGCGGCGCGGCGCTCCTCGTCGCCAGCCTCGCAGCGTGGGTCGCGTGGATCGAGGGCATCGCGAACATAGCCCCCCCCCCTCCACTAGCCCCCATAGCCCCTCCCCTCCACTAGCCCCCCTAGCCCCTCCCCTCTACTAGCCCCTCCCCTCTACTAGCCCCTCCCCTCTACTAGCCCCTCCCCCCCCTGTAGCCCCTCCCCTCCTGTAGCCCCTCCCCTCCTCTAGCCCCTCCCCTCCTCTAGCCCCTCCCCTCTACTAGCCCCTCCCCCCCTGTAGCCCCTCCCCTCCTGTAGCCCCTCCCCTCCACTAGCCCCTCCCCTCCACTAGCCCCCTAGCCCCTCCCCCCCTGTAGCCCCTCCCCTCCACTAGCCCCTCCCCTCCTGTAGCCCCTCCCCTCCTGTAGCCCTTCCCTCCTCTAGCCCCTGTAGCCCCTCCCCTCCTGTAGCCCCTCCCCTCCACTAGCCCCTCCCCTCCTGTAGCCCCTCCCCTCCTGTAGCCCCTCCCCTCCTCTAGCCCCTGTAGCCCTCCCCTCCTGTAGCCCCTCCCCTCCTGTAGCCCCTCCCCTCCTCTAGCCCCTCCCCTCCTCTAGCCCCTGTAGCCCCTCCCCTCCTGTAGCCCCTCCCCTCCACTAGCCCCTCCCCCCCTCTACTAGCCCCTCCCCCTCCTCTACTAGCCCCTCCCCTCCTGTAGCCCCTCCCTTCCTCTAGCCCCTCCCCTCCTCTAGCCCCTCCCCTCTACTAGCCCCTCCCCCCCCCCTGTAGCCCCTCCCCTCCTGTAGCCCCTCCCCTCCACTAGCCCCTCCCCTCCACTAGCCCCCTAGCCCCTCCCCCCCTGTAGCCCCTCCCCTCCACTAGCCCTCCCCTCCTGTAGCCCCTCCCTTCCTGTAGCCCCTCCCCTCCTCTAGCCCCTGTAGCCCCTCCCCTCCTGTAGCCCCTCCCCTCCTGTAGCCCCTCCCCTCCTCTAGCCCCTCCCCTCCTGTAGCCCCTCCCCTCCTGTAGCCCCTCCCCTCCTGTAGCCCCTCCCCTCCTCTAGCCCCTGTAGCCCCTCCCCTCCTGTAGCCCCTCCCCTCCACTAGCCCCTCCCCCCCTCTACTAGCCCCTCCCCTCCTGTAGCCCCTCCCCTCATCTAGCCCCTCCCCTCCTGTAGCCCCTCCCCTCTACTAGCCCCTCCCCTCCACTAGCCCCTCCCCTCCACTAGCCCCTCCCCTCCACTAGCCCCTCCCCTCCTGTAGCCCCTCCCCTCCTGTAGCCCCTCCCCCCCTCTACTAGCCCCTCCCCTCCTCTAGCCCCCCTAGCCCCTCCCCTCCTGTAGCCCCTCCCCTCTACTAGCCCCTCCTCCCCTCTAGCCCCTCCCCTCCACTAGCCCCCTAGCCCCTCCCCTCCTGTAGCCCCTCCCCTCCTGTAGCCCTTCCCCTCCTGTAGCCCCTCCCTTCTACTAGCCCCTACTCCCCTCTAGCCCCTCCCCTCCACTAGCCCCTCCCCTCCTGTAGCCCCTCCCCTCTACTAGCCCCCCTAGCCCCTCCCCTCCTGTAGCCCCTCCCCTCTACTAGCCCCTCCCCTCCTGTAGCCCCCCTAGCCCTCACTCACCTCCCTCTAATCCCACTCAGCCCCTCCCTCACCCCCCCCCCAGCCCCCTCCCTCACCTCCCTAACACCCGCTCAGCCCCCTCCCTCACCTCCCTGCAACCCCCTCCCTCACCCCCCCAGCCCCCTCCCTCACCTCCCTAACACCCGCTCAGCCCCCTCCCTCACCTCCCTGCAACCCCCTCCCTCACCCCCCCCAGCCCCCTCCCTCACCTCCCTAACACCCGCTCAGCCCCCTCCCTCACCTCCCTAAACCCCCCTCAAGCCCCCTCCCTCACCTCCCTAACCCCCCCTCAGCCCCCTCCCTCACCTCCCTAACACCCCCTCAGCCCCCTCCCTCACCTCCCTAACCCCCCCTCAGCCCCCTCCCTCACCTCCCTAACCCCCCGTCAGCCCCCTCCCTCATCCCCCTCAGCCCCCTCCCTCACCTCCCTAACCCCCCCTCATCCCCCTCCCTCACCTCCCTAACCCCCCCTCAGCCCCCTCCCCCACCTCCCTAACCCCCCGTCAGCCCCCTCCCTCACCTCCCTAACCCCCCCTCAGCCCCCTCCCTCATCCCCCTCAGCCCCCTCCTTCACCTCCCTAACCCCCCCTCATCCCCCTCCCTCACCTCCCTAACCCCCCCTCAGCCCCCCTCCCCCACCTCCCTAACACCCCCTCAGCCCCCTCCCTCACCTCCCTAACCCCCCCTCAGCCCCCTCCCTCACCTCCCTAACCCCCCCTCAGCCCCCTCCCCCACCTCCCTAACACCCCCCTCAGCCCCCTCCCTCACCTCCCTAACCCCCCCCTCAGCCCCCTCCCTCACCTCCCTAACCCCCCCTCAGCCCCCTCCCCCACCTCCCTAACACCCCCTCAGCCCCCTCCCTCACCTCCCTCCAACCCCCCTCAGCCCCCTCCCTCACCTCCCTAACCCCCCCTCATCCCCCTCCCTCATCCCCTCACCCCCCCTCAGCCCCTCTCCCTCACCTCCCTAACCCCCCCTCAGCCCCCTCCCTCACCTCCCTAAACCCCCCTCAGCCCCCTCCCTCACCTCCCTAACCCCCCTCAGCCCCCTCCCTCACCTCCCTAACCCCCCCTCAGGCCCCCTCCCTCACCTCCCTAACCCCCCCTCAGCCCCCCTCCCTCACCTCCCTAACCCCCCTCAGCCCCCTCCCTCACCTCCCTAAAACCCCCCCTCAGCCCCCTCCCTCACCTCCCTAACCCCCCCTCAAAGCCCCCTCCCTCACCTCCCTAACCCCCCTTCAGCCCCCTCCCTCACCTCCCTAACCCCCCCCTCAGCCCCCTCCCTCACCTCCCTAACCCCCCTCAGCCCACCTCCCTCACCTCCCTCACCCCCCCTCACCCCCCTCATCCCCCTCCCTCACCTCCCTAACCCCCCCTCAGCCCCCTCCCTCACCTCCCTAACCCCCCCTCAGCCCCCTCCCTCACCTCCCTCACCCCCCTCATCCCCCTCCCTCACCTCCCTAACCCCCCCTCAGCCCCCTCCCTCACCTCCCTAACCCCCCCTCAGCCCCCTCCCTCACCTCCCTAACCCCCCCTCAGCCCCCTCCCTCACCTCCCTCACCCCCCTCACCCCCTCCCTCACCTCCCTAACCCCCCCTCACCCCCTCCCTCACCTCCCTCCAGCCCCCGGGTCCGCCGAGTCGCGCCACGCGACGCGGGAACCCGCAAACCGCCGCCCTCCATCAGAAATCCGCGGCAGTTCCAACGCACCTGCCCTGGGCGCTGCCTGGGATCCCCTGGCATTGGGGGCATGATGATCATCAAATCCACGTCTTTCCTGGCGGCCCTTACACGACAATCGTGGAAATTCCTCATTACCAAGACGAGGGCGAGTCAGGCCAAGAGAACAACCACTGTTGCGCCTAGATTTTTATTTTTATTATCGAATTTACCTCCCAAAACAATGGGAGGCTTGTTGGTGATTTTAAGACGATGAGAGTTAATAGGATATATTGATACGATTATAATTATTGATAATGCTGTGCTAATTCTTGCTAGTTGCGCGAGTGATCGCCTGGGAGATGTTAACTCCCTCGCCTGGTGTGCAGGAGGTCGTAGGTTCGATCCCGAAACCTGACGCCTGTACACAGTATTTTAGAGTGTGCGTGTCTCTCTCCCCGTGGTCGCGTGGATTTTTATCCGGGTTCAGTCGGCTCTTCCCTCTAAGTTTAGAAACAACATCACGCATTCATAGTATTCGGCTGCCACAAATGTCCATCGGATGATAAGCCACTTTCGTTGAGCTATCGTTTGTGCGAGCCAGCTCGCTTCTGGAAAATCTACTGTGGTTCAGTGGGCTTTCGTACCTGGTAAAATAAAAAATAAAATAAAAGGTTCGGATTATATTGCATTATATCGGATTATATTGCATTATATCGAATTATATTGCATTATATCGAATATATTGCATTATATCGAGTTATATTGGCCCTCGGAGGCTTCCGCGGATGTTTTTTAATCGCCCTGAGTCGTGGGAGGAGCTTCCCAGAGGGGTTTAAAGGGCCGCCGCTGGCAGCATTGACACGCGGTGCACCCACTCTGCATCGACACCATCACACTAACAACATATATGTAACATACTTACATATACATACACACATATATACACACGTATATACACACATATACATACACACACATATACACACAATTACATACACACATACTCATCTTCACACACACACTTTCCTACACATACGCATACATACACGAACACCCATACGTGTACTATCTTATGCATATACAAACTTACACACGCATACACAGATAGTACACCTATTAAGGCCGACACACACAACAACAATCGCCATTCGCCACTAAGTGGCGTTGACATCACCACGACACACACAAGCACACGCGCACACACACAAAGACACATACATAGATACACACATGCACACTCGCGCACACACATACACACCACAAGCACACACGCACAGGCGAATACAAATATCCCCCATATAGCCTTTTGAAATACTGTTGATGCTGTTAGCGAGTGCCTATATGCACAGGCACACATACGTACACAAAGACAAACACACATAAACACACAGGTACACATACATACACACTCGCACACATACACGCACACATACACACGGTCACCATGGCGTGTAATAGACGCTATACGGCAATCGAAGCGCTCGGACCTCATCCTGGATCGAACCTACGACGGGGGAGCGAGTTCCCAAACGCGGCTGCGATGCAGACCCCCCAGACAGCGTTGCCGCTCCGGGGATTCATCGGAGGCTCGGCACGGCGTGGGAAGCTGCACGAACTCGCAAGTGAGTGCAGCTGTGGAGGAAGCAATCACAGCATCAGCCTCGTCACATGGCATATCGATCTATCGATTCATCTGCGGGCGGCGGTGGCCATGCGGTACGCGTGGCTCCCTGTCAGAGCCCCTCCCTGGGGTACGCGAGAATTTGTGGCGACCGCCCCGTTCCCCGCGCATTGGGGGGCCGCTGCCCACGCTTCAACGTCACTGTGTCAGGCGTGATAGTTCTGGATTTGTTTGAAGGCGCCGGGGGTGGAGGGGGGGACACACGGTGTGATTTAAACTAATTTAGAAAACTAAAACGTTTATATTATTGGTTCATTCGGTAAAGTCACGTAGAAGGGAAATAATAAAATAATAAATATATAAAACAATTAAATTCTCACGACGTTTAGACTGCAACACAAGCAGTCATCATCAGGTGTGAAATCCGCAGCAAGAAATTTTGAATAAACCGCCAATTTTTAATTTTCTTGCAGTGGATTTCACACCTGATGATGATTGCTTGTGTTGCAGGCGAAACGTCGTGATAATTTTATTGTTTATATTTTTATTATTTTATTATTTCCCTTCTACGTGACTTTACCGAAAGAACCAAGAATATGAATCCCTGCAGTCACGAAAGCTTTAAATCAAAAGGTGTGTAGCTCTTTTTCAAAAGCGACCTGTGCCACAAATGTTAGCTCAACGAAGTGGGCTTATCATCATACGGACATTAAAGCAGCCAAATACTCTAAACGCGTGATGATGATTCTAAATGTGGAGGGAGAAACCCGGAGGACCCGGAGAAAAATCCACGCGACCACGGAGAGAGAGAGAGAGACGCAAACTCCAAATATACAGCAGCAGCAGCAGGCGTCAGGGGTCGGGATCGAACCCACGACCTCCTGCACACCAGGCGAGGGAGTTAACATCTCGTCACCCTTAATTCTAGATTTGAAGCTTTCGTGACTGCAAGGATTCATACTCTTAGTTCTTTCGGTAAAGTCACGTAGGTAAAAAATTTAATGAAAATTATGAATTTTAAATTATTATTTTTAATTTATTTTTTTACCTATCACGTAGGTAAAACATTTAATTAAAATTAATCATTTTAATTAATTTTTTACCTACGTCACTTTACCGAAAGAACTAAGAGTATATATCGTCACCCACCTCCACTTTGCAATTGCTACCCCCGTCAGGTGGCACACGTGGGCGACGATGATGATCACCACGACGACGACGACGAGGAGGATGAATCGGAGGGGCTGTGTCGACGCCGCGGCCACTGCCGCGTTCTCGCCCGGCGCTTGAACGCGCAGCGCTCGTCGGGCAGGCCGCTGTGCGACGTCTCCCTGCGGATGGGGGGTCACGTGGCCCACGCACACCGGGGGCTCCTGGCCGCCGTGTCCCCTTACTTCCGAGCCATGTTCGCCGGTAATGTAGTGGCGGTGACGACGGTGCTGGTTGTAGTGGTTGTCGGTGGTGTTGGTGGTTCCGGTGGTGGTGTGGGTGGTGGTGGGGCCGGTGGTGTTGGTGTTGGTGGTGTTGGTGGTGGTGACAGTGGGGCCGGTGGTGTTGGTGGTATTGGTGATGGCGCCGGTGGTGGTACCGGTGGTGGTGTCGGTGTTGGTGGTGTTGGTGACGGTGGTGGTGCTGGTGGTGTCGGTGGTAGTGGTATTGGTGGTGTTGGTGGTGCTGGTGGTGCCGGTGGTGGTGTCGGTGTCGATGGTGGTGGTAGTGATAATAACACAGCGGGGCGGAAAAGGGAATTTTTTGCCAAATATTGGTGTAAAAAATAACAATTTGCAAGGAAGCAGTTTTCCCCACCAATTTTAGGCAAACACTGTCTGTCTCACCTCTTTTCCACTGCCACAACCGAGCCGCGCCGGTGCCGTGTTGCTACGTGTGGGAGAAAACCAGAGCACCAGGAGAAACCGCACGCGTGCGATGGGGAAACGCTCTATCCCACGCAGACAGAAGAGGTGGAATTCCACATTTAGTTTTGCTGTATCGCCATCTCCTGGCAGAGCCAGGCAGAGCCAGGAGATGGCGCCTCCTCGACATCCACCCAGGGCAAGGGAGTTTCACAACCATCTGTGCCGTGACCCACCAACCCTCGCCTCCACGTGCGTCATAGCGCAATGGCGACTTGTGGTGTTTTTTTATATCGAACAAGGAAATCGATCCTAGAAAATAAGTATAACCAGTAAAAACAAAGTTTTTCACTATAAATCCTTTATATGCGTGGCGGCTAGAGTCCTCTCGTCCTCTGGCTTGAGATGGCTGCCACCTATGGGTCAGATGATTGCATTGCACCATTAAGCAATTGGTAATTAAATATAATATTTTTGTCCTAAAAAGTGTAAAATTTAGGGAAAAAAATTTCACGAACATTAATTGTCACGCACAACGAGTCTGTGTGGAAAATGTTAGCTCGATTGGATCACGGGAAGTGGGTTAAAAAACGACCGAAAGATTTGCACGGTCGTAAGCAAGCAAGCAAGCACGCAAGCAAGTGAACTTAATATAAAGGATTTAAAAAAGACGTCACGAAAACAGCCGAAAGTGTCCCGACAGCCTGACCACAGTTCACAATCAAGGTTTTGGGGTTAGATCGCCTAAGTATAACTGTGTGTTGGAGAGTAAATCCACAACATTTACAATTTGAGTAGTATGACGTTTCGCTGGTTATTACATCCAGCATCATCGGGCGATTTGCCAGAATGGGCAGAATGGTCAAATCGCCCGATGATGCTGGCTTAATTACAAGCGGAACGTCATACTACTCAAATTGTAAATGTTGTGGATTTACTCTCCAACACCCCGGTGAGCTGACGTAGTAACTAATTGGCGTTTTGTTTTCGTGACAAGTCCCTCACTAATTGGCTGTGTCGGGTGGTGGAAGGTTACGACACAACATTTATACTTCTGCGATTTAACCCCAAACACCTTTGTTACGAATATCATTGCTCGCCAAAGCCTACTACGTGTTAAACTGACCACAGTTATTACTAGTGGAGTGCGCTAACCACTGCGCCACCGCTCCACATTAAAGGTTCGGCGCAGCTGTTCAAATGTCAGTGATAGAACGGAGGAGCGGTGGTTATCGCATTGCGACCACCCGAGTTCGATTCCCGATGAGGGCGAAAAATCAGCGGCGCGTGATACCTTGCACCCGACTGTGTAGGCTTCCTGAAACTTCGCCTACCAGGCCTTCATCCAGCCAGCAGTGGATAGAATAAAGGGCTGTATGCAGCGTCGGATTAAGCTAGTGCGTGGCCTGTAGCATATGTTACGAAAAAATCCCTAAATTAATCAATAAAACACGTTAATATTAAAACACAAATGTTTTACTTGCATAGTAAAATAATTGTATTTTTTAATTTGCTATCCAGACAGATAATACGACAAATCGCTAACCTTAAACACCCAGTCTATCATAACAGTTGAAGGCAGTATAGTACTATAGTAATAGAGCAAGTGCAGAATCACTATAACCGGAATTGATCGTTTGAAATAATTTAGCGCGGAGCCCTTGAAAGTGCGGGGCCCATAGCTACAACATATGCTACTTTTGCTACGAGGATAATAGGGCACTGAATGTTATGTCGAACTCAAACTGTTCATATGCAGCGATCAGACCCACAGCTGAACGCAGACCACGCATCGTCATGCCACGCGGCTCCTACCGTACGTATCAGAGACGGCGCGCACTCTCAGCATGTTCATTGTACCGTACTTCCCCGAGGTAGAGCGCATATTTCAGGGGTGGTGCAGTTAGAGCAAGCGGATCGTGCATGTGTGAAGGTTGCGAGTTCAAATCTGCTAGGGGGTTGACTCAGCCCATCATTTTTCCGGGGTCGATAAAATGAATATTAATTTGTGAGCATGTCAACAGTTGTTGTTGTCCTAGGGTTAGGCTCACCCCCGCCATCCAAAGACAAAGATCTCCCGTATAGCCTGAACAAACTGCTGGCGCAAGTACTGTTTTAGCTAGTTGCCCTCTTTAAGAGTTTAAGGCCTGCACGGCACACGATGGGGTGGGCGGCCGGCATTTTGAGGCCGAGTCGACCTAGGGGATGCCCAGGACCGGTTCGGATCATCGTCACCGATGTCGGCGCGCTAACCGCTGCATTGCCGCTCTCCGCCCACCCATCCAGGAATGTGGAATCACTTCCTTGGGGCTGCAATGAATCACTTTTACTTTGCTTTTGGGGCCGTCCATAAATGACGTCACGCGATTTTGGACGATTTTTGATCCCCCCCCCCCCTCGTCACACGGCGTCACAAAAAGTCAGACCCCCCCCCCTCAAATGTGACGTCACAGAGCTCTGCCGCCTCCTCCCAAACCATATTTCCATTTTGAAATAAAACATGCTTCAAATCGCTTTAAACTATTGTCACTGTAGTGCGTATTTAATGTGGCGCTGCACTCTGATGTTGTAGCAGTGTTGTTATAACAATTAGTGTTATAACAATTAGTGTTGTTATAACAATTAGTGTTGTTATAACAATTCTATATCTATTTAAAGTTGCGCATTTTGATGTGACGTCACATTTCTCACCCCCCCCCCCCTCGTCACACATCGTCACAAATGTCTGACCCCCCCCCCCCCCCCCCAGGTGCGTGGCGTCATTTATGGACGTCCCCTTATAATTCTTCGTTGACTGTATATATACACACACAGTACGATATAAAAAAAAAACATAAACCTGTTTTCTGACCCCCCGTGACCCTACCGGAACATCAGACGCTGTCTTCCCGACAGACCTGTTCTTCACCTGAGGATGGCTGCTTGCGTTGTGGCCGAAAAGTCGTGAGAATTATTTTATTATGTTTTATTTTTATTATTTTATATTTCCCTTCTACGTGACTTTACCGAAAGTACCAAAAAGATGTGGTAAATTTACCGAAAAAACCAAAGAGTATGAATCCTTGCAGTCACGAAAGCTTCAAATCTAGAATTCTCTCTCCGCATCTGCCGCGCGCGCAGGAGGCTTCCGCGAAAGGACTCTCGGCGAGGTGTCGATCGACGTGGAGGCTTCCCCTGAGAGCGCCGAGTGCGTGATGCGGCACATGTACCTCGGGGACACGAGCTTGTCCACCACAGGCGAGTACAACGTGGGCGCGCGGGGCGAGGGGGTGGCGGAGAGGGGGGGTCTACAACCTTGCAGTGAGGAAAGAGGTTTTTTTAAATCCTTTATATTAAGTTCACTTGCTTGCTTGCTTGCGCGCTTACGACCGTGCAAATCTTTCGGTTGTTTTTTAACCCACTTCCCGTGATCCAATCGAGCTGACATTTTGCACACAGACTCGTTGTGCGTGACAATTTATTTTCGTGAAAAAAAGTTTCCTAAATTTTCCACTTTTTAGGAAAAAATGTTTTCATATTTTATTTAAAATACCAATGTGATAAAAATGAAACTCTTACTCAAGAAAAACAGAAATGAATAATACAATAAAACCGATGCCACGCATATAAAGGATTTATAGTAAAAAACTTAGTTTTTACGGGTTAATTTTTTTGTCTTTTCGCTTTACACACTTTTATTTAACTTGCCCTTTCTGGCAATAAAACAGCAGGTGTTAAGATGTTCAAACGCCAAATGGAGAAAACCTTTTGCAAGGGTAAAACCTATTCTTGATATTTGTACTGGTACGAACCTCCTGGTTCTACCAGCCCACAGGGGATTATTGCGTCCGTCCGTCGTGCATCCAAAAACGGGAGGGGTGGGGCTGGGTGGAGAGGGGAGGGTGGGGAGGGGCTGGGTGGGGTGGGGAGGGTGGGGCTGGGTGGGGAGGGTGGGGCTGGGTGGGGGTGGGAGGGGTGGGGCTGAGATGGGAGGGGCTGGTCACCCCGTGGTGCCCTTATAAAACTCAACGTTTAACCTACTCACGCCGGCTTGTGCCCGCCCTCACAGTCGGGTATATTTGCGGAATACACCACGCCGCCGTTGACCCTGGCCATTGACCGAGCAACCCAATGTTCCTACCAGCTCCCTCCGCAGGAATGTGTTAATGTCCAGGTTGCAATGGCTGATGTAGATGCAGAGCAGCAACTACAATATCAGATCCAGGTGGTCAAGTCCAGATAACTGCGTCAGGAGTAGCTGAGTACTCTTTTTTTCGGTAATGTCACGTAGGTAAAAATAAATTATAAAATAATAGAAATAATAGAAATAAATAAAATAATAAATCACGACGTTTCGGAGGCAACACAAGTCTCCGTCATCAGGTGGGACCGTCACAGCCGAATTTACTGTATCAAGCGAGGCAAAATTCCAAGAGACAAGCTCTTAAATACAAGTTAAGGGGGAGGGAGGGGAGGGGCTTATCTGAATGTGGTAGCCAATGAATGTAACGTGTTGGGGGGTGGGCGGGGCTAAAAGAGAACAATAGGTGCACTTGGGGTTGTAACCGGTGTTGGCTGACAATCCAAATACAATGTGTTATCGGTGCGATGTTTCCTTCGTATTTGTGGATCCCGCATTGTGTTATTATGTTGTACGGTTTGTTCTGGATGACCACAGTCGCATACTCCTGTAGAGTTTTTAAGTTTCCATTTGTGCATCAGGTATCCCACATCTACTGCCATGGTTTGTGCAGTGGATACGGTTTAGGGTGGACCACGTGGAAGATCAAACCCCCAGCGATCTTCTGCGCTGGGTCTCTCACAAGATGTTTGCTAGTGAGTTATTTTGAACTCCATTCAGCTCCCCAAGCATCATCGGGGTTGACCTCGCAATGTTGAAGCCCCATGAAGCTTGGAAAGCTGAATCGAGTTCAAAAGTTTGCAATGATGAGTTCAAATAGGGGGGAGGGGGGGGGGGAATGCGTCAAGGGTATAATGGAGAGCAGGGTGATATAATGATATCGACCGCGTGGAGGTTGTTCAGTGCTGACTGACCCTTTGACCCCACGCTGTGACTCGCAGGCACGGCACGCGAGGTGCTGCTACTGTCCGACTTCTTCTCGCTTCCCCTCCTGCACTCCGCGGCCGCGGAGTTCCTGCGGGCACGAGGCCTGGACGCTTCCATCACTGCCTACTCCTCCATAGCCTGGCTTACTACCGCGACCGCGACCGACACCGAAACCGACACCTGCTCAACCGCCTTCACCGACGAACGCTCAATCTCATAGCCGTCGTTGGCACCCTCGAAATCTGAATATTTTATGTCGACTGCAGGAGGAATCTGACGAGCTCTGAAGCTCTTTTTTTTCACGAATGTCCAGTTGGGACACAGGGTCAGAAAGCTACAACGACGAACAATGCACAACTACGAGAGGAGTGCAAAGTATAGGAAAGGTCAACGAATCTCACACAACAAAAAACTACTGGTTTTAGAATACCAGGTAAGGCCCACTGGGCTATTTGCTTCTTAGACCATTGGAACCTCCTTTGCCAGTAGCCAAATATGATAATAGTTTTTTTTACCCTTTTATCTGGCAACAAAACTGACACTTTTTTTTACAAGGAGTCATGTTTGCATTGACCACAATACCTGTGGTCGGAATGCAAACAAAAAACATAACTCTGATAATATATGCGCTGTCCTTGAAGTTGATTGGTCCACACCCGAGACAGCTTTTCTTAGAGCCTAGTCTCACATGGTGTTGGACCAGATGACACCAAAAGGCGCACAACTCAAAGACAATGCACCATCAGAGTATGAGAGCTCGGGGTAAGCATTTACACCATTGGAACCTCCTTTGTCAGTATCAAAATATGATAATTGTTTGAGAACCAAAGGAGCGCACGGCTGCAGTAAATTTTAAGAACCACTGGTTTATACGGTGGAGGAAAGACCTACTTTACGGATTATAAGACGCACTTCACCCCAGGTGAAGAGCCACTGGTAGGTATAAACCAAACATCTCACACATTTAACGAATGAGGAACGGCAATTGAGAGTCATTTGTCAATTGAGAGTCCCATTGTCACTCGAGTATTTTGAAGGAAAAGTCGTAGGGCTCGTTTTAAAATCCAGTAGGTTTATGTAAATGTACGTCACCAGATCAGTCTAAGGGATGATGATTATAATGATTTACATTTGTAAGGTGCGTTGCATCCGTAGATCCCAATGCGCCGTAGGGTTTTGATATCGGGCACCGTAAGCTTTGGGGTGCTTCTTCCTTTGCGAAACATCTTATAATTATCTATAGAATGCGTTTTTTTTATACTTATCATGCTTGCGTGTGTGTAGTGTAGCAGTTAGCGCGCTGCGCTACGAACCTGGCGGTTTCCGCTCATGTCCAACACCGGTGATGATTATCTAAACCGGTCCTGGGCCTCCCCTAGGTTGACTCAGCCTCAAATGAGTACTTGGTGCAGTGTGTTAACAGCGCCACTGGGGAGACAAAGGCGGCCGGGCTTGGTGCTGGCCACCCACCCCCTCGTGTGCCGTGCCGGCCTTTATCGGTGCTACTCGCTTACAGCACTTGCCCCAACAGTCTGTTGCAGGCTATACAAGGGATCTTTGTCTCTTGTAGACTAATATCGGAGTTCAATTCCCGGTCACGGCCACTAACACCAGTTTCGATTAATAATCTGAACTGGTCCTGGTCCTGCCCTAAACCGACTCAGCTTCATATGAGTACAGTACCAGGTGCGGTGTGTATTGAACATCAGCACTTGGGAGACAAAGGCGGCCGGGCGTGGTGGTGCTGCGTCCTCCCCCCCCACCTCCTCATAGGTGCCGCTCCGGCGTTCATAGGTGCTGCTACTCACTAACAGCACTTGCCCCAACAGCCTGTTGAGCTATATACATTCTTGGCTCTTTCGGTAAAGTCACGTAGATAGAAAACAAAAACACAAAAAGAAAAAGAATAAATAAAATTAAAACTAAAAAGAATAAAAAAATATTTGTAATTTTTTTTCTATCTCCGTGACTTTACCGAAAGAACCAAGAATATTCATTCCTGCGGTCACGAACGTTTTAAGTCAAAAGTCTGTCGAGGCGATACGGCGGGGACCTTTGCACGTGTTGTGTGTTGCATGTGTTGTGTTTGTTGTGTTTGTTGCGTGCGTTGTATTTGTTGTGTGCGTTGTGTTTGTTGTGTGTGTTGTGTGCTGTATTTGTTGTCTTTGTTGTGTGTGTTGTGTGTGCTGTGTGTGTTGTGTGTGTTGTGTGTGTTGCATGTGTTGTGTTTGTTGTGTGTGTTGTGTTTGTTGCATGTGTTGTGTTTGTTGTCTTTGTTGTGTGTGGTGTGTGTGGTGTGTTTGTTGTGTGTGTTGTGTGTGTTGTGTTTGTTGTGTGTGTTGTGTTTGTTGCATGTGTTGTGTTTGTTGTCTTTGTTGTGTGTGGTGTGTGTGTTGTGTTTGTTGTGTGTGTTGTGTTTGTTGCATGTGTTGTGTTTGTTGTCTTTGTTGTGTGTGGTGTGTGTTGTGTGTGTTGCGTGTGTTGTGTGTTGTGTGTGTTGTGTGTGGTGTGTGTTGTGTGTGTTGTGTTAGTTGTGTTTGTTGTGTGTTGTATGTGTTGTGTTTGTTGTGTGTGTTGTGTGTGCGTGTTGGGAGAGCGCGATGGCTCGTGACGTGTCCACCTCTCACAGCTGCCCCCCGTCCAGACACACGTGGCGCGCTTTGTCTGTGTGTGAACAGCACTGTGACTCCCCCTCCCACTCCGTCAGCTGTGTTCAAGCACCCGGGCAAAAATCGCAGCCACCCCACTAAACCAACACGCGCACCCATCCCCCACACACAAAAGACAAAGATCCCCCGTGTAGCCTTTGACTGGCTGTTGCGACAAGTGCTGTTAGCGAGCAGCACCTATGAAGGCCGGCACGGCACACGAGGATGAGTCGCCAGCACCAGGCAAGGACCGCCTTTGTCTCCCGAGTAGCGATGTTTACACATCGCACCAGGTACTCATTTGAGGCTGAGTACACCTAGCGGAAACCAATGACCGGTTCAGGCTGGAACTATTCAATCCTCTAGTGCAGGGGCCGGCAACCAAAATAACAAGGAGAGATATTTCGATTTAAAGCTTTCGTGACTGCAGGGATTCATCTTCTTGGTTCTTTCGGTAAAGTCACGTAGAAGGGAAGTAATAAAATAATAAAAATAAAACATAATATCCTGAAGACGGCTGCTTGCGTTATAGCCGAAACGTCGTGATAATTATTTTATTATGGTATATTTTTATTATTTTATTACTTCCCTTCTACGTGACTTTACCGAAAGAACCAAGAAGAAAAAAGGAGAGATATTTTTTGTTCGATTTCGGGAGAAATAAAATAAAAAAAACCTAAATATTTCAAGAGGCGCAATGCACTGGTTGGTGAATACGAGACACGGTGGTGGTGGTGGTGATCCTTGATAAATAACCCCGACTCTAGTCCATGGGCCAGAGTAGAAATTTGTACCACCTAAGATGAGCACATATTTAGCACTGTACTACAGATTTATTTATATAACAATAGTTTTTTCTACCCTTTCTGGCAATAACACTGTACGGCGTGAGAGATTGAATTTTTTTACAATCCGCACATTTCAAATGTCTATAGCAGAATTCACTGTTTTTTGGCCACACACAGCGAAATTGGAACCGCTCGTGCCATCTCGGGTGGTGGCGACGAGTTTAAATATCTCGTGTGGGCCTACGGGCCAAGGTGATGGGTGCGATAGCATCATCAATAATAGGGTGGCCAATCGATGTTTACCCATTACGGCCAAGCATGGTTGAAAGCATTTACGTATTAACGTTTGTCGATTCGCCCGTAAGGGGCCGTCCATAAATGACGTCACGCGATTTTGGACGATTTTTGACCCCCCCCCCCCCCCTTCGTCACACGGCGTCACAAAAAGTCAGATCCCCCCCTCAAATATGACGTCATAAAGCTCTGCCCCCCCCCCCCCGCCAAAATAAAACATGCTTCAAATCGCCTTAAACTATTGTCATTGTAGTGCGTATTTAATGTGGCGCTGCACTCTGATGTTGTAGGAGAAAACATTTATTAAAAAGTCTATTTGATGCACCTATTTGTTTCTGTTATCATGAATCCAGTGGGCCACCTTGTTGGCACGCGGTCAAGATAGCAGCACGATGTGGGTTTTTGTATTTATTTTTACAAATAACACATTTTGCAAATCCCAAGTCTGACATCAATCAAATAAAACATGCACGAGAACGTCACAATTAAGGGCTGCAACCTATCCCAGATGTTGCATATTCATGAGCACTATTGTTTTTCAGTGCCCTCTTCGTGGTTCCCCGTTGAGTAGGCTACAAAGTTCAGTTAGACGCAACATTACATACTGCGTTAGATAACTGAGTCGAAATTTGCGACTTAAAGCAAACCTGTGTAGCTGTTTTTTCTTATTATATTTGCTTACATTTCCAAACTTATTTAGGCCTTGGCTTGTGATAGCTTGGGTAAACTGCATCAATTTCCAGTGAGCGAAATGTCCTTTTCATGGTCTAAAAAGGCCAAGCACAATGGTTTCTTGCTATTCATAAGTCCTTCCCATAATTCTGGGATGTAAATCACGTGGTTTGAAAGCACGTGGTGGAAGTCAGAGAAATATTTCCTAAACCCGGCTTGGCCGTGAGATTGGTTGGTTTGTGCCTCAAAATGTCATGTTATTTTTTCTCCCAATTTGACCCTTCGTGAACCACTTGTAGACGCGTTCGAGAGGAGGCGAATTGGCTCCGGAATTCTTCGAGTCACCTGTGTCATCATTTTTTTGATGAGAAGAAATACCGGGGAGAAAATCTTCCACCAATTAAGTATTTAATTAGCTTTGCTAAAAGGCTTAGGTTTATTTTGGCACAGGTAAAAAAAAAACACTTGGGCAATAATTCTAGATTTTAAGCTTTCGTGACTGCAAGTATTCATATTCTTAGGTTTTTTCTGGTAAAGTCACGTAGGTAAAATTTTTAAATTAATACATTTAAATTTTTTACCTACGTGACTTTACCGAAAAAACCTAAGAACTTGGGCAATAAATGGTAATTTTTGCATTTAAGTAAACAGGTTCCGCTCGTTTTGTTCCCAACAGCTGGTCCCGCTTATATGAAGATGTCCCCAAGTTGGGCTCTCCGGCCCATAAACTCTGTCGTGTTTTCGTGGCGTGAATGGCAGTTAGTTTTTTAACTTCTTCAAATGTTGACATCTCAAACGTGCTACTCCGAATCTTGTTCACAAACAACAGCTTCATTCCTGCCGGGGTATAGACCTCTTTTTAGCATCAACAATGCATGCAAAATAAAAAAAACACAATAGGAAAGAGTTCTGGATTATGTAACGCTTCCTAAAATATCTTTGTTGTCGGAAGTGTGTAATTATTTGTATGGAAGCCGAGGGGCGGACAGCAAGTTGCTTAACGCGTTTCGCAATCCAATTACTGCCGTGACTTTGTCAACAGAGGGATTGTCGCGATATTCGTCGCAACTTCACACTGAACATCTCCGCTCCGTATCGCACGAGCGCTTTTACTGGTGGGAACCTCCTGGTTACACCAGCCCACAGGGGATTCTTGTGTCCGTCCGTCCGTCGTGCGTCCAAAAATGGGAGGGGTGGGGTTGGGTGGAGAGGGGAGGGTGGGGAGGGGCTGGGTGGGGAGGGTGGGGAGGGGCTGGGTGGGGAGGGGAGGGTGGGGAGGGGCTGGGTGGAGAGGGTGGGGAGGGGCTGGGTGGAGAGGGGAGGGTGGGGAGGGGCTGCGTGGGGAGGGTGGGGAGGGTGGGGAGGGGCTGGGTGGGGAGGGGCTGGGTGGGTGGGGCTGGGTGGAGAGGGGAGGGTGGGGAGGGGCTGGGTGGGGAGGGAAGGGCTGGGTGGGGAGGGGAGGGTGGGGAGGGGCTGGGTGAGGAGGGGAGGGGCTGGGTGGGGAGGGTGTTACTGGGTGGGGGGTGGGAGGGGTGGGGCTGGGTGGGGTGGGGAGGGGCTGGTCACCCCGTGTTGCCCTTATAAAACTCAACGTTTAACCTACTCACGCCGGCTTGTGCCCGCCCTCACAGTGGGCCATATTTACATGAATACACCACGCCGCCGTTGACCCTGGCCATTGACCGAGCAAGCCAACGTTCCTACCAGCTCCCTCCGCAGGAATGTGTTAAGCGAGCGTCAACGTGACCCCCCCCCCATAATCGATACGACATCCAGACGCGCGGACAGACCGACAAAACAACGCACAAGCGTCGCCTTCAACCCCAACAGGAGTCGCGTCCATGAACTCCCCCATCCGATAAGGGGCCGTCCATAAATGACGTCACGCGATTTTGGATGATTTTTGACCCCCCCCCCCCTCGTCACACGGCGTCACAAAAAGTCAGCCCCCCCCCCCCTCAAATATGACGTCACAAAGCTCTGCCCCCCCCCCCCAAAACCATATTTCCATTTTGAAAATAAAACATGCTTCAAATCGCTTTAAACTATTGTCAATGTCGTGCGTATTTAATGTGGCGCTGCACTCTGATGTTGTAGGAGTGTTGCTATAACAGTTAGTGTTGTTAACAACAATTCTATATTTATTTAAAGTTGGGCATTTTGATGTGACGTCACATTTCTCAACCGCCCCCCCCCTCTCGTCACACATCGTCACAAATGTCTGACCCCCCCCCCCCAGGTGCGTGACGTCATTTATGGACGGCCCTACCCCCCCTTTAAACCTTCACCCGACGCCACCGCATTCCCTGCATGCCCAGCGAGTGCGGGCTGTGTGTGGGTGGGAGGGGAGCGGTGGCGCAGCGGTTAGCGCGCCGCGCTGCGAACCCCGCGAACCCGGGTTCGATTCCCGCTCACGGGGTCGACACCGGTGACGGATCATCCGATAACCGGTCCCGGACCTCACCTAGGTCGACTCAGCCGCGAATGAGTAACCTGCGTGAAAACATCGCCAGTGGGGGAGACAAAGGCGGCCGGGCGTGGTTGGGGTTCAGCCAGCCCCTCCGTGCACCGTTCCGGCCTTCATAGGTGCTCGCTCACTAACAGCACTTGCCCCTACAGTCTGTGAAGGCTACACGGGGGACTTTTGTCTTTGGTCTCCCCTCCCCCTCGCTACCCCCCCCCCCTTCTCACCCCGCCCCCGTCACCCCGCCCCCGTCACCCCCCCTCCTCACCCCCCCTCCTCGTTACTCCCCCTCACCCCTCCCCCCGCCACCCCCACCCTCCTCCTCACCCCTCCCCCCCACCCTCCCCCTCACGCCTCCCCCCGTCACCCCCACCCTCCTCCTCAGCCCTCCCTCTCTCTCCTCACCCCCCACCCTCCTCCTCACCCCTCCCCCCGCCACCCCCCTTACTCCCCCCCACCCCCATCCTCCACCTCACCCCTCCCCTCGTCACCCCCCACCCCCCTCCCCGCCTGCCCGCTCCTCCTCCCAACCTCCACGTAGGCGGCTGCGCCATATTTTTCTCCCCCCACCCCACCCCACCACCACCTCCACCACCACCAGCCTCCTCCACCACCACCGTAACGCACAGTTCGCCCGGAGCACATCCGTCTGCCTGGCTGGCTGTGTGTGTGTTGACTTTGCCTGCCTGCCTGTGTCTTTGCCTGTCTGTGTGTGTCTTTGCCTGTCTGTGTGTGTGACTTGGCCTGCCTGTGTGTGTCTCTTTGCCTGTGCTGTGTGTGTCTTTGCCTGTGCTGTGTGTGTGTCTTTGCCTGTGCTGTGTGTGTCTTTGCCTGTCTGTGTGTGTGACTTTGCCTGCCTGTGTGTGTGACTTTTCCCTGTCTGTGTGTGTCTTTGCCTGTGCTGTGTGTGTCTCTTTGCCTGTCTGTGTGTGTCTCTTTGCCTGTCCGTGTGTGTGACTTTGCCTGTCCGTGTGTGTGACTTTGCCTGTGCTGTGTGTGTCTCTTTGCCTGTGCTGTGTGTGTGTAGCCTTAACAAGGCTGCGTGGCTGTTTTCGTGCCGTTGCGTGTGAGTGCTTCAGTGGTGGCACGTGTCCGTGTGCGTGCGTGCGTGTGCGCACATCACTCTATCACCCTCCCACGTTCCCACCACTGACCCATTGGCTTATCAGCTGATCTGTCACTTTTGATAGCAACAGCAGCAGCGGCGGCAGCAGCAGCAGCGGCATCATGAACGTGTTTAGACTCACGGGTGACCTCTCCCACCTCCTCGCCATCATCATCTTGCTCATCAAGATATGGAAGACGAGGTCGTGCGCTGGTGAGTTCGCATCGCGTGGTGGTTTGCGGGAGAGACAAAGGCGGTCGGGCGTGGTGCTTTGCTGGCCACCCACCCACGTATCGTGGGGCCGTGCCGACCTTCAATCGGTGCTGAAAAAGTCTGTTAAGGCTACACGGGGGGGGGGGCCGGGAAAATCGATTAATTCAACTCGACAATCCACGCTCAATCATCGCTCCGGGGGTCGATAAAATAGCTACCGCTTTGAAGACTACGGTGTTGGCTTAGCTCACCCGGCGGGTGGACAGATAGACCCCATCCCCAGCCATGGCAATGTGGAATTTCCACCAGGATCGAGATGAGCTGATGGTGTGAATTTGAAGCCCGCGTGCTTTTCACGATGCAACATTCCAGGACAGTTCCGTGGGCGACCTGGTCAAGTTTGTGGGTGACCGGGGGGGTGACGATATTGTCTCTCACCCCACACACCTCTTCATCCAAGGCGTGTGGACAGACGGAAGACCTTACCACCCTCCTTGACAGGACATAGCCGACACGGTATAACTGTATCACTATACTGCATGTGGAACGATGCCACGTTTGGAGTTACACCGCAAACCCGAATAACCTCATCATCATATGCCTCTGATATTTAAAAGTGGTACGGAAATTGTTGCGTTGGCATTTGGTGTAAAAAAAAAAGTGTAAACCAGTGCAGTTGCTGTGTTACTGCTGCTGGAGGCGGGATGTGTCCACGTGTAAGGTTTTGCATATCTCGGGGGAGCGGTGGCGCAGTGGTTAGCGCAGGGGGGGGTGCTCATCTGCTCCCTGGGTCCATCTGCCGTGGTTCGTAACGTTTTAATTGAGATCAGAGCGAACGAACTCGGCCCCGGCCGCAGTAACGTGGACATTACCGCCACAGGCCTCTGAGAGGGACCGTTAGTTTGCTGGAACCGAGTCGAGGATGCTGACATTTGACTCAGCCACCACCCACGTCTCCCTCCCCCCCCCGCTTTACGCTGAACCAGCGTGGTGAAGTATGGTCTTCATACAGCACGCGGATTGACAAAGGACCGCGTACATCACATTGCAGTTTAAATCACGAAGGTCTAGCTTTTTTTGGGGGGGGGCGTCCAAGCCGTCTTTGTCTCTCCGGGAAACTAGCTTCACGGGTTTAGTTTAATGTGATGTTGTTCTCCGTGTGTGTGTGTAACGTGTGGATGTGAGTGTGTCGATGTGTCTTTTGTTTTCGAAGTGCGATCTTGGGCCCAACACCGGTGACGATTATCTGAACCTGCCCTGGGCCTCCCCGAGGTCGACTCAGCCTCAAATGAGTACCTGGTGCGGTGTGTAGTAAACATCGCCACTGGGGGAGACAAAGGCGGCCGGGCGTGGTGCTGGCCACCCACCTTGTCATGTAGCGTGCCGGCCTTCATAGGTGCTACTTTCCTTGGTTGGATTCAAGTTTCAAGTTTATTTTGTTTAACCAAAATGGGAACTCAAGAAACCAGGATATAACTGTACATATATATTTTAAAAAACTACATTTGCAAGAGTGACTGACTTACTAACCTGGGCGGTCATAAAAATAAAAAAGTGAAAGTGAAACAAGTACCAGCAGAACGAAGCAAATAAAATATTTTTTTTATGCACGAGGTGTAAGGCCTCGCTGATCGATATCGCTCTTTTTTCAGAAGCGACCTGGCCACAAATGACAGCTCAACGAAAGTGGCTTATCACGTGGAAATATAGAACAGCAGCCAAATACGATGGAGCGCACGTTGATTCGACGTACAAATACGAACACGCACAAAAAATAATTGTGCCGGTCACACGAGAAATGGATGGATAGGCCAAATATCTCTGTGTACAGGTCGACTGCTCTTCATGCGACAGGGCTGAAAGTAAGGGGATTGAGGTTTTTTTTAAGTCACCCCGTGATCAAAACTCTGACCTTGTCCCTGTGAGCCACGCATGAGTACAACACAAAGACAAAGGTCTCCCGTATAGTCCTTCAACAGACTATTGTGGGTCGGGGCTGTTAGCGAGCACCTATTAAAGCCGGCTAGGTCGGTGGCTGTCCAACATCACCACGCCCGGCCACCTTTGCTGACATTTACACATCGTACCGAGTACTCAAGGCTGAATCTACCCAAGAGAGGCCTAGGTCCGGTTCAAATATTGACCACTGTAAGTGGTCGTGGGTTGGTAGCGCAGTGTGCCGCCGACAACTGAACGCCCGTGATTTACCATGGATTTTTGTTTTCGCAGCACCACACAACCCAGAGAGATTTGCTTTCAAGGGCTACACCTTACTGATGAGCATAACCCACTCCTATGGTTGTATATTTGGAAGTTTGCACGTTCTCGTGTTCTCCCCGTGGTCGCGTGGATTTTTCTCCGGGTCCTCCGCTTTTTTTCATTTCCACATTTCGAATCGACGCGTCTTTCGAGTGTATATGTGGCTGGCTGCGGCGGATAAATTAGCATGCTATAAGTCACTTTGTTGAGCTGTGAATCATGGCCTGGTCGCTTCTGAAAAAATAGAGCCGTATAGCTCAGTAAGCCTTACCTGGTAAAATAAAAGAAAGTATTCTTAGTTTTTTTTCGGTAAAGTCACGTAGGTAAAAAATTAAAATTAATACAAATAAAGTAGTTTGTTTTACATTCTATGAGTGGTGGGTTTTTTCCGGTTTCTGCCTCCCATGAATCCAGACTCTCATCAGGGGCATTCGTGACCACACGTCCCAGTTGTAGCCGGGGTCCCTTAGAATTTACAGTGGGTCCCACTATCAGGCCAGATGTAACTCAGCGGTCGAAGTGAGTGTGCGTCTCACAGTTTGAAGTATGTGAGTTCAAACCCTGGATAGGGCCGTGGACTGGTTCGTAGCAGAGTGAGATTACCCCGTGCACCATTGCTCTCCCGGGATAATGATAGATTATTCACGTACTGTACTTTTATTTTTGCCTGTTTCATCCGCAAGGCATAATTAGAATACAACCAACGTTTACATCAAAAATATATACTATATATCCCTATTCATACCAGCCAGTTGGTTTGGTTTGCACAGTATATTTCTCATGCACTGTAGTATCATCACTACATTTCTGTCAATGTATTATTATGATGATGGCTCTTTTAATAAAGGTATGGGGCGGTGATTGGCAGCTCAATTAGCCACGTGGAGGGGAACGTCGGCTGAATCACACTCCACGTCAGCACATCAGCTGCGGAAAATCTATTCCCCGGGGCGGCGGTAAACATCTATGGTCTGATTGGTGTTTATGATGATGATGATGCGTCGATTAAAAATGCTCACCTATCTTCCGACGCGCTTAATCGATTTCGATTGCTCTTAGCCTCTAGAGGCGCTGCTGTTCGACCGCGGGTTTTTCTTTTGAGAGAGAAAAAAAATCGATTCGTGACAATTCGTCGAATCGCTCGGAAACTTGGATCGTTCCTTCCCAATGCTTGCAGGCAAATGTATGCGATTGTTGTGTGAATGTAAAACTGAACTATTAACATTTGTTATTTTATTTGAGCAGGTAAGGCCCACTAAACTATATGGCTTTTCAGAAGCGACTTGGCTATAACAAGTGATAGCTCAACGAAGTGGCTTATCATGAGGACATTATATATATCAGCAGTCAAGTACTCTAAACGCGTGTTGATTCTAAATGTGGAAGGAAAAACCGGAGGACCACTTGACCACGGGGAGAGAGAGCGAGAAACATGCAAACTCCAAATATACTTACAGGCATCTGGGTCTGGATCGGGCTCACGAACTCGTGTACACCAGGCGAGGTAGTTAACACGTGGCACCCTAAGTTTATATACTGCATATGTGTTGGCACGGTAGGGAGCCAAGGTTGGGGTTGGTACCAGTCATCTTAGTCAACCCACGGCACCTGGGTCTGTCCCCTGACCTGCCAACTGTGCCTTTGACACTTCACGTGATAGCCTTCAAGCCTGGCACAAACGCTCTGGTTATGTCACCACCACTTAGTGGTTGCTTCTGTCTATGGACTATGTGCTTGGCGTGTGCGAGTTTGTATGTGTGTAAGAGTACGTGTGTAGGTGCATGTATTGCCTTTACGCGTTTGCAGGTGTATTTATGTAAGTGAATCGGAATCTTTATTGAGACTGGACGAATCCGATGAGCCATGAAAGTTACAACAACACTACCAACACCGATAGGAGTGCAAAGCGTAGGAAAGGTAAGCGGGTCACTAAAAAAAATTTAAACATAAAAATAAAGTATGCAAGTACAAATTGCAAAAGTATATCAGTTCCCGCCGTATTCAGGATAGCCTGCTATGACCCATCTTGGGTCAAAACAGACTGGGTTGTGTAAAGGGCTCACAGATCCTTGAAAGGTTTGCACAAAGTCCCATCGGTAAGCTCGTCCGGTAGGCGAGGCTGCATTGCCTGGGTCAAGTAACCCACATTCCGAGCCACCGCATGCCCAAGCAGCTTCTGTTTGGCCGGATAGAGAGGGCTAAACGGGCGCGGCACGGGCTGGAGAAGAGATGGAGCTGATGTGGCACGGGAGGATATGGATCTGAGTGGACTTGCAGATGACCGGTACCAGCGGTGTCAAGATCGACTTCTGTGTAGGAGGATGCTCGTGAAGGACGCTCCTGGGAGGGATGGATGTAGTCGCCCTCCAGCAACAACGGAGGACGGAGGAGCGAAGCTCACAAAAATGAGTGGAACGCCAGGCAGATAAAACACAGCAAGGTGGCATAGTGGGGAGGCACAGGTGGTGCATGTTACCAGTCATCTCAGTCAACCCAAAGGACCTGGGTCTGTCACGTGATCGAGCCTTGCTACACTTCACGTAATAGTCTCATTGTGCACCTAGCCTGGCACAGATGCCGAGGTGCGTCACCTCCACTTAGCGATTATGATTTCCGAAAGTATATGTACTCTAGATGTACGTGCGTATGAAAGTAAGTGTGTGTAAGTTCGTGAATGTGTAATCACATGTACATACGTACTCTGTACAGTATTTGATTGTAGGTATATATATTAGTGAATTAATTACTATAATGTAGGTGCATGTATATATGTGTATGCATGTCTTGGAATCCCGCTCACGGCCAACACGAGTGACGGTTGTTTGAGCCGGTCCTGGGCCTCTCCTAGGTCGACTTGGCCTCAAATGAGTACCTGGTGCAGTGTGTAAACATCGCCACTAGGGAGACAAAGGCGGCCGAGCACGGTGCTGGCACTTGCCCCAAAAGACTTTTACGCCAAAAGAGGGGATCTTTGTCTTTGGCATATCTTATATAGACACACACAGAGTGCATACCTTTACACACACATCACGTACAAACTTACAACAAGACAAAGATCCCCCGTGTAGCCTTAACAGACTGTTGGGGCAAGTGCTGTTCGCAAGCACCGATGAAGGCCGGAACAGCACACGAGGGGGTGGGTGGCCAGCACTACGCCCGACCGCCTTTGTCTCCCCAGTGGCGATGTTTACACACCGCACCAGGTACTCATTTGAGGCTGAGTCGACCTAGGGGAGGAGGCCCGGGACCGGTTCAGATAACCGTCACCGGCGTTGACCGTGAGTGGGAATAGAACCCGGGTTTTCTGGGTTCGTAGCGCAGCGCGCTAACCGCTCCACCACCGCTCCCCACACACACACACGTCACATTGACACGTGGCCTTGCTAAGTTTGCTCCATAGGTGGCGTCACCGCTCTCCGACTCTCACGGTCTGACGTGGCAACTCTTCTCAAAAGCTTCAACCCTCAACCCACAGACAAAGACAAAGGATCCCCCCCCTCCCACTCCCCGTCCTCCTTTTTTGGGGCAAGTGCTGTTAGCGAGTACCTACACACACACACATCCTTAACCTTAGGAAAAGGTTGCAAGTGTTGTTAGCAATCAAACGTATCTGTTTTTTAAACACGTAAAACAGACTTTTTTGGGGCAAGTGCTGTTAGCGAGTATCCCACACACACACATCCTTAACCTTAGGAAAAGGTAGTGTGTTGTTAGCAATCAAACGTACCTGTTTTTTAAACACGTAAAACAGACTTTTTTGGGGCAAGTGCTGTTAGCGAGTACCACATACACACACACACATCCTTAACCTTAGGAAAAGGTTGCAAGTGTTGTTAGCAATCAAACGTATCTGTTTTTTTTTTTTTAAACAGACGTCAAGCAGGAGATCATATTCACGAAATAATGTCTAAATTTGCTGAAGAGTGGCTGATTGAGTGCTTTAGTATTTTGTTGCATAGAGACTCCATCATAGACCGGTCTGTCAGTCTATTGTGTAGAGACCCCATCAGAGAGCGGTATATCTGTCTATTGTGTAGAGACTCAATTAGAGATGGGTCTGTGTGTCTATTATCTCGAGACCCCATCAGAACCTGTCTGTCTGTCTATTGTCTAGAGACCCCATCAGAGAGCGCTCTGTCTCTCAACAATATTGTTGAGATTTTTCTCTGTTTGTACAGACGGGCGCACACCGCTACGCTTCACACGTCACACGCAGTAGCTTGGACAGGAGAACGTCGCTGGGATGGATGGCGGACGATGGTTAAGAATGATAGAGTAGCAGCCAACGAATGGTACGCTTCCAATGGAGCGATGCAATGAAAATCGCGTGTCGGTGCGAGTCGGTTTCTTGCTTCGTGAGATCGTGAGATTTGGTTCCGGTTTAGGGAGGCCTCCATCCAGCAGCGCATGGACCATGGCTGATGCTGCTGCTGCTGTGGCGGAGACAACCACCGTTCAGCCGACGTTGGCATGCAGTTGCAACCGTCGGCCCAACGTTGTCCCAACGTTCCGTGTTTCGCTGGGCGGTGCCTGCCAGCTGTTGGGCTTTGTGCTCAGAGTGGTGGGGGGAAGGGGAGTGGGTCGAGGGGGGGGGGCTCCAACCCGGATTCGAATCGGCAGCGGTCGCCCCCTTCCTGGACGACCCCGCACGGCTCCGTCACGCGTTCCGATCTCCACGCCGGCACTCCCCCCCCCCCTCTAGCCCCCCCGCCCCCACAACTCCACCCCCCCCACCCCTGCCACCTCGCAAGTTCTCAATTGGCTCCAGGCGCACTTGACCCAGCCCAGTGGCACGGAGCCTATCGAGAGTGCAAAGTGTTCGCCAAGAGCAGAGCTCAGCACGCGGATGTGCGCGTCGCGATTGTGGCTGCTGAGCCCCCCCCCCCCCCACTTCCCCGATGGACACGTCACCCCTACCCGGCCGCTGTCATGCGTGCACAGCTGTGCAGTGGGGGTGTCATGTGTGGTTCGCGGTGTGATGCGGTGGTGTCTGGCGGTCACGTGCGGTGGATTGTGGTGGAGTGTGGCGGTGCGTGCATGTTGAAACTTCTTTCGCACCGTACGTTGCCAACCGTGCTAATCGGAGGTGCGCTCGTGTGCGGTGGAGTGTGGTGGTTTGTGGTTGTGTGTGGTGGTGTGTGATGTGCGGTGTGGTGTATGTGGTATATGTGTATAAATGACGTGGTGTGTATTCAAAGTGGCAGCAAGATTTTTTGTCGTTGCAAATGCAGCTATTTATTGAAATTATTTTTACGCTTGTTCACGCAGGAAAGCGGCACAAAGTCTCACGGCACTTTTCAAAGAGGATTCTGCCAAGTATTGTGCAGTGGCGGGTGGGGGGTGGTCTATTATTGCAACGTAGATTCTAGTCAAGTTATTTGATTCGTTTGAATGATTTCTCCCCTTCCTCTCTGGCCCATTCGCAAAATCCCAAACAGGAATTTCTGGGAAGAGCCAGATCCTGTTCGCTCTGGTGTTCACCACTCGATACCTTGACCTCTTCACCACCTTCATCTCCATCTACAACACCAGCATGAAGGTCAGTGATGCCCCCAGATTGCCTAAGGACCCTACCTACGTGCGCGTGATGTTAGTGGTATTATTGCAAACAACTTTTTTTTTCTAATTCGTGGCGCACCACCACGGGAAGGGGGGTAGAGCCAAGGAGGAGACGGATGGGGAAAAGGGATGTGGAACGGGAGAGGGAAGAGAGAAGAGGAATAATCGGAAATAGAATGAAAAGGATTGGGAAAGGAATGGAGAAACGGGAGCAGGAGAGATGAGGATGCACGCATGTGTGTTGAACTTCTTTCGCACCGTACGTAGCCAACCGTGCTAATCGAAGGATCAGATGGAGGAGGAGGCTTCATTGGGGCCCCGACGTGGAGCGGCGTTCCTTTTCACAGTGGGCGTCATGGAGAGGGAGGAGAGATTCAAGAGAGTGGGGTGGCCACGCAGAAGAAGCCACGTGATTCACAGGAGGCTGGAGCTTAATTAAACAAAGAGATTTAGATTTCTTTCCGCTCGCTCGCTCACTCACCTCCGATTACCACGGTTGGCTACGTACGGTGCAAAAGAAGTTTAACACACGGACACTCGATGGCTCGCTCACTCACGCACTCGCTCTCGTAGGTTGTGTACATGGCTTGCGCTTACGCCACGCTCTGGATGATCTACCACAAGTTCAAGGCGACGTACGACGGCAACAACGACACATTCCGCGTCGAGTTCCTGGTCGTGCCCATCGGAGGCCTCTCGGTGCTTGTGAACCACGACTTCTCTCTGCTCGAGGTGAGCGAGGGGGCGGCCCTGGGCATCGCACCGGGGGGGTTTGCCACCTTCTCCGAGTTTGAGTCGCTCACGCGGTCCGGGTGGCAGCAATGGATTTGTGCCGAGGTGGAGAAATATGTCCGGGGTTTTTGTCTCGTGGGGGGGGGGGAAAGGTGGCAATCATAGTTTGCAAATGTATGTATGTTGAACTTATTCATAGTCTTAGGTTTTTTCGGTAAAGTCACGTAGGTAAAAAATTATAATTAATAAAAAGTAAAATAAAAATAATTATTATTATTATTAATTTAATTTTTTTACCTACGTGACTTTACCGAAAAAACCTAAGAATATGAATCCTTGCAGTCACGAAAGCTTCAAATCTAGAATTATGTTGAACTTATTTCACACCGCACGTAGCTGACCGTGCTTATCAGAGGTGCTGGGTAAGGACAACAATCTAAACACAAAGCAGTTGTAAAGATTATTTACCCTTTTTAAAGTGAAATATTGATGTTATACCATGACACATCATGAGACGAAGGGTCTATTCAGAACTCTCATAGAACCTTGCAGTGCTTCGTGTTAGAGAACGACCCATGGAAGTGAATATCATAGAGCTACCTCTGAGATGCCTTTACACAGTAAAAGGGGCAGCGCTTTCCGACCCACTCTAAATGTACGAGCAATGTTTTGTCGCACGACAGTCATTTGAATTCTCAGAGCGGACTTAAAGTGTGGAAACCATATTTAACGTCGCGTTGTTCACGTCATTTGTTGCGACCATCAACTCGCCTGACTTGCGGACCCGGTTTAATTGATGACGTCGAGGACAATAACGACGCTACATATTCTTAGGTTTTTTCGGTAAAGTCACGTAGGTAAAAACATTAAAAAGTAAAATAAAATAAAAATCACGACGTTTCGGAGGCAACACAAGCTTCCGTCTTCAGGTGGTACCGTCACAGCCACGACAGCTGTATCAAGTAAATGAGAGATTGCAGGAGCTACCACTCCGTTTATATAATGGTTATATTATATATTATATAAACGGAGTGGTAGCTCCTGCAATCTTTCATTTACTTGATACAGCTGTCGTAGCTGTGACGGTACCACCTGAAGACGGAAGTTTGTGTTGCCTCCGAAACGTCGTGATTTTTATTTTATTTTACTTTTTAATGTTTTTACCTACGTGACTTTACCGAAAAAACCTAAGAATATGAATCCTTGCAGTCACGAAAGCTTCAAATCTAGAATTAACGACGCTACAGTCCGTTGACTGCGCGTGGATGCCCGGCAGATCCTGTGGACGTTCTCCATCTACCTCGAGTCGGTGGCGATCCTGCCGCAGCTCTTCCTCGTGAGCAAGACCGGCGAGGCGGAGACCATCACCAGCCACTACCTCTTCGCCCTCGGCCTCTACCGAGCCCTCTACCTCCTCAACTGGATCTGGCGCTACTACTTCGAGGGCTTCTTCGACCTCATCGCCATCGTCGCGGGCGTGGTGCAGACCATCCTCTACTGCGACTTCTTCTATCTCTACGTCACCAAAGGTGGGGGGAGGCGGGGGCGCCGGGGGTAGATACAGGACAAGTGTACGGTGGCACGGTGGTTAGCACGCCGAGTTATGAACTTTGCGACCCACTAGGGAGGCAAAGGTGGCCGGGCGTGGTGCTGGCCATCCACCCCTCTCATGCGCCCTGTCGGCCTTCGTAGGTGCTACTCACGAGCCGCACTTGCCCCCAAAAGTCTGTTAAGGCTATCCAGGTGATCTTTGTCTTTGAACTGCGTCTGTATAATAAGCAACCGATCTGTATGTGTGTGTGTATATATGTCTGTAAAACTCCCCTGTACGCCCAGGAAAAAGCCTTTTAAAATATCGAGGCTTATCTTAAGGAGGGCCCTGCTTCATCAAGATACTTGGCCAATTCTTTGAATGAGTGTTTGGCTTTACGTAGGAGGAGGAGACCGGAGAATAGCCACCCAAGCCATACGAGAGGGTATATCTTGAGAAGCGCCCACGCTATGATCGCGGGTACCAGGGTTAATTCCCGGACCTGGGACAGCATCATTTGACGGTTGTGATCTGAACCTCGGTCCTGCCTGTCCTCTCGGCCTTACATGAGTGACTGCGTGCGATGGAGAGATGGGTGGAACTGACGTCGCGCTCGCCACGATGAAGAGCAGTGCATGAGCACGTGCTGAGTTGTTTCCCTCTGTCCTTGGGTTGCAGTGCTGAAGGGCAAGAAGCTAAGCCTCCCGGCGTAGAAGCCTCTCGCCACTCGGCCCGGCGTCACTTCTCCGACGCTGTCCGCACGAAGTCGTTGGAGCAAAGGGTCAATACGAAGACTAGCACGCACTCGCACGCACTCGCACGCAATCGCTCGCACACACAACTTGGCTCTCTTTCTCTTTTCTCTCTCTCACTCTCTCTTTAAAACGGGTGAAATATGCAAACATGGTAACAATTCCAGAACAAGATGGCGTTCGAGTTGAATCCGTTGGCGGTTGTAATCGCAGTGCGCGCTCGAACGCCCCTCTCGTTGCTTCAGCCGGCTCTCGCCTAGTTAAATAAAGGACGCATTCATTGACTCGGATCAAATGTATCCGGGGTGATTCCTTTATAGATACCCCACTGACCCCGGCTAACGCACCACCCATCGGATGCGGTAAACAAATCGGACCGGCCATGTTGGAGAAAGTGTTCTAGCGGAGTGTTGGATGATTTCACAAGTGCGTATTGCGATTGGTGGCAGACATGTCGATGCTTGGACGTGAATGATTATTTTCTCCATAAATTTCTTCCCTATTTTAGTGGGCCGTCTATAAATGGATCGTCCCCGTATATACAGTTGGCGGCAAAAGTCAGGAACCCGTAGCGGTGTGTTGATTGAAAACACGGGCTGAGCGTGTTGTTGAGATCCACGTGGACTTGTTGAGGAATGTTCAAGTGTCCTGTGTGGAAACGTAAGATGCGTGCGCAAGCAATCGGTGCACAGTTCAAGCATCTAGAAATAACAAACAGCAGGAAGGCACGACTTTTATCACGTGACCACTACATTGCATGTACCGTGCTCCTCAACCTTTGCCAGACCATCAACTCAAAATCGAGCTGAGAATGTGGCCTTATTATTGATTGCAATTCAAGCAATCTGCTATCAATGACAATTCAGACTCGGGCTCAGACTTTATTTCCGCTGGCGAGGCCCCATTGAGCGACACCGCTCCGTTGTTTCAACGACGACCGCAGCCCAAGAACGCCGGCAGTGGTGGCAGTTACAAAACATTGCAATCGTGGGGGATATGCAAACTAAACAAGGACAGAAAGACAAAACTGTGTCCACAACGACATATATAAGCACAGACGTATGGTTCCTGGCATTTGTCTTACCTTGTATACTGTATATGCATATATTTGCTTCCAAGTGTGTGTCCCCATAGTGAAATGAGTATTCAATGGTGCTTATTTGCAATGGCACGTTTTAAGCCAGTGGTGGAAACTCTACATTGCTATGTCAGGGACTAGTATCTCCACAGGACAACCACTATTTTGTATACTGTATATAATCACGATGATATCGGTCCTTTATTTATCCAGGAGAGAAAGAAAAACACCTCGCCGAGTTTCGCAAGGGTCTTACTTCGGGATATTAGGCCAATTCGTTTTTGAGTATTTTTTTACATATCCTGTGCTATGTAATGAACGGTCAATACACGTAGCAGAATACAGGAGAAACGCTGTCTTATAAGTAGACGAAGCTCTTGTAAACTCATCCCAGTGCTTAACCAAACTTATTTTACCATGCATTGGAGGTTTCCGCAGCCACGATTAGAATTCGTATATGTAAACTTTATACGGGCCGTGTAATGGCATGCGTGACTTCACTGAAGCAACGACCGGTGGTGAAAGTTGCATATACATGGTCGTATCCGCGTGAAGTTTACAAAGTTTTCACGTTTACCACTACGTTTGCCGTTTCAAAGAGCGTACACCTTATACGTTTGCCGTGGAGCGTTATGGGTAGAAGCGTGAATAGGCAGAACTCCGTTTCTGTGTTCTCACATAAAATGAAAACATTGTCTATAAAACTATGGCTTTTGTCATTGAACATGAGCCTCAAAGTTTAGATGGCAAGTTCTTGCCAATGACACCTGGAAATCAAGCGGCATTTGTTTAACGAGCCTGACTCTGCTGATGAGACCCAGCAAATGGAAACCGGTGCCGAGTTCGCTTGCGTCAACAAACTTTGCTTGGTAAAATTGGTCTGGGAAAGTCAATGGGCCGATGGACTAACACATTTGTAGTTATACGTGGAGACACAAGACAGAGTTCTGCTTTGATGTTCTATCTGATATAGGTCATAAAGTGTCATGCCGTAAATGTTACATGATGTATATTTCACCCCTTTTTAGTTTTATCATTTCAACCTTTGCATTTTTAAAGGCCCAGTGTATAGTTTTTCAGATTTTATTATCATTATTGAGATTTGGTGGGGGGGAATAGTGAGTGCTGAGGTTGGTATCAGTCCAGATGTTCTCTCTATATTTAGAGCAAACACATCACCGGAGAAATGCGACACATTGTCTGAAATTACGGTAGTCAACCAAAGGGTACGAGTGCGTGGACACTGTGAGCTTGGCGACGATCAGGAGAGCTTAGACGCGATGGCGCTTAGCCATTTCTTTGCAAAGAGCTGAGCTGATCGTGCGATCAAATTTAATTGATTATTTTCGATTTAAAGCTTTCGTGACCGCAGGGATTCATATTCCTGGTTCTTTCGGTAAAGTCACGTAGAAGGGAAATAATAAAAATAAAGTTTTCATATTTTTTTTATTTCCCTTCTACATGACTTTACCGAAAAAAACAAGAATATTAATTGATTCTACGAAACCTAACAAGTCGGTACCGCACACCACTATTTAATTTCACAATTGTGGACATTTTGACGATGGCAAACGTATCGTAGTCATCGTCGGTCTACGCGAATACTCGCTCCGTGCGTGGTCCGACAACCGAGCCTTCGAAAACTCCAGACTCGTCACCCACTCGTGTATCTCACACTTGGGGTTTGACACTCGGAATCGAATCGTTGTCAACCTAGTTGCTCACTGGCTCTGCCGAGCACATGCCGACCTCCTGAGTTGTCCGTCCACCCATTATCACCAATTGTCACCTCCCCGTTTTGTCAGCGCACGTGGCCACAACTGGTCCCCCATGGGACGGCTAAACCCATCGCATTGGCAATCGCTCAACAAATCGTCGTCGTAGGAGGCGCTGACGGTGACTCGCTTCCGATGTGTCGGATTTTTAGGTGCGATGGCTTTATATTAGAACGCGCGTACTCACTGAAGCATGTGCATCCACTCACCCTTCCCCCAACACGCTCTGTTCGCTACCCCGTTTTCCAGCGTGATTCTTCCGTGAGTTTAACTTGTCTGCATTGTTATTTGTATTACTCATTCGAAATTTACACTCGCCCCCTTCGCTTTGGACGCCAAGGCAGCAACTTGTAACACAGTATTAGAAGTTAGAACGTTTCCTAATTTTTCTCTCTTTTAAGGATATTACTCGTTGCATTTCATCGCACAGTGTATTTTGTATCATTATAAAACTGCCGTTAGCATACAAATGGGTCTTAAGGACAAGCATTTTTTCTGCTTTGTATTAAAGTGTTCGATCACGGCACCCGTGTCATTTACAATCGTTGCGTTGTTTTTTTTTATGTTTTTAATCATTCGCTCGCTGATACCTGGGTCTGTCCGCAATTGTGCGTTTGTGTGTGTGTGTGCTGAAACAAAGCAAACGGCGTGCCCAGACGAGCCACTCGTGTGGGTGATTTTGACTTTTGCTTTGACTGGTTGGTACAGCATTGTGAAAACTTCGGGTGGTGCTCAGATTCGAACTGTTATGGAGCCTGCACAGTCTGGAAATGCGACTGGCTGTTATGGGAGTCATACTCTGATTAGACATGAGTTTTACATTCCACTAATTCATTGATTAATATTAGTTCTTAAGCTCATGATACACGTGTCAAATTATGACTGTGAGAACCAGTCGACTTTTGTTGATTTAAATTCGCGACTGGCTGGTATGGGAGTCATACTGATTAGACTTGAGTTTTAAACTCCACTAATTAATTGATAATTATCAGTTCTTAAGCTCATGATACACGGTCAAATTATGAATGTAAAAACCAGTGGATTTTTAAAATTCTTATTTGTTGCAATTGGTTTACGTGATTCATGCAGCCACTAGAGGCTGCCACATTGGCACCGTTTAAAGAATAATTGATGGTTTAATTTGGAATAGTGACCCCCGTAGATTGTGACAATCCATCCATTGGCTGGAAGGGGTAGATCGTTTAGCAGCTCCTAAAAAGTGTGGGATTTAAACGTGGCTTCGTGCCCAAACAACAACACATTTAATTGTCACCACTGTAGGGATCCGTCTGCGCATGAGCCTCCTACCGTACGTACATCACTCCCGATCGGCCCGACACACTCTGGCTCTGCCTCGACCAGGAGCCGGCATTCTGCGGCTCCGTAGCCACATGCGGCTCTTTGATGGACTGCTTCCTGACGTCATTCACGTTGCATTGCGGCTCTTCAAATATATTGGAGGTTTTTTTAGTTTTTACCGAATTTGCTAAAAACAAATTTTACTCTTCTTGTTATTTTGCTTTGCCGATCCCTGGTCTGAACGTGCTGATTTGCGTCAAGTGTTTAATATCGCGATCTCGTCGTTATCTCTCGTTTATTCATAATCAACGTTTTTGGGTTAGATCGCGTTATTTATAAATGTGTCGTAACCCTCCACCACCCGACACGGCCAATCAGCAAAAAAAGTGTCACGTTGACAAAAGACAAATAGTTCACTGCTTTAGCCCACCGGTGTGTTGAAGCGTGAAACCACAACATTTAAAAATTTTTGAGTAGCACGACGTTTCGCTGGTAATTGCATCCAGCATCATCGGGCAATTCGCCAGAAAACGTTGATTATGAATAATATTGGTCGCGAAAGCCTACGTGTTAAATCTCTCGTTTAGTTCAACTCCACACTATAATAGCAGTCCGTCACATTTGTTTCAGCACCTCCACGACCACCACCCCCCCCCCCCCACACATCACCACCCGTTGCAGCTGTGAGTTGAGACGCACGCGAGATGGGGAACGACTGCAAGGACGCCTTGCCTTGGATGTTGAACAACATCGACGCTTTGTTACAAACACGAGTGTAGCCGCCGAGTGTACAATAAACATGATTCTTGCATAGTTGGTGCTTGTGTGTGTGTGTGTGTCAGTTTCAATCCACTGCTGGATGAGAAGGACCCGCAGGCCTGCATGGCACGCGCAGGTCATCCTCGTTCGGCAATCCTCTCGCGATGAGTACTGGACATTCCACATTACTATGGCGGGTGGCAAGAGTGGTGAGTGCTGTGCATCGTGAACCTGGCGCCCTGAGGGCGATTCCCGCTCACGGCTAACATCAGTGGCCAGTAATGTGGGCTACCCCACCCCCACCCTCCCACTAGCTTCGCCAATCCTCACTGACCAGCGTGGTGAAGTATGGTCAAACCAACACGGGCACATAGAGACCATCATTCAGCGGTGGGTTGACACTTTAAATTGAAAATTAATTTCTTTAGAACTGATTTTGGTGTTTAGTTCTTTCCCCGCACCTCCGATTAGCACAGTTGGCTGCGTACGGTGCGAAAGAAGTTCAACACGCAGACATGTATGGACATTGTGATGTGGAAGTGCTAAATTCATCTCGATCCGAAGTAATTGATAGCGGATTGTTAGTAAATTGACAATTTTCACCGCGTTTATCTGTAGAGTATTGACTATATTCATCGTGAGCTTAGGGATAAATGTTAATCTGCGATGGTATGCGTCGTATACACCCAGAAGCCTATTTTTGTCACTGAATGTGTTTTCAGGGTCGCTGGGCAAACTGCAGAGGGCGCGAGCTGAGTGGCCCCAGCAATAGCGAGATGGATACTGGATGTGGTGTGCCGGGCACTGATATATTAATTGCCGGTCCACTGATCACAATCAGGATATGTATTCTTAGTTCTTTCGGTAAAGTTACGTAGATAGAAAATAAATAAAAAATAAATATTATTTTCATTTACTTGACTTTATCTACGTGACTTTATCGAAAGAACCAAGAATATGAATTCCTGCAGTCACGAAAGTTTTAAGTCAACATTTAATCAGGATGTGTGTACTTGAAGAATCCGATGAGCTATAAAGCTTTTTTTCAGAGATGCCATGTCGGGGCGGATCAGAGTATTACGAAAAACAATAAAAATAACGATAGAAGTAAAATAGCAAAGGTCAACAAATTACAAATAAAACGTAACTATTTCGTATCTCACCAAGGCCCACTTAGCTATTAACGTATTTTTCAGAAATGACCTGGCCACAAACGATACCACAACGAAGTGGCTTGTCATGTGGAAATGTAGAGCATTAATAGAATGAAGCCCTGGTTACACATCCACTGTAACACATTCCTGCGGAGGGAGCTGGTAGGAACGTTGGGTTACTCGGTCAATGGCCAGGGTCAACGGCGGCGTGGTGTATTCCGCAAATATGCCCGACTGTGAGGGCGGGCACAAGCCGGCGTGAGTAGGTTAAACGTTGAGTTTTATAAGGGCACCACAAGGTGACCAGCCCCTCCCCACACAGCCCCACCCCTCCTACCCCCCACCCAGCTCCACCCTCCCCACCCAGCCCACCCTCCCCACCATCCCCACCCAGCCCCACCCTCCCGACCCAGCCCCTCCCCACCCTCCCCACCCAGCCCCTCCCCACCCAGCCCCTCCTCACCCAGCCCCTCCCCACCCTCCCCACCCAGCCCCACCCTCCCCTCCCCACCCAGCCCCACCCTCCCCACCCTCCCCACCCAGCCCCTCCCCACCCTCCCCACCCAGCCCCTCCCCACCCAGCCCCTCCTCACCCAGCCCCTCCCCACCCACCCCACCCAGCCCCACCCTCCCCTCCCCACCCAGCCCCACCCTCCCCTCCCCACCCAGCCCCTCCCTCTCCACCCAGCCCCTCCCTGCACGACGGACGGACGGACGGACACAATAATCCCCTGTGGGCTGGTGTAACCAGGAGGTTCCTACCAGTATTATTTGCATTACCTGTCAACCCACACGGTTCACCCTGTATTCTTGTACAGGGAAATTTAGTGTTAAGGTCATACGACGTACAGCCGTTTCGATACGGTCAAAATAAATGTGTCTGTCTACTTGTTTGTGTTTCTCTCTTGTGATGGGGACTTTGTAGGATTAACGTTGAGATTCATAAGAGGCACGGGGTGACCAATAAGGTCTGAATTGTTTTGTAATAAGGGGCCGTCCATAAATGACGTCACGCAACTGGGGGGGGGGGGGGGGGTCAGACATTCGTGACGATGTGTGACGAGGGGGAGGGGTTTGAGAAATGTGACGTCACATCAAAATGCGCAACTTTAAATAAATATAGACAACACGTTCTACTTAATTAAATAGACTTTTTAATAAATGTTTTCTCCTACAACATCAGAGTGCAGCGCCACATTAAATACGCACTACAATGACAATAGTTTAAAGCGATTTGAAGCATGTTTTATTTGGGGGGGGGGGGGGGGGCAGAGCTTTGTGACGTCATATTTGAGGGGGGGGGGGGGTCTGACTTTTTGTGACGTCGTGTGACGAGGGGGGGGGGGGTCAAAAATCGTACAAAATCGCGTGACGTCATTTATGGACGGCCCCTAAGGCATCATGATAGTATCGATTGTTTACTCTTAAACGGAATAGCGTCGCTTATTGTAACCACACAACACACACAGAATACGCCAAGCAACGCATTTTAAACATGAACGTGGGTTGCCATGGGCAACACCGTCAAATACAGTGACGTCACCACACAAATACAGTGACGTCACCACACAAATACAGTGACGTCACCACACAAATACAGTGACGTCACCACACAAATACAGTGACGTCACCACACAAATACAGTGACGTCACCACACAAATACAGTGACGTCACCACACAAATACAGTGACGTCACCACACAAATACAGTGACGTCACCACATAAATACAGTGACGTCATTAACGATCACAACGACAACAATAACACAGCATTGCAATTCCCCGATCATCTTCTAAAACTAAAATCGATTGCATTTTATCGTCACACTGACGTCAATCGACGCATTTTAAACATGAACGTGGGTTGCCATGGGCAACACCGTCAAATACAGTGACGTCACCACACAAATACAGTGACGTCACCACACAAATACAGTGACGTCACCACACAAATACAGTGACGTCATTCACGACCACAACGACAACAATTGTAATTCCCCGATTATCTTCGAAAACAAAAATCGATTTTCTTTTAAATCGTCTCACTGACGTTCTTTTTTTTCTGTCGCCAACAAAAAATGTTTTTTTTATTTTTTTAAAAATCGCCGAAACGAAACCGAAACGTGACGAATGGGGAAGCCGGAATGAGAGGAGGCTCGCGTCTGAGGGATGTTGAAATTATTTCTGCTTCACTTCGAAAAGTGATTACCTCAGAGAACTCCGACGAAACTCCGACATTCAACGAAACGACCACCGCGTTAAAGTGTCGTAGTCCGCGCGTGTGGACGATGTCTCGGCTTCGCGGGTCTGTTTTATGTTTAGTTATTGCGGCAGTAGCGCCGTGAGGCCTAGTCGACACGAGTGGACACCGGTCTCGGCTAGTTGCCATGCCGGGCTTGAGGGTGTTCGGCCGGCGCTGGGGGGTGGCAAGCGACGACCTCGTCTTCCCGGGCTCCTGCGAGTTCTTCGTGCGAGCGATATGGTAGGCGTTATTGTGTCATGTGAATTGACGTTAATTAACGTTCATCGTTGATTAATCAATGTGGGATGTTGATGAAGGAAGTCGTGGGTTGGTTGATGTGGTGTCGGGTGTTCGTGTCAATGACTCGGCATGTTGGATCAGTGTCATGTTTTTTCTGAAGTCAATGTCGGTATTTGATAAATAGGGGATTTGGCTGAAGGTAAGTGCTGCCCAGGTATGGGAAGGGTTCGTCAATGATAGGCGATGAACCCACGTTCCTAAATTAAGGAGTGTAGCGGTATATAAGTTCGTGTTTGAAGTGACAGTGTTTGTTTATTATTGGACGAATTCGGATCCGTTCAACACGTAGGCTTTCGCGACCAATATCAATAACACAGGATTTTTTAGGGTTAGATCGCGTAGCATCTAACCCCCAAAAAACCTGTACAGTATTTAGAATTTGGATCCGTCAGAAGATAGAACGCAATGCCGTGTGTGTGTGTCTGTTCAGAATTTTTCACAGTGGCATTGTCGGCAGTACATGGGCTTCATCTTGCAGTTATCTCAGTCAGTCAATCAACCCTAACAGTCAACACAAAACACCTCTAGGGTCTGGCCCGTTGTGTCCTGCCAACGAGCCTTTCCACACTTTAACGTGGCCTCAAAGTGCACCTGGCCTGGCACAAATGTTGTGGGGAAGTCACTGCCATTCGTTGTATTCGACACGCACATGCGTACCCGAACCAATACACGTTAGCGTTCTTATTACACAACTATGGAATCTTCTTCTTGGTTCTTTCGGTAAAATCACGTAGATGGGAAATCATGAAATGATACAAATAAAACATAATGAAAATACAATTATTATTTTATTATTTCCCTTCTACGTGACTTTACCCAAAGAACCAAGAAGATGAATCCCTGCAGTCACGAAAGCTTTAAATCGAAACTATGGAATCTGTCAAAGAATGGAAGTGTGGCTGGGTGTGGTGTGGTGCAGTGCAGTGAAATCACGGGGATTGACCAAGGTTGAATGTTTTTTTTGTGTGTGGTGGAGATTTATGACCCAAACTGCTCTCGTTATCTTCCTGGTGACACCTCGTTGGTTTACGAGATGGCAGCAAGTGGTGGGTGATGATTGGCGAAAAGGAAACTTTGAGTGTTGAAGAGTGCTGGCTACCCCCCCCTTCCCCCCGTGTGCCGTGCCGGCCTTCATAAGTGCTTGCTATCTTCTTGGTTCTTTCGGTAAAGTCACGTAGAAGGGAAGTAATAAAATAATAAAAATACAACATAATAAAATCTCACGACGTTTCGGCCACAACGCAAGCAGCCGTCCTCAGGTGAAGACCAGGTCTGTCGGGGAGACCGCGTCTCACCTGAGGATGGCTGCTTGCATTGTGGCCGAAATGTCGTGAGAATTATTTTATTATGTTTTTTTTTATTTCCCTTCTAAGTGACTTTAGCGAAAGAACCAAGAAGATGAATCACTGCAGTCACGAAAGCTTTAAATCGAAAAGTGCTTGCTAACAGGACTTGCTCTAACAGTGTGTTAAGGCTATACAGAGGATCTTTGTTTTTGTATGTAATTACTTCATGCGACCCTTACAACCACTACAGGTGCTACAACTCAGCCTAAATTTCGATGTAAAGCTTTCGTGACTGCAGGGATTCATCTTCTTGGTTCTTTCGGTAAAGTCACGTAGAAGGGAAATAATAAAATTATAAAAATAAAACATAATAAAATAATTAAAATATTATTTTATTATGTTAATAAAATAATAAAAATAAAACATAATAAAATAATAAAAATATTATTTTATTATGTTTAATCTTTATTATTTTATTATTTCCCTTCTACGTGACTTTACCGAAAGAACCAAGAAGATGAACTCAGCCTAATGTTAAACATCGTGCCATGCAGGTGGATCGTGATGCTGGTGCTGTATACGGGGCAGCGCACGGAGCTCAGCCACTGCGAGGGGGGAGCCACACTCAGCACCTTCCTGCTCGGCAACATCATCATTCTCCTGGCCGTGCTGCTCGTGCTTGCGTGCGTCGTGTACACCAGCATGCAGGGTGAGGAGCGTGCAGACACACCGCCGATGGTGTGTTACGCGTAAGTGAGAGACGCGTTGCATTGCTGATTTATTTTTGGCTCTCCGATGTGTTCTCGGGTTGTGCCGCGTGTTAAGCATGACGTCTGATGTTATTCACCCCACGTGCTGGGAGCGTCTTCAGGAACTGAACTCTTCAGTTAGTGTCCCGTCACGTGGAGCGAAACATCGCACATCGCGCTGAACAACACGCGGTATGACGCGAACACACATTGCAGAGTTAAGCGGCACTGCCATGAAAACCTGCGCAGTGGATAAAAATCTATTTATATTTTTCTTTTACGAGGTAAGACCCACTGAGCTACTTGGCTCTTTTTTAGAAGCGACCTGGCTATCACAAATGATAGCTCAACAAAGTGGCTTATACATTCTTGGTTCTTTCGGTAAAGTCACGTAGAAGGGAAATCGGTGATTGCTTATGTTGCAGTTGAAACGTTGTGAGAATTTTTATTGTTTTATATTTATTTTATTTTATTATTTTCCTTCTCTGTGACTTTACTGAAAGAACCAAGAATATTAATCCCTGCAGTCACGAAAGCTTTAAATAAATAAAAAAGTTGCTTATCTTCGTGGAAATTTCTAGCAGTCAAATACTCTAAACGCACGTTGATTGTAAATGTGCAGGGAAAAACCAGACGACTCGGAGAAAAATTCACGCGACCACGGGGATAACATGCCAACTCCAAATATACAGGCGCCAGGGTCGGGATCGAACCCACGACCTCCTCCATACCAGGCGAGGGAGTTAACAGCAACGCCTGATGTTTCCGCTTCACGTTGGTGCGGTTCACCGCACGCAGGAACCATCGGCCTCCCGTACAAGCGGCGACGCATGCCGAACCTGGTGTACGCACGCACGCTGCTCTACGCACCCGAGCTCGTGTGGACGGTGCTGGGCTCCGCGTGGAGCGTGCGGTTGCGGTCTGTCGCCGACTGCGGCGACGAAGCGCTCACCGCCATGAAGGGAGCCGTCGCCACCAGGTGACCGCGCGTGTCACGTGATCGGCGGCCGTGTTTTTCTGACGTTGTCGGGCACATTGTTTTCAGCACTGTGCCTATCGACTGCTGGATGGCTTTCCCAAGCCTTAGCTCTCTCTGTCATTCTCGCATTCCAATAATCCATCTAGCATTTGCGTGCGAGCCGATTCCTTCGCTCCAGCAGAGCAGCAGGCGACAATATTCAGACACCAGCACTCCTGACCTCATCGTCTATCGCTGTATTTTTCCCTCGGCAGCTGGATCATCATGCTGGCCACGCTGGTCACAGGTGGCGCTGGCGTTTGACCCGCTGGGTGGCCACAGCGAGGCAAGCGGCGGCGGTGGCGATGGCGGTGGCGCCGACTCAATGCGGCTGTTGTGCGCAGCGCGTGGCACGGCGCGGCGCGTGTGGGAGACGCGCATGCGGCTCCTGTGCTGTTGGCTCGGGGATGAGGACCACGGCGGGGCCTTCTCCGAGATCGCGCGCGTGCTCAGCGACTTCTTCTTGGTATGTCGGGGGTGGCGTTTGTATGTCGCACGCTTTGGGTATATACAGGCAGGGAAGCTCATTTGGTCCGCAATCATAGATTACTTTTTAATTGTGGCGAGATGTTAACTACCTCACCTGGTATACAGAAGGTTGTGGCTATGATCCCGACTTTGACGCCTGTGTATTTTGAGCTTGCATTTTCTCCCTGTGATTCGTATGGATCTTCGTCCGGGTCCTCCAGTTTTTTCCTCCACATTTAGAAACATGCGTTTATAGTATTTGGCTGAAATAAATTTCCATAGTAAGCCACTTCGTTGTGGTATCGTTTGTGGCCAGGTCGCTTCTTAAAAAGCTATATAGCTCAATGGGCCTCACCTGCTAAAATAGTTTAGTTTTACTGGGGGCTTTTTATCTGATGTTTCCTCGGCCCTTTTGCGATTCTTCCCAGGTTGATCCATCAAGCCTTGCTTCTACAGCGCTGGATTACAGCCGTGTTGCGCCACGACAGCCAGCTATGACTAAACAAATCAATGAAATTAGACGGAGCGTCTTGTATTGCGCAGAACCCTTAACCTTCATGTCTCTTCTCTCGCGCAGGACACGGACCTCGTAGCCAGCGACATCGCGGCAGGGCTGTCCCTGCTTCACCAGCAGCAGGACCGGCAGGGCCCACGTGAGGTCATCACTGAGGGGCCTCTCTCGCTCATAGCCCACCCGGTGAGACTCGTGCTCGCTCCCTCGCTTCCAGGGTTATCTGCTTACCAGTTCGTCCATAGTTTCGTCCCTTTTTGCTCTTTGTTGATAACTTGACAAACTGCGTTGTCTCTCTCGATCGTGGTCCAACTGGTCAGGCCCTCGCTCGCTGTCTGAGTTGTTGCTCTGTTTGTTATTCTGTTGTCTGTCTTGCTCAGTGCCCATCCTGTAAGGCACATGCTCGTTCATTTGTTCTATTGTTCGTTTATTGATCATTTCAAACGTTCGTGCATCATTGCCCTCAGTTGTATTGACATCAGTTGCTGATGATTTAAAGGAAGAAGCAATCTCTTTCCATCTTCTTGTGCCCATGGGAAAGGGATGTATCCGATGGATGGAGGGTATTGTAAATGCAACTGGGTGGACAGTATTAAAGGAATGTTCTAGAAAAGCACAAAATTGCAGAGAGCGGAGGAGTGTCAACAGTCATCATCGAGGTCGTGAATCCTCATCAATGAGTAGAACGTATGTATGTTGAACTTCTATCACACCGTACGTAGCCAACCACGCTAATCTGAGGTGCTGGGGAAGGACAACAAACCTAAGCACAAAAAGCAGTTCTAAACAAATGAGTTTTCAATCTCGATTTAAATGTGCATAGCTGCCCAGTGGCTTCCTACGACAACGAGAGCTAGAGATCGCGTTTAGGTTTCGGCGTGCGCATTGTGCACCTAGCCTGGCACTGAGCTCGTAGCGGTGACTTACGTCTGCGTGGTTCCCCATGTCGTGCGGAGCAGCAGGAGAGCCTGAATGTGGAGCTGGACAGCGCCGCTCACTACGCAAAGTTTGCGTGGGCGGCCTACGGTTGGCCCATGTATGTCCTACAGAATCCACTCTCCGGCCTCTCCGTGTTCTTCGAGAACTGCAGGTGGGGGTTTCTTCTTCTCGGTTCATCCCTTCCGTGTCTCTCGCACACGCCGACAGTGCCACGAGTCGGTATACAACATCCCAGTCAAGAGTTTAAAATCTTACTAGTGAAGCACCGTCGACGCTGCCATGCGTGGCGAGATGTCATCACGCTCGACTGGTATGCAGGAGATCATGGGTTTGATCCCGACCCTGACGATGCCTGTATATTTGGAGTTTGTCGTGTCTCTCTCCTCATGGTTGCGTGGATTTTTCTCCGGGTCCTCCGGTTTTTCCCTCCACATTTAGAATCAACATGCATTTAGAGTATTTGGCTGCTATAAATTTCCACGTGATAAGCCACTTCATTGAGCCTATCATTTGTGAGAGCTAGGTCGCTTCTGAAAAAAGAGCTATATCGCTCAGTGGGTCTTACCTAGTAAAATAAAAAATAGTAGTTTAGTTTACTGATGGTTAGCACAAGTTACTTGCGATCCGGATGGGTGCCGGTTAGATTTTATCTCCCAACGCGGCAGTTCAAAATAATGGGCAAATTACCTAAACTCCCTCTCCCTCCTCTGCCCACCCAGCAGAATAAATAAGTTCACCACATGTTATAGATCAGCAGGTCGTGTGTGGTGGGGTCACGTGTGGGTATTCCCACCTCTTCCAAGACAACTGACCAGTGTAGGACAGAAGGCCAAATACCCTCTAGTGGGGGCTCTCTGGAGCTCCCTCTACTGGACGTTTTTCCGCCAGCAGTGATGTGAGCATGCAATTGCAGGGCTGTCCCTTTACTTTTGAAATGTTACGCACGAATCCAGCAATGACTCAACAAATCCTTACACCAGGCGTATTCATACGTGCATGCGTGGGTGGGTACGTGCGTGCGTGGGTACGTGCGTGCGTGTGTGCATGGGTGGGTGGGTGCATGTGTGCGTGGCTACGTGCGTGGGTACGTGTGTGAGTGTGTGCATGGGTGGGTGCGTGCGTGGGTACGTGTGTGAGTGGGTGCATGTGTGCGTGGCTACGTGTGTGCGTGTGTGCATGCGTGGGTGTGTGCGTGGGTACGTGTGTGAGTGTGTGCATGCGTGGGTGTGTGCGTGGGTACGTGTGTGAGTGTGTGCGTGGGTACGTGTGCGAGTGTGTGCATGGGTACGTGTGTGAGTGTGTGCGTGGGTGGGTGTGTGTGAGTGGGTGCATGTGTGCGTGGGTACGTGTGTGAGTGTGTGCGTGGGTGGGTGCGTGTGTGTGTGCGTGCAGCTGTAGGCGTGGAGGACAGCAGAGCGCCGAGTATTCGTTGGTCGGCGGTGGCGATGGCGATGGCGGTGACGGTCGCCACGTCGCGACTGTGCTGCGCGTCACGGGCCTCGGCAGGAACGACCTCATCCACGTCAGCTTCCACAACGCGGTGAGCGCAGCCAGGGTTCTCTCGTCTCTGTACGATATCGAAGATTCAACGATGGACCGAAAATTTCTATCGACTTTTTCGTAAAACTCTCATTCAAGCCATTCCTCGCGTGAGGCGGCTGATAATGTTGAAGACGTCGTCAAGCGCCGCCCGTCACCTCCCGTGTTGTCTCCTTTGTCGAGTAATCAAACGCATCATCGGTAGAGGAATCAATTACTTGAATGGACAGCTCAGCTTGAGAAAATTCGGTTTCAGTAAAGACCGTGATTTGGGTAGATTGGTGGCGCAGTGTTTATAAAACTGTGCTATGAATCCATCGACCCGAATTCAATTCCTGGCCATGGCTAACATCATGTTATTTCCTTGACGTCTCTCAAATGTTGATCATGTTGCACTGTGAATAAGATATCCTAAGCTGTAGCCGTGAGAGATGGTGACAGAATGGGGAGGCCTTCGTTCAGCAGTGATATTGACCGTGGCTGACACCGAATCTTTGTTGATGCGTCTCGTTGTTGACGCGTTGATGCGTCTCGTTCTCACGCAGGTTTACCAGATCCCGTTCTTCGTGGCGCTCGATCACGACACGCAGGCGGTGGTGGTGTCCGTGCGGGGCACGCTGTCGCTGAGGGTGCGTTCCCCCCCCCTCTCCCACCATGCCACAATCCCGCCGCGGCAAACGCCCGGTTCACACAAAGTGCGCAACGCAACAGGCCTGCGACCAATGTACCCTCATTGTCCCCCGATCTCGTCAGATCCTGGAAGCTAAGTAGCACCGAACCTGGTTCGTACTCGGATGGGTTTACGAGGTGTGGGGCTGTGAAGACTGCGATGTTGAGTATTACCCGCTCATACCCCCCCCTGGGTTTTCTGTGTTTTTTGGATTCATGTCAAACATTCATAGTCTTGAGCTGACGTCTGACGAAGGATAATTCATTGCGGAGTGAAATTGCGACACCGAATTGTGACAATCTATGAGAATTCTTGTCGGGCGAATCGAGAAACTTTAACCGGTGGATAAAGGAAAGATGAGTGTCGTGATGACTTGTGGAGACAGTGGAGATGCAGCAGTCACGGCGAGGGTTGATTTTTTCTTGCATGCGCGTGCATGTTCCGCATGTGCTTGTCACGTCCGCGCGGGGAACCACAGGACGTCTTGACGGATCTCTCGGCCGACTGCGAGAGCATGCAAGTGGACGGCCTACAGCAAGACTGCTACGCTCACAAGGTAGGTCTACAAGCAGCACGCTACGGCTAGGTGCCACCAAATAAAACGGATGGCTTGTGGAGCCAAATAGCTCTTGTGGTTCACACAAACTCTATGCACGGTAAACCCCAGTTTGCCGGGTTTTGCATTTATCCCGACCAATGTCGGCTGTTTGAGAACGTTTGTGAAAGACGCGGTCATGAGTGTACTCGTTACATCACCTTTTAGCATGGCACTCTTTGGCAAAACGGCCGCTGCAGTGACTGCTAAAGTATGGCTTGAAGCCACTGTCATGGTGGGGACCAGCCTCTCCATGGGACAACCGGTGTTGGCTCCCACAAAGTGGTACTTATTTTAGCCACTCAGGGGCGATGATGTTACCGACAATGATATTCCAAGTTATGCATTTGTGTAGGATTTATCGTCAGGGGTGTGTGTGTGTGTGTGGATTTATAGATAGTTGTTTGTCTGCATGGAAGAGCAAGACTGAAATGTGTACCTACGTTGCTCTTATCTATGACACATTCAGGGCATGATTCAAGCGGCCACATTCATTCACCAGAGATTGGTCAACGACGGCATCCTGAATGAAGCGTTTCAGCAGGCACAGGTGAGTTGTTTTTTTTTAACACAAACCTGGTAACATAAAAACTAGTTGATATAGTTTTTAATAGTTTATTACCGTAGTTATTACGCCCGCGGTGTTAACCAGGGTGTCCGCTGGATTTGAACCGCGAACCCCTGCGCCGTCAAGCGGCGACCGCGCTACCGCTTGGCCGCATCCACCGCCGAACTGTAAGCGTGGTGAAGTATGGGCCGAATATCTTCTTGGTTCGTTCGGTAAAGTCACGTAGAAGGGAAGCAATAAAATAATAAAAATAAAACATAATAAAATAATTCTCACGACGTTTCGGCCACAACGCAAGCAGCCGTCCTCAGGTGAAGAACAGGAGACAGCGTCCATTCAGACGCTGTCTCCCCGACAGACCTGGTCTTCACCTGAGGATGGCTGCTTGCGTTGTGGCCGAAACGTCGTGATAATTATTTTAATGTTTTATTTTTGTTATTTTATTATTTCCCTTCTACGTGACTTTACCGAAAGAACCAAGAAGATGAATCCCTGCAGTCACGAAAGCTTTAAATATAATTATTTTATTATGTTTTATTTTTATTATTTTATTATTTCCCTTCTACGTGACTTTACCGAAAGAACCAAGAAGATGAATCCCTGCAGTCACGAAAGCTTTACATCGAAAAATGGGCCGAATAATCCGCATGACCCGCACGGCGTGGGGAAGCCGTCATCCTGTAGCAGCGGTTGAACAAAAGGGCTGTACACGTACATGCACACGTGTTGGGACGAGGGGCTGGCTTGTGACCGTGTGACCGTTTAACTACGGTGTGGAGTGGTGGCGTAGTGGTTTAGCGCACTGCGCTACAAACCTGCAACCCGAGTTCGAATCCCGCTTAAGGCTAACACCAGTTAGAATGATCTCAACTGGTCCTTGGCCTCCCCTAAGTCGACTCAGCTTAAAATGAGTACCTGGTGGGATGTGTAAACATCGCCACTGGAGAGACCAAAGTCAGTTCCGGCCTTCATAGGTGCTTGCTAGCAGCACTTTCCCCAACAGTCTGTGAAGGCTATACAGGGATCTTTATCTTTGTTTAACTATCTCAATGCAGGATTACCACCTGGTCGTGACGGGGCACAGCATGGGCGGCGGGGTGGCGGTCCTGCTCTCCATCCTGCTGCGGTGCGCCTACCCCCGGCTGAGGTGCTATGCCTTCTCACCACCTGGCGGACTTCTCAGGTGAGCTCCGAGTTGGTGAATGGCCAGAGAGTAGAGTGGCGGAGAGACGTGTGGGCGACGGTGACACAGAGAGACGAGCGGGTGGTACCCATTAAGAAGCCACAAGAGCTACGCACAGTTAAATCCAGATTGAAAACTACATTTCTTTAGAACTGCTTTTTGTGTCACGTTTGTTGTCCTTCCCCCGGACCTCCGATTAGCATGGTTGGCTACGTACGGTGCGAAAGCGCCTAAGGATATTTTTGCTGAATTCATAAGCGCACACACAAGTATACGCAAAAACACGCAGCATATACATAGAACCGCCCATGCACATGCGTCACACATATATGTTCACACTAACTGCACGGAAATACACACACAACAAAAATAGACGCACATACACAAAAAACAAAGGACCACCGTATAGCCTTAACAGACTTGGACAAGTGCTGTTAGCGAGCACCTATAAAGGCTGCAACAGCACGAGAGGGGGTGGGTGGCTAGCAACATGCCCGGCGGTCTCCCTAGTGCCAATGTTCACACACTGCACCAGGTACTCATTTGAGGCTGAGTCTACCTCGGGGAGGCCCAGGACTGGTTCAGATAATCTTCACTCATGTTAGCTGTGAGCGGGAATTGAATTAGGGTCACCGGGTTCGTAGCACAGCTCCGCTAACCGCCTCAATACTCGAGCACACACACTTAATTATACAAACAACAACAAAGATCCCCCATATAGCCTTAGCAGACTGTAGGGGCAAGTGCTGTTAGCGAGCACCTATGAAGGCCGGAACGGTACACGAGGGGGTGGGTGGCCAGCACCACGCCCGACCGCCTTTGTCTCCCTAGTGGCAATGCTTACACACCGCACCAGGTACTCATTTGAGGCTGAGTCGACCTAGGGGTGGCCCTGGACCGGTTCAGATAATCGTCACTGGTGTTGGCCGTGAGCGGGAATCGAACTCGGGTCGCCGGGTTCGTAGCGCAACACGCTTACCGCTACACTTCCGCTCCCCACACACAGACACACTCAAGTACACCTGCACACACAACATCATCATGAGTACATTTCGTATTCGTGACATTCTTATGGAGCAAGGCTATCACGAAAGTGCTTTGTTTCACAGCTATAAACGCAAAACACACACACGCAAACAAAACACACCACACACACACACACACGTGTGTTGTGTACAGTCACTGCAACGTTTCGAATTGCAACGCCTGCGTAGAAGACTAATTTGCTCTGTCTCTTTCCACCCACTTGGCAGTCAAACACTGGCTCACTACACCCGCGAGTTCGTCCTTTCGGTAGTCGTGGGCAAGGACGTGGTGGCCAGGTGAGACCAGCACGCACAGCCCCTCTTTCAATCCACTGCTGGATGAGGACCCCCCCCCTCCCCCGCACTTGTGCCGGTTGATTGATCGTATCTTCTTGGTTCTTTCGGTAAAGTCACGTAGAATGGAAATAATAAAATAATAAAAATAAAACATAATCAAATTATTCTCACGACGTTTCGGCCACAACGCAAGCAGCTGTCCTCAGGCGAAGAACAGGTCTGTCGATAAGACAGAGTCTCTGTCGTGAGAATTATTTTATTATGTTTTATTTTTATTATTTTATTATTTCCATTCTACGTGACTTTACCGAAAGAACCAAGAAGATGAATCCCTGCAGTCACGAAAGCTTTAAATCGAAATTGATTGATCGTAGTTCGCCGCGCTGCTTAGTGCATATTGGTGGAGGCGGGGATCAGAGAGAGTACAGTGAATTTTGCTGCAATGCCGTCTGCTGGTTGCCCACCATCATGTAGATTCGCAAGCCCTATGACAACCTGCTTTGCTTGGGGGGGGTCGCACATCCAAGAGCAACTGCATCCATAAGTGTCTTATTTAACTGTATGATAGTCCACTGACGTTCATTACCTATCTTGCTCGGAAGGCTTGGTCATATCAGGACACAACCCAAAAAACAAATATCTGTTTATCTTTTAATATATAAGCTGTCCTGGGCTGTTTGCAGCATCGTCAATAAGAAAAAAATACATTTAAGTGATGTCCCCGGGCTCTCTAGCCATATCACCGCAATATTCCATGAAATTCTGAGCCATTATCACTGCAATAATGGCACTTGTGAATTTCAAGCAGTGTCAGACAGCCCAGAATGCACGCTCATTGGTGGCTGGGCTGAGACCATCAATTCGCTTGGGTTAATTGTGGGCAGCTGACACCCGAATTCGTACCCACAATCCTAGCGGTGGCAGCTCCACGCCCGAACCAGAGGTCGCAAACGGGTTTTGATTCCTTAACCGTACCCGGCTGCACCAGGGTCGCAAACGGGTACCCGTACCCTACCCGATACCCGGCCGGGTATGGGTAGCCGGGTACCCGATTGCGACCTCTGGGATGAAGCCATGTTGCAGGCGCGGGTGGGTTGATTCTAGGAACTTGAATTGTGAGAAGAGACAAGACGTTGGGAAATGAGTGACAAACGGTTACTCACCAGTGACTCACGGCCTACCCGTACCCGGCCGCACCAGGGTCGCAAACGGGTACCGGTACTCGGCCGGGTACGGGTAGCCGGGTATCGGGTAGGGTACGGGTATCGGGTACCCGATTGCGACCTCTGGCCCGAACCCTTGAGCCGCCCGGCCACCCTAGGACCCTGGTTTCTGAACCGCGTTCAATGGGAACGACAAACTCATCGATGGGAGAAAAACCAGTGTGGACCACGAACGAAGTAATGGGGAAGTTGCTGGCAAAGAAATGCATGACTGCATGACGTTTCTTTGGAACTCCTTTTTGGGTTTCGTTTGTTGTCTTTCCCCTGCACCTCCGATGAATACTATTGGCTGCTTACGGTTCGAAAGAAGTTCAACATACATACATCATAAGTCAATCTTAGCCATTATTCATCCATCATAATCCATCAGTCATCATCATCGACTATGCAGGCATGAGCATTGAACACGCTGTCCTTGCCTTCAGACTCAGCCTGTCGAACATGGAGGACCTCAAGCAGAGCATCATTCAGATTATCTCTGCCAGCAATCGGCCGAAGGTGAGTGAGCGCGCGCGCGTTGCTAACAAAGCACGGGGCAAGCCTCACCTGCCTGTACTGCTGCCAGAGGAGCGAGACACCATTGGCGACAGTGGGAACCATGATCGTTGCGTGCGCATTGGTTGAGGCTTTGTGTTGTATTGGAAGACTATTGGCAGAGGTAGCAAGCCCCTTTGGCAACGGTGGGAAGATAATTCATCCTGTGTGAAAGAGTCGAGGGTTTGTTGTGTTACAATTTGAAGAGCCAGTTGCTCGCGCGCAGGAAGACTGATTGCGTCGAAGGTTGTAGCTGGTGAAGGCGCAATGCCGTACGTCTCTTAACAGCGTAGAAAAGGTAAAGGCGCAATACTGCAATTGCTCACGACCCTGCTAGCGGAAGGTCCTCCTCTAAAGGCAGCTGTAGAGGACCACTCTCGAGGGCATTTGGCCTACTCTTCCACACTTGCCAAACATCTTGGAAGAGGTGGAATTACCAACACTTTACCCTCACATTGTAGACTGCACAGCGCAAGCTGCATATCTCAATTGTCGATGCATTTGCATGGATCCCTGTAATGCTTTTCAACGTGCTTTTGTTCTCAGAAGCGTTATAAAAAGTTTTTTTTATGAACATCACTGAGCCTCGGCGGCAACCCTTGGATCAATTTGCCCGATCTGCTCTCTGTTAACTCCCTAACAGCAACACAACTTTACGCCTAATTCCTATTCATAATGGATCGTCATTACGAGAGTTGTCGCGACGCACTCCACCACCCCACCCCACCCCCATCGCTCCAACCCCCGTTACAGACCGATAGAGCAAACGCATCAACACTTCCGACCTGAGCTGAACTGGAAAGTGCGTAGAGGAAAAAAAAAACAGCCGATGGGGCCCCGTCGTTGACGTGTGCGGGGTGGACCGAACCGTTCTGATTCTCAGTACCAGATCCTGCTGCTCGGCTGCTGCTACGAGGTATGCGGCGTGAGCTCGGGCACGGCGGACGAGGAGTCGGAGGTGCAGCGCACGAGCCTGCTGCAGCCGCTGCTGTCCACCGGCGACCTCAGCGAGGACCAGCAGCCCATGGTGTGCACGGCGTGGGTGCCGCCGCCCGACTTCACGCTCTCGCTGGCGCTTTCCTCCGGGACCGACCTGGCTGACGGGCCGCCGGCTTCGGTGTCGCTGGCGGGCGAGGCGTCGCTCATCGCCCAGCAGCAGCCGCTCTTCCTGCCCGGACGCATCCTGCACCTCGTCGACGACGATGAGGGGAGGGGAGCGTCGACCGGCAGGTGAGCGCCATCGTCGCGAGCCACCGTGCTGTCGTTGCTGTGTCAGTGGCTGAGTCGGCCCCTGTGGCGTAGCCCGGTCGGCATGTGTCAGAGGTCGCAAACTGGTTTTGATTCCTTACCCGTACCCGTACCCGGCCGCACCAGGGTCGCAAACGGGTACCCGTACCCGTACCCGGCCGGGTATGAGTACCCGTACGCTACCCGTACCCGTATCTTACCCGAAATGAGTGATAAACGGTTACTCACCAGTAACTCACGGCCTACCCGTACCCGTACACGGCCGCACCAGGATCGCAAACGGGTACCCGTACCCGTACCCGGCCGGGTACGGGTATCGGGTAGGGTACGGGTATCGGGTACCCGGTTTCGACCTCTGGCATGTGTTCTGATGCAAGAAATTGAAGTATGTACGCTGAAATTTTTTCGCGCGCCGTATGTAGCCAACCGTGCTAATCGGAGGTGCGGGGGAAGGATAACAAACTAAACAAACTTAACCAAAAAATCTGGTTTAAAAAAATGAGCTTGCAATCTAGATTTAAAAGTGCATAGCTCCGGTGGCTTCCTAATATTGGAAGGAAGAGCGTTCCAGACGGCCTCGGAAAAATGGGGGGGCGCACTCCCATTTTCAGTTTCCCTTTGCCTCTCAGTGTCGACTATAGCTATGCCACTGACCGGAGCGTGGATTCGTTCTGCCTTGGATGATGATGACGATTTGTATGCGGCCTTTCTCAAGTGTCTAGCCAGGTGGAGATGTTGAAGGATGCCAGACTCACAACAATCGCAAGTTGAAAACCTGGTCTAGGGCAGTAATTAACTTATCCAATCATCATGTTAATCATCATGAGCTCTCAACAGCATCATAATTTTAGCATAATTTAAAGCATCATAATTTTAGCACCAATATCATCGTCTTTTTTTCAGGGTCTAAAATAAGTAACAGCTCAAGTTAGTTGACAGTGACTGTCTTCTGGAAAGACTAGTCCCTTCCATACGACTTAATAATTTTCGCCACTTTCCTGCCTCGGATAGCAGCAGCATTTGTAGATTTTGGGAAAGAACAGGCAAATACCTTTTTTCACGTTACAATTGCACAGTGTCGTTAACTCGGCACTGCCTCTGGGATCTCCCAGCAACTCGGGAGACACTCATTGAGAAAATTAACCCCACTGGGTGGGGACTTTACTCCTCAGGAGTTGCTTCGGGGGAGCGCGGCGCTTCCACGCCCGCTGGGAGGACCCCTCGGCCTTCCGCACCCTCCTCATCAGCCCGCGCATGTTCACCGACCACACGCCGCACGCCATCTCGCACGCTCTGCGCCAGCTCACCAGCCCCGCTCCCGACCACCGCCCCGCAGCGCCCAGCGGCATCGCGTGACGACGGTCGGTGCCGCACGATGATCTGAGGAGTTTTGAGGTCCTCGAAGCGGTGGGTGGGGGATAAACCTACGGCCAGCGGGCCGGAAGCGGGCCAAGGCTTCATTTCATACGGCCCATGGTGGCCGTGGCCACAGCAGGTCAACCACTTGTAAACGGCCTGTGAACCCGTCGCTGCAAGAATCTTGGTGTCATCACCGGTGTTCCTGGAGTGGGAATATAATCTCGCTGGCAACGGCACGATGCTTCTGATTTCCACGATCTCGCTCACTTCTGTCACTGCAATGGCCTCCTGATGCTAGGCCGACGCGCGCGTTCGGTTCGCTGTTCTGTAATCCCACCAGACGGCACCCCCGCGACAGGATAATTCTGTCCGTCTGCTTACGAACTGTGGCCTGACATCTACACGTCCATGATAGGGTAAAGCAGGCGACGGCATCGCATTAGTGCGGTAAAGATGAGCTGTGATTAATGTTTGCGTTATTGTTGGATGACTTCGAGGTGTGTGTGGGTGGTTAGCGTGTGTATTCCTCCCGCGAAAGGCGTTCGAAAGTTCTCTTCGCTCCTTGGTAAGGAAAAACGGTTCCCCACCCCTGCCCTGTGCGTGCTTTATGCGCGCATAAATCTTCCTGTCGATCGCGCGTACACCAACACGTGGCAGCCCTTTGTCAGTCTGCGGCTGGACGCGCACTGACACGTCGCTTGGGTCGTGAGCGTTATTTGACCTTACTTAACCACGCTTGGCAGTGGATGTGAGGGCATGAAGTTTGCTGCACTGCCCTCTACTGCCCAGCACAAATCCTAGAACGCCTCTTAAGTACAACAGTCGCTCATCCACGCGCCCTCTCGGCTCACTCCGCGTAGCTTACGAGTTTATTTGATCAGTAGGCCCTTTCTATCACGTCCCAAATTACCCTTCTCCAACGTCTTGCCCTAGGTGTATCTTTAAGATTGTATGCGAAGCCCTTTGAGATGTTTTGGCATTCAACCACTGAAGAAATGTAAATGTTTATTTTGTCGTCTTGTAGGACTGTCGTGCCAGACTGTCTGGCACGAGTTTGAACTTTGTTAAGTATAAACACTGCTGATAAAAGTGACTTTCAGGCACGCTTTTGAAGTCACTGCAGTGATTTATTGTAAAGTACAGGAACGGTGCCACGGGGTAATGTCACCAGCGTGTTCGTGGAAATTACTTTTGAGTGTTTTGTTTTTTCTCATTAACTAAGATTCAAAATTGCACTGGACAGCGTGGATCACGTAGTCCAGGTACTCAACTCAGTGAGTAACAATCCATCGATTAATTGATTAACGTCAAATTCGTAGGGCTCGCGATACGTGCGTTGAATGGCGTGCGTGAGAATCAACGCTCGTCAATTCACGCAAGATTATGTGCAAAATGGATGTTGCATTTAGGCTTTTAAATAATAATATTTCTTTGGGATTTGGGGGTTGCTGGGGATCTAGCATTCTTTGCCCATCCCAAGTTGCGCTGAGGAGTTGGCGGTGGCTGGGCGTTCTCCTTGAGGTTCTGCAGCCCTTTGTGGCGGGCGGTGCTGTCCCCACAATGCTGTCTACAAGGATGTACAAATAATGAAGCAAACAACAACGTACAAGTCGGATAGGGAAAAAAAAATATGCAAACTGAGACGGCGAAAATGATACGCGAAGATATTCTTCAGACTGAGAAATCTTTCACTTCGACTGGAGGAGTAATCCGATGAGCTATGAAGCTCTTTATCAGCAGTGTCCAGTCGGGGCACGGGGTCATAAAGTTCCAACAACAATAGAAAACAACGATATGAGTGCAACGTAGAGAAAAGGCAAGCAAGTCACTATAAATAAATGAATTGAAATGTATTAAGTCTAAATACAAACTGCGTAATTACATACATTCCGGCCGATAAATTGCAGCTCCTGAATTGCATGTCTAGGGCATGAATCTACTGCCATTGCTTGACCCCTACTATCGACGCGATGAGAGCTGCTTGTTCCTTGGTTGCATCTTTCCGTTTGACGCGAGTCATTGCTTTAGTGACGACGATGTTGCACCACGACGCCAGTAATCCGGAGGGCTGGCGGCAGAGGTTGCATGCCATCACGTCAGACGCCCATCTGCAGCCCAACGTGGTGTGGTGCGGCGTGTGTGGGTGGCAATACAGCGGGTGGGTTCCTGAAGAGCGAAGCCCGTTTGCCAAAATACTCAAGCCGACCGACCAATCGTCCATTGCAGGAGATTCCTGAAAGGAGTCGAGGGCTTGAGCGAGACGCTTTGGGGTAAATAAAGAATGAACATTATTACAACGATTTAAAGCTTTCGTGACTGCAGGGAATCATCTTCTTTGTTCTTTCGGTAAAGTCACGTAGAAGGGAAATAATAACATAATAAAAATAAAACATTAAATAACTTACACGACGTTTCGGCTACAACACAACCAAGCTTGGTGGTGTTTCATTCTTCACCTGAGGACGGCTGCTTGCGTTGTAGCCGAAACGTCGTGAGAATGATTTTATTATATTTTATTTTTATTATTTTATTATTTCTCTTCTACGTGACTTTACCGAAAGAACCAAGAAGATTATTACAACGTTGTGCCATCTGTCTCACGGCTAGCAGTGAATGATAATTCAAGCGCTTGCAGTGGTTTTATTTGATAATCAAAATAACATTAATCGTCATCTCACCTGGGTTAATAAAGGACACGAATCAGTCAATATGATTACAAATGCATTGCACTTATTGTACGTTTTTTTTTAAATGTGCGTGTGTATAATATAAATGTTGTATATATGTATGTACAATGCTCGTTTGCAATTATCGCCGCCATGTGTGTTATATCGTGCGAATGCGTCGATGATCTTTTCGCAATTGTTGACCACTTTTCAGGGCCACTTTACAAGATCGCTGCTTTACACAAAATTTAAATTACGATTATTTTATCAATCCTATGAATATAACTTTTTTAAAATCAGGATGAGTGTCCCTGCGGTGAAGAGGACTCGTCCCGCAATGTGGTTGGTATGCCACAAGTATAAATAATGGTGAAGAATCGACTCCGGCCCATCATGCCTCCCCGGTGGGTAAAACATTTTGAGAGAATAATCCCCATCATGGCAATGCGGAATTTCCACCACTAGGTCGGCTATAATTAGAAATTACCACGAACTGGTAAACACTTTTACAGTAAATTTGGCCATTCACGTGATCATAATCTTAAGCGGCCTTGAGTTATTTGGGAATGTCTCAAAATCTTTTCCATACCCCTTGTACCCGGATTTATGATTTGCAAACTGTATCTTCAACGTGGATTACTTTACATGTGGTCGAATTTAAATATAAGGTTGTGATTGAGGTCAAATACCATCTACAAAACGTTGCTTTAATCTATTGATCAATAACTGTTTGATAGCCCATGGATCTCATTGGGGTTTTCAATCTCCAGACAATGATTGCACCCCTTTTTACGTGAAAATAAAACTGGTTTGAAGCAACTAGTGTGCCTTATCCAGCCCCGTAGAACTAGATGCATTTTAAAAGATTTACTTCAAAAAACAGTGCAGGAAATAACTCTCTTCAGCAGGTAAGTTAATTGGTCGAAAAAAAGCTCGCTCAGAATAGTTGCACATAACCGGCTTTAGTTTCACGTGAAAAGGGCGGCTGACTCCTGGAGTAGTTGGGCACGATTAAACTCAACTAAAAACTAAACCTTGTTTTACATGGTAAGGCACAATGAGTCTATGTAGAGCATTTTCAGAAGCGAGCTGGTCACGTGTGATAGCTCAACCAAATGCGGAGGGAAAAACTGGAGAACCTGGAGAAAATCCACGCGACCGCAGGGAGAATAAGAAAACTACAAATATACAGCAGCAGGCCTCAGGGTTGGGATCGAACCCACGACCTCCTGTATACCCGGCGAGGTAGTTAAGTTCTCTCCACCGCGGCGCCCAGATTCGCAACCGGCCAATTGCAGTGCCTCAGGAGGACCACCGTGAGCTCGCCAGGCCTAAGTGACCCACCACCAACTTGTAAATCACATTCCATGTGCCCCGTCGCCTACCGCATTCTCCGGAATATTATAACACCGTACGGAAAGTAAGACTCGCGCCCGTACTTGTGCCCGCTGTCAAATAAAGTTATACAATTCACGATTGGTTTCTTCCGGGTTAGATCGTGTTGAGTGTAATGTCAGCGAGAGCTATGCACCATCCACCACTCGACAAAAGCCAAATAATGGATCCCTTGTCACGCGGCAATATGATCCGAATGTTTTACAATACCTTGATAAGCCCAAGCAGGATTCTACAAGTTTGTACAAAGGTTCCTCTGGAGCTCACAACCGCAATCACCACTCTGGACAAAGCACGTACATGTTCTGACCTCTGCCAGTCTTGCGAGATATTCTTCCTATGATATTATGTCCTGAGTTTTTGGACCTCAAGAGGTAGCAACCCCTTGATGTCACTAGGATATGGCCTGAAAGACCCTTGAAAGTCATACATGTGCCACTTAGGAATAATTCAAAGCCCAGGGGACAGCCCAGGTGTTTCGATATGAGAGATGTCTGTCTGCTTTCGGGTTCGTCTCGAACGTGAGCCAAAGTGATTTCTCGAAGCTGAAAGGTGACTTGTTTGCTCGTACACCTGTGTAAGTGATCTGATCTCATGCGTGTTTACATACAGAAAGAGTATTGTTGTTATCGTTCAGTTAAGTGAATAAAAACGCGTAAACGCTTTTGACGTGCGTGATGTGTGCAATAACGACTTCGACGCTCTTGTCCTGGGAAGGATTTCTTTATTAAGGAGCCACGTGCTCAACCTTGAGCATGCGAAGACCACACTGCAACAGCCACCACGAGTCGCCCACGCATATCTCCATATCTATAAAAGGCAACGTTGTGAATGTGTGTGTCTGTTCAAAATGTTTAGCGTACTTCCAGACATGCAACAAACTGCTATGTGGGTACTTTCCAGACTGTACACCATGCAAACATTCTAAAAATACACTTTTTTTTGGAGGGGGGAGCTCAATAATGCATACATTTTTTGCACGGCAAGTGAGCTGTGACGTCACATCTGTCACGTGACCCGTGCACGTGGAAGCGTAACGCATTGTAGTGTAGCAGGTAGCGCGCCGCGCTACGAACCCAGCGACCCGAGTTCGATTCCCGCTCACGGCCACCACCGGTGCCGATTATTTGAACCGCTCCTGGGCCTCCCCTAGGTCGACTCGGCCTCAAACGAGTAACTGGTGTGGTGTGTGAACATCGCCACTGGGGAGACAAAGGCGGCCGGGCGTGGTGCTGGCCACCCACCCCCTATTCCCAAATATTCTCGCTCGCCCTCGACGACTTGAGCTACAGGTTGACTCCAATGTACCATGACGTCACCTGGCCACGCCCCTATTCTCGATCATTCTCGTGGCCACCACACACAGCAACTCAATACGTACAACTCGATAGATATTTCGACTGATTGTGACGTCACGGCGACTATCGTGGATCGATAATCAACAAGCGAGATGTCAATGCTCACGTGCACGTGTCTGACGCTTGTTATAACCACGCTTGCTCCCGGATCGTCTGTTAATACTATACTGGAGTGGGGATCTTTGTCTCTATACTACATAACGCTTGCTTTCGATAAAAAAAATCAGCAAAAAAAATCACGAGAGAAAATAAACTCATCGTAACGTAGTGCGCTTGAAATAACACGCGGACGTGTACACAACTCAGACTGTCAAAACAAGCTTCATGTTGTTCAGTTAAAGAAAGGCAATGTCTAGAAAGAGGGCTATTAAGTGCAAGTGATAGCGGAAGTGCAAAAATTTGTAAAAATAGAAACGTTCATGCGGTTGTAAGCGGGTGGAGAAATTGGCAAAAATATCGACAGAATTCTATCTTGCTTTCTCGAAGGAGGGGGGTGGAGCATTACATAATCTAATGTTTAATATGTTATAATTAAAGTGTCAATTTTACATTAAATATCTGCTTTTAAAAAAGTTTGCTGCAATCTTAACTGTTATTTAATTTTCAGAATTTCGCTTTACGGATAACTTCAGGAACGTATCTGTTCCGTATATCGAGGTATGCCTGTTTTACATAGGCACGTCATTCTGTGGCGTTCGTGTTATCACAAATGACGCCATTATGCTGTGGTGGTTTAGTAGTGTTAGTATTATTGGGAGTGACGTCATTAAGCTGTGGCGTTCGTGTTATCACGAATGACGTCATTGGGCTGTGGCGTTCGTGTTTCTGTGGCGTTCGTGTTATCGCGAATGACGTCATTAAGCTGTGGCGTTCGTGTTATCGTGAGTGACGTCATTCTGCTGTGGCGTTCGTGTTTCTGTGGTGTTCGTGTTATCATCAGTGACGTCATTAAGCTGTGGCGGTCTTGTTATCGTGAGTGACGTTATTGTGCTCTGGCGTTCGTGTTTCTGGGACGTTCGTGTTTTCGTGAGTGACGTCATTGTACTGTGGCGTTCCTGTTATCGTGTATGACGTATTATCCTGTGGCAGCCAGTGTTCTCACGGATGACGTCATCAAGGTTGTCAACACTTTGTATACATTCGATGACGTCACGGGCCGCTCGGCCAATGGGAGCGCGAGACGGTTTGAACACGGAGGGAGCCATGGAGGGCAGCGGAGACGCGGGTTCGTGAGACGGCGATTTAAACTCTTTAATGTTCATCGATAACGTTCAATATCTATAACAATCGATCACGCTCACGGTTTGCTGTTAATTCGCGAGCGTCAACCTTCACAACGCGTACACACGACGGCTATTCGCAGCCGCTGCCGCGTGTGTTTTGTGTGAGGCGAAGCGTCCGTAGATCGATCGATCGATCGGTATCCGATTATTGTTATTACAGAAGTCTGACAAACATCGATTAATGTCGCGATGGGCGAATCCCTTTGCGTTTGCAACGTTGTCGCGTACCACTACGAATGCCACCCGTGCGTTTATAACGAACAGCGGCCGTGGACTTGGTTGATGATAACTGTGAGGCGATTTAAAGACAAACTTGACGGTAACTGCAGTTTCGATTTAAAGCTTCTTTCGTGACTGCAGCGATTCATCTTCTTGGTTCTTTCGGTAAAGTCACATAGAAGGGAAATAATACAATAATAGTAATAAAACTATTTATTTTATTATGTTTTATGTTGGTTCTTTCGGTAAAGTCACGCAGAATGGAAATAATAAAAGAATAAAAATAAAGCTTTATTTTATAATGTTTTATGGTTAATATTTAAATATTCAATTTCCTTCATTATGTTTAAAAAAAATTATTTTATTATTTCCCTTCTACGCGACTTTACCGAAAGAACCAAGAGGAGCAACTGCAGTCTTTGTGTTTTTGGTGAGGACCCAAGCTGTCATTTAATTGTCCCCTCGGATCAAGCAAAGATCCCCCGTGTAGCCTCTAACAGACTGTAGGGGCAAGTGCTGTTAGCGAGTAGCAACCTATGAAGGCCGGCACGGCACACGAAGGGGTGAGGGTGGCCAGCACCACTCCCAACCGCATTTGCCTTCCCCAGTGGCGATGTTGACACACCGCAACGGGTACTAATTTGAGGCTGAGTCGACCTAGGGGAGGCCCCAGGTCCGGTTCAGATATTCGTCACCGGCGTTGGCCGTGAGCGGGACGCGAACCCCGTAGGTGCAACGCGCTCGCCGCTATACCGCCGCTATTCTTAAACACTTTCACAACCACCACGCACACTCTTTCTTGAGACGTTTCGTTCGGCTACGGGCCCGTGGCACTTGTGCGAAGTGGTAAATGTAAAGCCCCCACTCTCCACCCCCCATGCCTGGCGCGCAATAGCAGCTCCTGTGGCGGCAATGTGAATATCGCGAGGTACAAGGCGCTGCCGTGCAATTGCTTTGCCTCTCGGCATCGCTGGCGGAAGGGGCCTCCACTAGAAACTAGCAGGGGTCGGGAACCTTTTTTACTGGGAGAGCCATAAAAGCCAAATATTTAAAAATATATTGCATTGAGAGCCTTATAGTATTTTAACGTATAATAAATTAAATATGTCTTACTTTTAATGCGACTTCTGGTGCTACGTGGTTTTGCTGATGGCCTTGTAGTCTGGTTCGTACGTGAGGTTGAGCTTCATGCAGGCGTTGAGGCCCCGTGACCCGTGAAATTTATCTTCAAAACTAATTTCTGTTTACTTTTAAATGACACAGTATTATTAAGCAATATCACAAGTATTTTAAAATCAGTTCCAAACTGATTTTTTTATTTTATTTTTTTCAACTCAAAATAGTCTGGGAGCCATATGCCGTCACCAGAAGAGCCATATATGGCTCGCGAGCCATAGGTTCCCGACCGCTGAACTACAGGGAGCTAATCGAGAGCACCCCCACCGTATTCAGCGTCAATGTTGGGATATACTCTTATCAAGCTGGGCAGACGTTTTTGGAAGAGGTGGGAGTGATACTCTTAGTTCTTTCGGTAAAGTCACGTAGGTAAAAAATTTAATTAAAATTAATAATATTAATAGTTAATAATACTTATAAATTATTAATAATTAATTAAAATTTCTAATATAACAATAATATGGGAGTGACCCACGCTTTACCCCACCACAAAGCCGATGGGTGGACAGGTGATTAGTTAAACCCGTCTCTTGTATTAACTGCCGCGCCAGGAGATCTGAAAAGTGACCTCTGGAATTGAATGAGATAATCCATTGGGGTTTATATTATCATAGCGATGTCTGTGTGTAAGTCCATGTGTGTGCCTTTTTCGCACCGGGCAACGCGGGTACTTACCGCTGGTACTTTATAAAGTTATGCTTTAGTAGTGAAATGTGTGAGTTGACCTGTAACATACTCCCAGTGGAATTGCCCTTTATTCAGATATGAATGTGTTTTGTTTGTGTATGTGTGTTTATTAAACGTAATTGTATTGGTGCGTGTCATTAAAATGAACAATGGATTTGGGTAGCTTTATTCAGCAATGGATTTATCAAGGCTACTGTATATATATGTTCGTGTGGTGACATCACATGCTAATGTATTGTACACAATTTTACAAACGTCTAATGTGTTTTTAAACAGTTTTTCATATACTTAACTTTGGTGTATCAATTTTACATGATTCTGATCTGCAGTTGAATTGGCTTAAACCAGGGGTCGGCAACCAAAATAACAAGAAGAGCCATTTCTTTCCAATTCGGTACAAAATTCAGTATTTCAAGAGCCGCAATGCATCTGAGTACGTACTCATCGTCAAGAAGCAGCCCGTAAAGAGCCGCATGCGGCTCCGGAGCCGTAGGTTGCCGACCCCTGGCTTAAACGAATGTTGCTAGAAAATAATTGTCAAATGCTATCAGCCAATGGACCTAAGTGTAATTGAGTAATTTTGGTCTTCAAATTATATTTTTTCTTGTTAAAAGTTTATATCGTTTACACCATGAGCGACAGATTGCTTGGAGAGCGGCTTTTATCTAGGAGTAGATCATGGTTGATGAAAATGAATCGGTCAGTTATTTTGTTTGACTACAATTCCTGATTTCCCTTTTCTGTCTTAATCTTATTTCAAGCTTGTACCTCTCCACGCTTCTTTCTGCTATATTTAAACATACGTTCCATTGTCTTAGTGTTTTCATTCATGTCTCACAGCTTGGGAAGGACTTCTTTCAGCAGTGGATAGTTCATAGCTGATGAAAACGACGATGATGAGGATCCTTATCTACCTTTTTTACATGGTTATCTTATCAACATTAAGCTCATCATTCTCCTCTTACCCCTACCGACCTTGCCAATGCTCTTGCCTCTGCTGCTGCTTTTTGTTAAACGAATACACCGCAGGGCGGATAAACTCCCAGGCCCCTTGCTTAGCAACCGTAACAACACAAAGGACGGGCAGCATTAATATGGTCGTGTGGAGGTGTCCTGGTGAGTGATTCGGAGGTCTAAGACTTACTGTATGTATATAATAGCTCGCCCTAAGCTGGCACTGCTGAGAATCCTGGCTCTGAATCCAGGTTTCGGCCACCTGTGATTAAAATGGGGTCTTGTGCGTGGCGATTTGTCAGAGCTTGGTGACCAGTGACTTGCACAATAACCAATCACGTTCATTATATTCTAGCTCTGAGAAGTGTTAATTTTGCTTTGTTACGGGGAAAATCTATTTTCAGGGCATAGAAACGGTGCACCAATAAGCGTGCTTTCTGCAGGGATTTCAGAAGTAGTTATGTGATGCTATCTTCCTGGCCACACCATGACACAAGGTAATGTTACGCTGCTCACTAGCTCTGGTAATAGCAGCAGCGGCAAAATCAATGGTTGTACTGTACTTATATTCTTCCATTATCTGTGCTGGCCGCCTTCAACCTGCACTGACCGCATGCTGATTTATAATCAAGTAACTGCTACAATCTGGAGGCGCGGAGAGGCCCTAATCCAGCTGTGAGTTCACATGTACATCACGAGATGAACAATTGATTTAGCACGTAGGTTTTGGCAGCCGCTCGTGCTCTCCCCAGTTAGGCTGCATGTTGTGCATGTCTCCTGTCATGTTTTCGCCACGCACCATTGCGGGCTTCTTCCAACACCTCACGAATCCACGGTTAATCGGTCAATTGTTACGCCCCTTCTGCCAACCCACGGCGGCGTGCAGAGTGGGTGCGTGTGGCGAATGAGCTGCTGAGGCGCTGCCACGTGAACCTGCGCGTGCGGCGCCTGGCGGAGTGCGACGCCAATGTGTTCGTGGCGATCTACGAGGCCACGCTCGGGGAGAAGGTGCCAGGTAAAGACTTGCCCCACCTCGCTGTGAGCAAAATGGGGTCCTATGCTTGGCCGTTTCTCACAGCTTGGTGACCACAAAATAACCATCATGTTCAATATATTCTAGCTCTGAGAAGTATGAATTTTGCTTTGTCACAGGTGAAACGTGCCCACCTCTCCCCCCTGCCTCCACCCCCCCCCCCGCCACACCCCCCCCCCCCCCCCCCCCACGTCTTTCCGCACACGACCGCTGTTCTTTCGTCACTCTGCCTTGTCCTAAGCGTGCAGATCTGGTAAAAAGCGTCGGTTGTTTGATTGTTCATTTGTTGAGGTTTGTCGTAGACTTGTATGGAAATGATGTCGTAAATTATGAAATTGAAATAGAAAGGTTTCGGGTTTGACTGCAACAACAAATAAAGTGAAGCACAGAAAAAAGATAAATAGAGTGAATTCGGCCTTCGCCCATCGCTCTTGAGCTGACGGGAATGAAAATAAGACGTTTGTCTTTTCACTTATAAGCCTTACCTGGGGAGCAGGCAAAACATAATTCTCGAATTGACGGAATTCTAATGCTTGAGATTTACTAGTGTGATCACTGGCAATCTCACTCGGGGGTTTAATGCTTACCGTTGTGTCGCTGTGCCGTTCCACGCCCGAACAGATTCAATAGCCGTGCCCAAGTCCAAAGAGGATGATGCGCACAACGTACAAAGCATTATTGACTCCTTGGCTCTTGACTACCTGCAGATCAGCCTCTCACACATCACAGGTGGGTTTCTAATGCATTGCCATCCGTGAATTGATTGGTATTGCGAATTTAGACTCGATAGATGCCTTCTCATTACAATATTATAGGTACGAGAGGTAATTGGCCCAGCATTGTCAATCAAAATTCTAGATTTATTTTCGCTAATATCGTAGGTACTAGAAGTGTCATTATGAAACACTTAATTGATTAACATACATTATTAAGCTCACTCTAAATGCATTAAATCGTCTGTGTAAGAACAGATGTTTTCCCATTTGTATATGTTGTATGTAATAGGTTACCATGTCCTCTGCAGCCATTAGTAGCTGCCACATTCACCACTATCGTTAATAGAGAGAATTGATTCTTGAATCGAATTTTATACCCTGAATTTGTGACGATACCGCTGAGAAATAAATAATTGCACCTCAAATGGGTACCATTTTTTTATACTCGTGTGGTTACCCAGTATTTAGTTTTTGCTTGGTTAAAGTTTGTGTTGATGTAACCTGGGTATCGGATCAGGCTCTGTGGCATTGTTTTTATAATGCTCAACTCGAAATCGGCAAGATTCCAGTTCAAATTCCCGTTTGACGTCAACAGAACTCATCCTCAACTTCAACATCAGTTTCAGTAATAATGAGTCGAACACCACTCGCATGAGATGAACAATGTATTTTTTTTCCCCATGAATGGACATGTGAATGGGGAATTTCCACCTGGCTGGCTCAAGGTCGCCACAAGCAATGAGCGCCTCCGCATTTGTTGTTAAAACACCGAGACGCTTTGACTTTGATGGACGTCTGTTCACGCATACAGGCGAAAACGTCGTGAATGGACACAAGGATTCGATACGGAACCTCCTGGAGATTTTTGATGGCCTTGTCGACTACCTGTCTGAGCAGGTGGACGAAGACTCGTCGCAGCACAGTGGTCAGTGTTTGCTCCCTTGCCTCGCGCACATCTGCCTGTGAGACCACCCACCATTCCATGCTTTAAACCTCAAGTTTGCTTGATGATGGGGTGGGCCGGTAGATGAGCCTCAGCAGGAGTTGCTGGTATTCTCGGCTAGGCAAAAGGTTTGGCCGTGTGTTGAGAAAACACAAGAAAAGATGGAATTTGAAGGCCTGTGGAGATGCCACTGATGGAGTATTAAAGGAGTTGGGGGGGGGGGAAACTGAGGGTGAGATCGAATGATGCAGTAAAACACGATATGGGGATACTTGATGTGACGAGAGAAGAGGCACAGAATAAAAAAATGTGGAGAAAGAAAATCCGAAACAGCCGAACTCACGCAATTATGGGACTTTTTTGGCTTGGCAAAATAATATGCAGTACATATATAAAAAATACGACTTCATGACTGAACCGGCTTGCGTGTGTGATTTCTCTTTGCAGGCGACGACGATGTCCTGCTCTCCAAGGAAGAGCTCGCGGTGGTCCATGACGTTTTGGGAGAAGACCTCGGACCGGATCGTGAGCGTGGAGCCACCAGGGTGGAGATGGGTGGAGCTGCCATTCCAGAGTGAGTGCCGCAAACTGCCCAACGGTTCATTCTGTTTGACCCCCTTTTCAGAAAGCTACAACCCCAAAAAAATCAAGATAACGTCCGCCGCAGTTATGCATCTCGGCGGTTGTTGCCACGTTCCCATGACGACTTAAAATCCAGCTGTCCCAATTCAAGAACCAAGGAAAGTGGGGTAGGCCTGGATTCCCACGGCAGTCATACAGAGAGTAAAGCCATCACCAACCGGGCTGTATAGCCGTTCTATTGGTAGACCATTAAATCTTGCTAGCGTTACTTAGAGAGCCACACACTTTTACCTGGTGCGATGTTGGAATCAGTTGTAACTTCACGGGGTCAACACACAAGAGGCACGCCGTTATTACACCGGGTACATTTTAGACACGGCGAAAATACAATCTTGAGCATCCAACCCCACAGAATAATGGTACCTTTGGCTTTGTCGAAGGCACATTCAACTTGTAATGTTTAACCCCAACTTTAGGCCTGCCTTCACCTGCAGCCGTGCGCACCAGTCGGCGAACCTGTCTCTGCCGAGCTGGGACGTGGATGGCACGGAATCCACGGCTGAGCTCATCCGGCTGGGCGAGACTGCACACTCCTTTACCGTGCGCGCCGAGAGCCAAGGTGCGAAATGCGGACTCTCGACTACGCGTCTTCTGCAATTGACACATTCTTCGAGTGGCTTTTTGGTGATTTGGTTTGATCATCATCATCACGATCCATGGTGTCTACTGCACATTCCGTCATTTGTTTTCACTTGCCTCTATCTTGTGCCAATACGCTCAATTGGTGCACATTTTTTGGAACCAATCTGTTATGTCTTAGTCAAGCCATTTTTCCAAACAACACACTTTAAATGTCCCTGTTGTCGTCCATCCCACACATGTGTCCCAATAGTGCCAGTTTTTTACTTCTCATCACTGGCTGTATCCGGTCTTCTCTTCTATGTGCAACCTTTTTCTTACTTCTACGTTGGCCACTCTGGGTCCAGCTTAGATACAGAACAGAATCCTATTTGGTTCTGCAGTAAATGATAAAGGTACCCGTACCCAGCCGGGTACGGGTACCCGTTTGCGACCCTGGTGCGGCCGGGTACGGGTAGACCGTAAGTCACTGGTGAGTAACTGTTTGCCACTCATTTCCCAACGTCTTGTCTCTTCTCACAATTCAAGTTCCTAGAATCAACCCACCCGCGCCTGCAACATGGCTTCATCCCAGAGGTCGCAATCAGGTACCCGATACCCGTACCCAGCTGGGTACGGGTACGGCCGGGTACGGGTACCCGTTTGCGACCCTCGTGCGGCCGGGTATGGGTAAGGAATCAAAACCCGTTTGCGACCTCTGCGCTGCTGGCAGAAGGGCCTCCACACAAAACGGAGTTCTAGAGAACTCTCCCTAGGGGGTATTTTGGCCTACTCTTTCTTCCATGCTGGCCAAACGTCTCCGGTAGAGGTGAGAATACCCACTCTTTTTCCCCACCAAACACGACCTGCCGATCGACTAACCATGTCGTACCCATTTGCAACATGCACAAGTACTGCACCAGGTGTGTGCTGATCAGGGGTCAGGGTGGATATGCGACGGTCAAATTTGCGACGCATTATTGTAGCTACCTTGCGAAATTTGTACTGTAGTGAATTCTCTGTTTAAATGTCTGCGAATGGCCGCTCATAATGGAATTGCTACGGATTATGAAAATGGGTTGCGTGGGGTGGGGAGATAAGACTAAGAGATACTGTTGGGAGAGTGACTATTGGAAAAAAATCTGATTACGGATTACTGCAAGGTTTTAGAAAGAATGTAACATAATTATCTCATTGCGAATTTCCAGTGTAGCATTCTCATTATTTTGATAAATTTTAAGATTCTTTCAAATCAACTATTGTGAGGTTGTAATAACATTTGTAATAGCGTTAACGTCAAGCTTCTGATGTAATCGGTTAGTTTTTGGTATACATTCAAGAAAAACAAATCTTACAATGTATCCTAATCTTTATCTAGACTGGAGGAATCCAATGAGTTACGAAGGTTTTTCTCACATATCTAATTAACTGATGCATGCTCGGCAAGAGTAATTACAAAGCATTAACAGTGCATACCTTTGGTGATCGTATTACAGTAACTTGTTATTCTCCTCCACTGCTCTTAAGCAAATGGATTCTAAGACGGTGTCGTTTGCATTTAAAAAGCCTTAATAGAGCAGTGGATAGAGTATGACTGGTGATGCCGCTGATGATGGTTGTTCTACAGCTGCTATGGACCAGGTCTCTGTGAGCAGCGTGGACCTAGTACCAGACAGAGAGAAGAGGGATCTCAACTTGACCCAAACGATTCATGGTCCTGAGCATCGCGTGCCTGCTTCTGGCCTCTTTCAAGCAGGTAATTTTTTGGGAGTGAATTTCTCCATGTGCTGCGTGTGAACCGAATAGAACAAATCACGGTTGCTCATGAGGCATGTGAAGGAACTTGCCAAAAGTTGGCACCAGCGGTGTCAAGATCGACCTCTATGGAGAACGCTCGTGAAAGATGTAGTGGATTACCTAGGCTACAACGTGAGCCGGTTGTTGGTGGTGCTCATAACAACAAGCAGAACATCGTATATATGTATGGCCGGTTTTGAAAATCCACTGCTGTATCAGGGCCTCCTGATGCCTTGTGGTCTGTGAGGGATATTTGACCATACATCAACACCCTTGACAGTCTTCTTGGTTCTTTCGGTAAAGTCACGTAGAAGGGAAATAATAAAGTAATAAAAATAAAACAATAAAATTATTTGGCAAGAGAAATAATTAAATATTTAGAAGCCAGCATAGTTACATTATTGTATTATGTTTGCTTTTTATTATTTTATTATTTCACTTCTATGTGACCTTTTTACCGACAAACCAAGAAGATGAATCCCTGAAGTCACGAAAGCTTTAAATCGAAACCCTTGTCAATGCTGGTTGGTGAAGGTGAGGGGAGTGCAGAACAGCACTGTAATTTGCTGCACTGCCATTCCCCCTGGTCTGTTCACCAATAACACCTTGGTCTCATACCATTCTCTTGGTGAATGTTCAGCACTTCACGAGGCCTCAAGTACAGCACAACAATGTATTTTGACGCGCTGCCTTCTTGCTGCTCACCACGTAGGCCCATCATTTCGTGGCCTACATCAACCTGACATGCATGATGGTCACCCATCCCAAACACTGTCTCGGCTCAACATTGCTTAGCTTCTGATGAGAATGGGTGCATTCTGGGTGACTTTTTCATCGGCCATGAGGCTTTCCTGGGATATGTAAATGACGTATTTTATTTAATGGTGGGACTCCGCTCGTTTTGTTGCCCAGGTCGATCGGATTCTCTGTCATCTCTGAGCGAGCACACCATATCCACGCACCTTGCCCTGCCACCTTCCATCAAGGCCGTGTGGATGGAGGAACCCATGCCGGGTACAGCTGCCAGTCTGCTGGGCACCATGCAAGGTTGGCAGACATCCGTAGATTGTATGGTCATTTGTTTGAAAAAATGTTTTTATTACAGTTGGATTGGCTTTTGTTACGAATAATTACACGGTGATTTTATATTTGCAAAATACTGGTGACAGTTTCTGTATACAATATTATAAATTGTATTAATTATGTTTTTTGCACTTAGTGTTTAAATTGTGTGCTTTGCTGTTTTTTCTGAACTGTGCTCCTTGCTTTTTATTTTTTGTGTGTCTGCACTAAATGGTTTACCTTGTAAATGTACTCCAGGTTAATGATCAATATATATTTTGATACTGTCCTTGAAACAAACTTTCCATGGAAATGAATAAATACTATCTCAACTGGAATTAATAATAGAGGGCTCATTTTTCTTCACTGAAACACATATGCGCCACCAGTGTGTATTTATTTTAGCAACAATCCACTCAGTCCGGATATAACTTTTACCCAAAAAATTTTATTACAATTTTTTTTGTTATTGGACACTGCTGGACTCCATTATAGATTTATATATTAAGCGACTGTCATTCACATATATAGAGATCTGTTCACTAGTGCGACTGCCATTCACATTTGTAGCAACCTGTTAACCGCAGTGAACCCCCCATGAATTCCTCCAGTTGCCGCGAGACCGCGAGAGCCGTTGGAGGGAGACGCGGCGGCGTCCCCAACGCACGACCGCGCCGGGTTGAGCCCTCGCTACTCGTGGGTGGACGACCCCCTGGTGGGGTCGGCCGTTCCGCTGAGGCCTCCGCTGCAGCTGGAAGACGGAGGCTACTCGCTGCGGGTGGTCGACGGCACCTCGGCGAATCCCCGTGACGGACTCGACTCGTCTGCAGAGCGCAAAGACGCGGAAAGTCAGACCGATTTACAGGCGGTGGGAACATCACATGTAAGAATGATAATCGTAATTATTGTATTTTTTTTTTACTCAATTTAATTAAATTCTGGATCGAGGACTCCCTCCGTATGCTATGGCAGTCTTGGGAGTAGCTTGACCATATTTAATCATGCTGGCCAGTGCTGGTTGATGAAGGGGACGTGGTGGTTGAAGTGCGGAGGTCCGGGACTGGTTCTGATTTCACTCGTGACTGATGTTTACTCGGTGAGGCTTTCCTGGATAAAAAAAAAAAAACATTCGGCATATTCATCAATTAAAAAACAATTAATACGCTTGCAATTCATCCATATGTTTGCGTGTATTAATCCATTGGTCATGGTTTATTCAAATTACATGTAAGTGAATTATTTGGTTACATTTTGGCGAATTAAGTGAACAAAATTGTATGAACAAGACATAAAGAAGTGAGAGAAAATACAAACAAAGTGATAAAAACGAGACGATAGAATTGATTCCCGAGTCGAATTCTGACCCAGAATCGTGACAGTTTGTCAAATTGCTGGAAGATTGCTTCGTTACCTTCCTAATTAAAACACGTCTTGATTTGGTGAGCTTTGGACTTCCACTAGACACTCGTCCGCCCTTTTCTGTGCGCAGGAGGAAGCGCGGGCCACTTCTCCAAAGAGTTGTGTTTGTGAAGACAGAGTAAGAACTGGAGATGACTCTACATCCAGAGACCGTCAACAGGCTGCAAGCCGCGATGAGGTATTGATGCCAGCTTGTTTCGCTCATCAAACCAGAACTGGGATGGCCCTAGATTTGAAGCTTTCGTGAGTGCAAGGATTCATATTCTTAGGTTTTTCGGTAAAGTCACGTAGGTAAAAAATTAAAATTAATAAAAATAAAATAAAAATCACGACGTTTCGGAGGCAACACAAGCTTCCGTCTTCTGGTGGAACCGTCACAGCACGATAGCTGTATCGAGTGTCAAGTGGTACAGCTATCGTGCTGTGACGGTTCCACCTGAAGACGGAAGCTTGTGTTGCCTCCGAAACGTCGTGATTTTTATTTTATTTTACTTTTATTAATTTAAATTTTTTACCTACGTGACTTTACCGAAAAAACCTAAGAATATGGGATGGCCCTCTTTTCTCTCGGCCACACTGAGCCAATGATGCAAATTACACATCATCATGCCAAAGCTGTTCCATTGTACAATTATGCTCGACTTAACATAAATGAGTACGTATTTTATGGACCTTGGCTTGATGAGATTAATAAATCGAGGGACTCATTTGACCCCTCGTGACCAGCATTTGAACTTTGCACAACCTTCTGATTGTGAGTCAAACGCTCTGACCACCGGACGTGTAACAGTGCTTTCATTCATTAATTTATGTCGATTCTTAAGCTCGTGAACATGAAAGTATTTGCCAAAAAGAGGTCAGCTTTATAAAAAAAATCACAATGGGGTCCCCCAAACCCCTGACTTTTTAATACAGCTGTTGAGATATTACTTACAATGTTTTTTGTTTGTTTAATTCCATCACAGTCACTGCACACGGATGATGTCTCGGGCACCAGAAGATCCCTGGCCTTTGGCACCCGGCTCGGGGAAGCCATCGCGGCCACTGACAATCGTCGCCCGCCGCCACCGACATCGGCGCTGCCAACGATGACGAAGGCGTTATACGATGCCGGGGAGTTTCGCGACGCCGGGGAGTTTCGCGACGCCAAGGGGGTGAAAGGGAGCCCCTGCCCATCCAGGTGTTGTGCACGACGCTCGCGCTGAGCTTGCTGGAATTACAGCCACGGCGCATTAATATTGTACGACTGTGGTCGTGTTTCGCTCACTCACCCCACCCACTATCTCACTCGTTCACTCACTCACACACTCACCCACTGTCTCACTCATTCACTCACACACACACCCACTGTCTCACTCATTCACTTGCACACCCACCCACTGTCTCACGCATTCACTCACTCACCGACCGCGTCTCACTCGTTCATTCACACACCCACCCACTATCTCACTCATTCACTCACCCACCCACTGTCTCACTCATTCACTCACACACTCACCCACTGTCTCACTCATTCACTTGCACACCCACCCACTGTCTCACGCATTCACTCACTCACCGACCGCGTCTCACTCGTTCATTCACACACCCACCCACTATCACTCATTCACTCACCCACCCACTGTCTCACTCATTCACTCACACACTCACCCACTGTCTCACTCATTCACTTGCACACCCACCCACTGTCTCACTCATTCACTCGCACACCCACCCACTGTCTCACGCATTCACTCACTCACCGACCGCGTCTCACTCGTTCATTCACACACCCACCCACTATCTCACTCATTCACTCACCCACCCACTGTCTCACTCATTTACTCATTCACCCACTGTCTCACTTGTTTGCTCACCCACCCACTGTCTCACTCAATCACTCACTCAACCATTATCACACTTACCCACTCACTCATTCACTTAACAAGAACGCAACGCAAACTCACTCAGCCACTAAATCACTCAAAAACTAGCCGAGCACTTGCCTACCAATAAACTCGCACCGATCACTAACTCAACACTCACCTGCCAACTCGCAAACCTCCTCACTCACTCAACACTCAACTAACCAGTTAACTGACTCGCAAAGACAAAGATGCCCAGTATAACCTTGCACACTTTTGTGGCAAGTGCTGTTAACGAGCACCTATAAAGGCCAGCGCCACACCTGACTAACTGAACACTCTTACACCCACTCGGTCAAGGCTATTCAATATCATGAACATTTTCGCAATCTTTTAGAGAATGCTCTCTTATTCCCCGTTCCTCACTCTGGAATGAGTGTGTCGAAATAATGACTTGAAGAGCTTTTATTAATATTTTAGAGTGTTTAGAAGGCCATCCGATAGGCATCTTCTCGCTTGGTGCACGAGTGATTACTGTTGGTAATGTTGGAACCGTGCCTTACCCACTTGCTCTTACCGTCTCATCTCACATTTTGTGTAGTTCTTTTCTCTTGTTGAGGTGCTCTACCGCTCTCCTGTGTCCAAGTTATTGTGTCACGGTGGTGATGGCTGAGCTGTAGATTTAAATATTTAATAACGTGGCTTTGTAGCATGGTTAAAAAAAAACATGCTACCTCACAATTTCACACGCGCTGTTCATATCTTAACTCATTTATTCGCTCACTTTACACTAAGCCACGAGCTAAATCACCCTCCTACTAACGGAGTCGATGAAGGCTCGCTCAACATCCACTTATTTACTCACCATCTCATTCGCTCGCCTCACACTAACTCGGCATGAGCTCACTCACCCACTACTCCAAATATACACTCAACGCAAGCCCATCACTCTCAACGTTCACTCACTCACTCACCCACTATCTAACTCATTCCCTCACATAACACTAACTCAGTGCTGACTCGCTCACCCACCCTTCTAACTCACTCGACACTATCTCACTCGCATAACACTTAACACGTGCAGTGTTCGTATTTGGTTGTAAGGCATTGTGCCTTGCAAATTGTACATTGCCTCCAAACAAGCTTCGTTAGTACTTGGATGGTGACCAACACGCACCATTTGGTACACGTATCATGGTATTTATCTACGGGTCTGATAAACCTTTACATCGTTACATGCCTAACACAACCTCTAGAGCAGTGCTTCCTTAACCCTGGGGTGCACGCACTCCCTGGGGGCGCAAAATTCCCTTTCTGGGGGTGAGAGACATGCCAGATTATTTGAGAAGGTAAATCGTCGAAACACAAATTAAGCACGGCCACGTAAGTACAACTCCTTTGTTTCATCAAACCTATTGTATTTATGAACATACATTTTTAACAATTGAGAACCAAAGGGGGGTGCAAGGCTACAGTGAAGGTTAAGAAACCACTGCTCTCTAAAGGGCACTCTTCGTTTCATGTATAGCACTTGGCATATTAGTCGGTGTTTGATGGGAATTGAGAACAATATTATATATTGACTGATCAAACTTTTTGCCACCTTCTGTGCTCGTACGAAGTCCTTTCTGTCGCCTCTTTATCCACACAAGGGGCACAATTAAATTAAATTAAATTAAAATTGCTCGACCGCAGAATAAGCCAATTTAAGTGAGCGACTGAAATGTAATTGCGACGAGGGTGTGCTTTCTGCGTTGCCGTCTGCAGGCGCAGGCTGTTTGACGGGGACGCGCTGCCGGCGTCCGAGACGCTGTCTCGCCGGCGCGCCAAGAATCTGGAATCGGAGCGCGAGCTCCGCGAGATGTCGGACTGCCTGTCGCACCGGCTGGAGCAGCTGGACAGGGTGAGTCGTGGTGGGGGAGATGCAGAGTCATTTGTTTGACGTTATTTACCTACAATAGCCAGAACAAGTCTCTTTTATTTTTTTCAACACCCTTTTCGCCAATTCTATCTGAATTGAGCTCTTGGCATTATGCGCCTTAGACAGAGCCGCATGTGGTGGATTAAAGAGCCGCATGCAGCTCGCGGGATGCCACTTGGCCACCGCTGGTGTATGTATACATGTTGAACTTCTTTTGCACCGTACGTAGCCAACCATGCTCATCGGAGGTGTGGGGGAAGGACAACAAACTTAACACAAAAGGCAGTTCTCAAGAAATTAATTTTCAATCTAGATTTAAAATTGCATAGCTCCAGTGGCTTCCTAACATATAGCGGGAAGAGCGTTCCAGACAGCCGCAGAAGCGCATCTGAACGCGCGCGATGCAGTGACCGTCTTTGTTCGACGGCTAGCCCCAAAAGCCGCCGCCGCTGCGAGGATGACCAGAGTTGGCGTGATGGTTTATGCTCCTTGACAAGATCAGCAAGATATTGTGGTTCGTGGCGTAGAGTAAACGAGAGCAAAAACACAAACGAGCGCGGCCGCGTTGAGCAGACTCGAGCACCGATGTGCCGCAGGCGCTGAGGATGGCGACGGGCGCGACGCGTGGGAGAGCGGGCGACCCCGAGCTCCTGCGGGGGGACGAAGAGGAGGAGGTGTTTTCGCGGCACAGCGACAGCGCCGTGGACTACAGCCCCGCTCGGCCCGTCACAGGTAACCACCAGGGACCCGCAAACGCTCAGAGCGGGTTAGGCGATTGATCTGCAAGGTGACGGCGCCCATGGTAATGCACGCACGCCTGTAAACGATTCAGATTGGATTGCAAATTGTTTTTACTTAATACAGAGCCCCGCTCCGTTTCGGGGAAACGACGCCGTTGATTGCGTATGATTTACGTGCTTCCTCACGTAATAAATGTATACAACGCGAAATATACGTAATTATATATCAAGGAATTATGTATTCGTACGTTTTTCATTGGTGAAAATTCTCAACTAGCGTATGGCATACGAGAGTCGTGTACACATTTCGGGATGGCAACTGCCGCTTTTGACCTCGCCCACCCCTGGGCGGCGTGCCCCTTGCCTGTGATACGGCGCTTTGGATGTAAGGGTTGGAGAATCACATAGATGTTTTTGAGACCCGCAAATCCGCTGGGTCTAGAGGTACCCAGGGAGCCGGGGGGGTGGGGGGAGCAGGGGTTCAGTTGTTGAGCGGTATTATCGTCATAATAATATCAAGAATGGATGGAAATGGCAGTTGTGATTTTGATTAATTGGTCACAATTGTGGTGAATGTTAGCCACTTATCGTGGCATCGGGTGTCACCTTAACCCATTTACATACGACGCAAACGAAGCATAAAGCGATAATAAATGCATGTGGAAGAATCAAATTTAATTGACAAGCGGGGACAAATCCTTCGCTTTGAATGTAACTGTTCCTATTTAAATTTTTTACGAAAACATATTTTTTTGTGTCCCTCACCACCAGCCCCACGGGGAGGGAGGAGCACCATTGCCACGGCAACGCCCAGGGCCCGCCCCCACTCCACGTCACCGCCACGAAAGTTGTCGCCACGGAGACTGTCTCCACAGGGACCGCCCCCCCTGCTGGAGGAGGTGCTGCAGCTGGCGCGCCCGGCCCCCATGAGGAGGGTGCGCTGGGAGCTGCGGCAGGAGGGAGAGCTGCAGCGACTCAAAGCGCAGGTGGGGCGCTGTGGTGGCTATGAGATATTAACTACCTCGCCTGGTACACAGGAGGTCGTGGGTTCAGTCCCGACCCTGACGCCTGCTGCTGTATATTTGGAGTTTGTGTGTCCTTCTCTCATCATTATCACGGTGGCTATGAGATGTTAACTACCTCGCCTGGTACACAGGAGGTCGTGGGTTCAGTCCTGACCCTGACGCCTGCTGCTGTATATTTGCAGTTTGCGTGTCTCTCTCTCATCATCATCACGGTGGCTAGGAGATGTTAACTACCTCGCCTGGTATACAGGAGGTTGTGGCTTCGATTTTGACTTTGACGCCTGCTGCTGTATATTTGAAGTGTGCATGTCTCCCTCCCCGTGTCGGCGTGGATTTTTTTTTCGGGTCTTCCGGTTTTTCCCTCCACATTTCGAATCATGCGTTTAGAGTATATTGGCTGCTGTACATTTCCACATGATAAGCCACTTCGTTGGACTATCATTTGGGGCCAGGACACTTCTGAAAAATAGATATACAGCTCAGTGGGCCTTACCTGGTAAAGTAAAAAGAGTTGAGTTTTAGGTGAGGAGTGGTTTAGCGCACTGTGGGTTCTCAGATTGGGCATCGGCATGTAAGAATTCACCCCCCTGCCCTTATCTAGCAAGTCCTCGTTTAACGCGGTTGATGCGTTCCTGAAAAGTGTCCTGTTGAGCAATAACCGCATTCAGCCAAAACAATTTCCCCATAAATAATGTAACGATAAGTTTTTCAGCGAGATACGATTCCAAAGAACACAGGATGAGATGTTACTATCCTTTGTGCAAGCACTTCCAAGAGTTCATGAACAGTGAGCCTGGTGAAATTTGGGGAGCGCATCGTCAGTAGTGACCCTTTGGTTCCTAGGGTGTTTCGGCCTTTCATACTATACACCCTCCCCAATGGCGGCCAGCGACAGGGTGATCAATCCTACGCTTGCGTCCCATTCCCAATTAGTCATAGGAGTTGCCTTGTTGTTGGTAGCCAACATCCCATGGGACTATGCATGACAGGGGCGTCCTCCTCCCTGAGTCAAGCATTGTTGACTGCATACCTCCTGGCCCTCTCACTTTGGGGCCCAGCTGGGGTCTTTCCTCTTCATCCAGTAAGATGGCGGGACTAATAACCGAGGTTACACCGCCGCGTTACTGTATCATCCCGCTTACTGTATCTCCCCCGCTCAGCCGCGCAACTCAAGAAAGTTCGTCATCGACCTGGGCACGCGTGGTCCACGTTGTTCCCTCTTGGAAGAACCGCGAAAACTGTTCGCATGAACGCCGCTCGTTAAGTGAGGACTTCGTTTGTTGGTGCGGTGGTTATCACGCTGCTCCCTGCACCCAGCGATCTTGTCTTCTTCAGATCCTGGCCGCGGCTCGCGTTGAGTGGCGAGTGAAGACTGCCCTCGAATCAAGCTTGGTGCCTGTCTTGAGGATGAATGCCGTATTCAGCAAATGATGAAGCCGTTGCCTGGCTCTGCGCGAACGCACACCGCTAAATAAAGCAGATACTTTTACGAGGAGAAAATATACCTCTGAGTCACTAAATGTAGTCGCACACAACCCTTAATCGATTGTGGAGAACACCAAGCATTATGAGCAATGTCATTTCCACTTCCTTGCAACGGAAAAACATTTAATCATCTTGAACGTTTTCAGCAATGGCCCTTCTTGTATGTATGTTGAACTTCTTTCGCATCGTGCGTAGCCAACCGCGCTAATCTGAGGTGCGGAGTAGGGGGACGTTATTGATTTGAGCTTGTTGTGGTGCACCACTTTTGTGATATAATTCTGGATGAGGCTGATCGTCGCGATGTGCTGCTGTTGCTGCTGTTGCTGCTGTTGCTGTTGTTGCTGCTGCTGTTGCTGCTGTTGCTGCTGCTGTTGTTGTTGCTGCTGTTGCTGCCGTTGCTGCTGCTGTTGCTGCTGGTGCTGCTGCTGCGTGCACCAGGTGGTGAAGCGTGCATATGAAGCGGAGCTCAAGGATGCCCGGGTGAGGGAGGGGCGGAGGCTGGAGACCGACAGGAGGAAGCTCACAGAGATGGTGATCACTTTGCCTCCCGCTGCCTCTTCATAGGGCGGTGTTCTTCACTCATTTTCAGAAGGGGGCGGCACTTTCGCCGATAAGAGGGCCGCCTCTTATCGGCGTGTGAGGGTCGCCACACATTTGAAACCATTGGAGTTTGACAGCATGTTGGGGGGGGTGTTTTCACCGTTGTGTATTGTCAGGGGCCGCACGTCAGGGGGAGGACTAAAGACCATCAGGGGCCCCCAGTGGCCCGCGTGTTTTACAGTGAAGAAGAACACGATCTTAAGAGTAATATATTGCTTTTGTTTTAAGTCACAGGAGGATTTGGATACAATTTAGTATTGAATTTGATGCACTGCCCTCTGCTGCCCACCACGTAGCCCCCCCCTCCCCCCCCCCGGTAGTTCTATAACAACGTGCCGTGCGTGGCAGTCGCTTGCCCAAGCAGTGTTCAGGCTCGCACCTACAATTAAGTTTGTCTACGTATGGTGCGAAGGAAGTTCAACATACATACATACACACGTACAACCAGACCTAGCTTCTGAGATCTGACAAGATCGCATTCTTGGTGATGATATGGTCATGGGTGAGTGGTGAACACTGGAGAATAAAACGTTCCCGGTCATACGGCAGGTAACGCACCACGTTTTAGCACTCCGCATTCAGAACTCCCTTGTCCTGTCTCGCTCTCCTCTGTTATACCCTGGTCCACATTCCTTGCCAGTCACTCATTGTCCAGGGCTGTGTCTGAGATGACGATTAACTGGCCAAGCATATTTGAGTTTCCATACTTAATCCATGCCCCAGGGCTTTTCCCCAGGTTATGATTAACTGGCCCGGTGCCACCCAAGCCACCAACATAAATAAGGACCAAAGTTCCCCTTTCACCGTCTGCCCCATCTGCTCACCCCCCCCCCCCCCCCTCCGGCCGGCACAGGAGGACGAGTACAAGGAAAACGTGCGAGCGCGAGTGCCGCTCACCCCACAGGCCCGGCGCGTCTACGCCCCCCGGCGAGCGCCGGGATCAGCCCCGACGACGCCATCGCGCAAGCACCGCCTGCAACCGCCCGGCTCTGGCTACGGCTCGCGTTCGGCCACGGGCTACGGCTCGGGCTCGGGCACCGGCACACCCGTCAAGACGGCACGTCCCCCGCACCGGGGGGGGACGGGGGGGGCGGCCAGCCCGGCGGCGTCCGCCGTGGAAACAGGGCAAAAGCCGGCTCCGCTCCGTGTCGCTGTCGCCGGCGCAAGGGGGACTGTTGCGGCCGAGGAAACCCTCGCCCCGTGAGTTGGAACGTCGTCAAGTTACGCGGGCCAGCCTGGGGCTGTTTAGAATCAGAATCGGAATCTTTATTCGTACTGGAGGAATCCGCAGGAGTGGGTCAGAATGGTACAACAGCAAACGATACATAAACACGATAGGAGTGCAAAGTATAGGAAAGGTAAATAAATCGCTGAAAAAAGTATACAAATAAAACGGAAGTACTTTTTATCTTACGAGGTAAAGCCCACTGAGGTATTAAGTTACTTTTCAGAAGCAGCCTGGCTGCCACAAATGATAGCACAACAAAGTGGCTTATCACGTGGAAATTTATAAGCAGCAAAATAATCTTAATTTACCGGCAGAGGTGCAATCCACAAACAACAGCGCTTATGGCAGTTTTACATTGGAGAAGCAAACTGTTAACTTCCCACGTTGATCCAGAATATTATCAGCGGGGAGGGCTGGCGATGGTGATGATGTTCATCGGCTGTGTTGAGCCCCATTCAGTTGGTTAACTTGCAACCCAATTTTATTTAACAAACGTTCTCATGTTGTCACTCGGCTGGATTACGGTAATAATAAAACGCATCAAATATGAATTTGCCGGCATTGACAATTCAAATGATCGTGGTTATCGGAGTTCAAGATCCGATTAGTCGCTTTTCTTTTACAACAGTGTGGTGAGTGGAGTGCCTCTTGGCTGCAGGAATCTCGTGAATTAATTACCAACAAGATATACACGAATTAAACATAAATCCTAACACAAAATTCAATGCACGCAATATGAGCCGAAGAATCTATTGAATGCCAGATCGTTACGTGCCTAATAGTTATACCATAATAATACATGCAATGAGAAAACGTAAGAAGACTTTAGCATCGCGTTGTTATCTCCCTGTCCCGAATCAAGTCTGCCTATTGTATCGTACTATATTATAAAAAAGGTTTCCTGGCTGGATTCCTGCCTGGATTGCAGGGCTGGCAGATGGCCAAGTGGCACATGCGTGGTGGTAAAGTCAAAGACACGCACATCTGGGTGTGAGGGGGGGTAGGGGGGAGGGAGGTCACGGACTGCTCAGGTGCGCCACGGTGGCGAGATGTTAACGTGTCGCCTGATATACTGGAAGTTGTGGGTTCGATCCCGACCCTGACGCCTGCTGTATATTTGGAGTTTGCGTGTCTCTCTCCCTGTGGTCGCGTCGATTTTTCTCAAGGTCCTCGCGATTTTTCCCTCCACATTTACACGCGTTTAGAGTATTTGACTGCGTTACATTTCCGCACGAGAAGCCACTTGATTGAGCGTTCGTTTGTGACCAGGTCGCTCCTGAAAGAAGAGCAAAACAGCTCGGTGGACCTTTCTGATGAACGAAAAAATACTTTATCATTTAGTCTCTATAAAATACATATGCCCACTCTCTCCGGTCACATTTAGATGATGTTATAACTCCACAATGCACTTGCCATTTCTACTGTCGCAGTGCGCGTCAAGGAGAACGACCTGTTGCCCGTGCTGCTGGCCGAGTTCCCGCACCTGCACATCTCCCCACACACACTCAACCGCATGTGGCGCCAGCAGTGCCAGCAGATGGATCGCCTGACGCAGATCGCCGCCCGCCCAGACCGGAGCCACGCCAAGCTGCAGGGCGAGGTCAAAGGCCGCGAGTTTTGTTTCATTGCTTGTCGGTTGGTTAATGGGTGCCACGGTGGCGAGGTGTTGACTACCTCGCCTGGTATGCAGGAGGTCGTGGGGTTCGATCCCGACCCGAACGCCTGCTGTATATTTGGAAGTTTTCATGTTTCTCTCCCCGTGGTCGCGTGGATTTTTCTCCGGTTTTTCCCTCCACGTATATACGTGGTTTAAAGTATTTGGCTGCAAGACATTTCCACGTGATGAGCCACTTCGTTGAGTTTTCATTTGTGGCCAGGTCGCTTCTGAAAAAGAGCTCGGTGGACCTTGCCTGGTAAAATAAAATAGTTTAGTTTTATTTTCTTGGTTCTTTTGGTAAAGTCACGTAGAAGGGAAATAATAAAATAATAAAAATAAACATAATAAAATACACCATTCAGACGCTGTCTTTCCGACAGACCTGTTCTTCACCTGAGGACGGCTGCTTGCGTTGTGGCCGAAACGTCGTGAGAATTGTATTTTATTATGTTTTATTTTTATTATTTTCCTTCTACGTGACTTTACCGATAGAACCAAGAAGATGAATCCCTGCAGTCACGAAAGCTTTAAATCGAAGTTTAGTTTTAGTTAGTTTAGTTGAATTTAAACTTATAATGCAATTTATATTGCGCGCAATATGTCACGGACGTCAGTGATCCTGAATTTGAGGCGCGGGGACAAAGCTCGGTGTCACTCGAAAGCCAGGTGATATACTGGGCCTTGAAATTAGTTGTAGATTTAAAGCTGCTGTGTATGTGCAGCGGGACGACGTTCCAGACAAAGGGGGTCTGCCACAGAGAGATGACGCCTGGAAGTGACGACCCTGGTCCTTGGTGTAGAGAGTAGGTTTGATTCGCGCTGTCAAAGTTTTATACGTCCGCGGTACGCGCAAACCTCATCTAGTCGCACATCAACTCGGGTGGAAAGTGTTTAAGCTGTCGTTTGCTTGTACATCCATTGCTACGGTGGTGTGTGGGAGGGCACTAATTTTTGTAAAGACGACCCAATTGAAATGCATCTTTGGTATGAGTTTGAGTTTCTGTGGGAATCGCCCTGTTGAAAACCAGCCAAATTGAACAAAGGTTTGCCCAAAACTCGGGAGAGACAGACCAGCACTAAAAGGGCCATTTGCAAATGTGGAAACATGTTTTACTCGGCACAGCCACCCATCCACTTCCGTACTGCTTAATAAATACTTGCGAGGACAGATACACGTTGGGAAGCGTTACGTAATCCTTGCGTACGGATGTGACTTAATAGAATAATTTCTCTGTTATCGCTTTTTTGTTGTTTGCACCTTCAGTTTTGGTGGCATTGTTTTATTTGATAATTCATTGTTGTTTTCCGAAGGCTTTTCATTTGATGGGTAGTAGCTACATATAGGATTTGGTCCTTATATATAATTAATGTACAGCATTGTGGCATGCAGTTGGCATGAATGACAGTGGTTATTAACCTTTAATAAATACATAGGTTTGATGAAACAAAGTCGTTGTACTTAAGTGCCCGTGCTTAATTTCTGTTTGGATGATTTACCTTCTAAAAAAAAAAATCTGGCAATGTATCGCACCTCCAGAGAAGGGCATCTCGCCACCCCCAGGGTTTGCGTGAACCCCAGGTTAAGAACCACTGCTCTATAAAATGTATTCTGATAATCTTACCTGGCTTTGTATTTTGTCGCCAACAGCTGGAAGAGGCGCAGAGGAAACACGACCTGCTGGTGGCGATCATCAAGAAGGAGCAGGAGCACAACCAGCGACTGGTGCGTCCCGCAGACGGACTTGACGACACTCGGTAGACGTCGACTTAATTGCCGTCTGCAGTCTTAATTCCTCGTCCGTTGTCAAGCGTTTAGTCAGAATGACCCTTAACTCCGTCAGCCATGCACACAAGTACGTACATTGTGAGGGATCATTGTATCATTGCGCACGACACGCACCTCCGGTGAGCACGGTTGGCTACGTACGCGTGCGTAAGGAGTTCAACGTGTACCCGTCATTGTGTGTATGTTGAACGGGAAGAGTAACCATGGTTGGAGTGATAGTAGAGTTATAAGCAGGCGACTGTATGTTTGTACGTTGAACTCCTTACGCGCACCGTACGTAGCCAACCGTGCTTATTGGAGGTGCGGGTTGTGCACAACGAATCGAAGAAGAAACATTATCTTGTTTTTTTATTCCCGTTCTGCTATCGCCGTCACAGTGAGAGACAAAACAACCGTTTGGACGTCTCTCAAAGAGCACAATGATGTTTATAACCCCAGAATGCAGCCCTGTGTCTTGGCATGCTGTGTTTAGAAGACATTACAAGCTATCGTGTGACCTTGTACAAGACATCTTATTGCATAGAGGGATCAATAAGTCATCTTTCGAGAGAAAATTTACGGGATTCAGCGTAGAAGCCAGTCAGGGTGATTGATGATCCAACCAGGGTGGTGAGATGTTCACTACCTCGCCTGGTACACAGATCGTGGATTCCAACCCGACCCTGGCGCCTGTAGATGTGGAGTTTGCATGTTCTTCCCGTGGTCGCGTGGATTTTCTCCGGGCCCTCCGGTTTTTCCCTCCACATTTAGAAACACGCGTTTAGAGTATTTGGCTGCTACAAATTTCCACGTGATAAGCGACTTCGTTGAGCTATCATGTGTGTGGCTAGGTCGCTTCTGATGAAAAATCTTTTTAGCTCAGTGGACCTTCCCCGGTCAATCGCCTCCTTAAAACTCTTTAATCGCGACAACCATGGTTACTGTCGTCCCGTGAACTTCACTCGCTCATTCCTCCACGCATGACTGACCGTCATTACGCTGCCGATCCATTACGCTGCCGATCACAGCACTTCTGTTCCTGCTTCTGCCCCCGCACTGCTCGAATTTCAGTTTCCATCCCATCGTCTCTTTTTCCCAAGCTCTCATAACCGTACTCAATTCGAGGAACTTGTTAACTTTTATCTACTACATCTTTGATAGTGCTGTTTGTTGCCGACCGGTTGAAACTTTGGTCGTCTTTTTAAAGTCTTTGGCTCAAACAATTGTGAAATATTCTGTACAACATTGCGAGTTACGGGTCTTCAAGACCCGACCACTCAGTGGAACAGAGTACAGCAGAGGTTCCCAACTCGTGGTCTGCAGACTCCTGCTGCTCCGCGGGGCTGCTCCAGGTCAGGTTGTCCGCAGAAAAGAAGAAAAACAATTACATCCTCGCCAAGGAAATGTACAATTTCAAGCGGCTTGGTACAGGGGTCGGCAACCGAAATAACAAGAAGTGACATTTTTTTTTCGAATTCGGCACACAACTCAATATTTTATACGGCCGCAATGCACGTGAAAGTATACTGCGTACGTTACGTCACGGAGCCTGTCGAAGGTTGACGACCCGTGAGCTCTCGTAGCATACGGCGGTGGTCCGAGAAATGTTTGGAGGTTGAAAAAGGGGGCCCACAAAGTTTGTGAACCGCCGGTGTAAACTATCTCGGGGTGGCTATTCGTTGTCCTTTCCTCACTCCGCGTCCCCCGCCCGCCCCCGCGATTTCAGCGCGAGGTGCGGGAGCGCGTGAGGCAACAGAAAGCGTCGGAGAGTCGGCGCAGGGAGCAGCGTGAGCAGGTGGCACGGGCGCGCCACTACTACAGCCGCTACCACCTGCAGCAGCGAGCCAGGATGCTGAGAGAGAGGACTCGCGAGGAGCGGGTAAGGTCGTCCGTCCGTCCGTCCGTCCGTGCAGCCATCGTAATTATAATTAGGAATTGTAACGCGCGCAGTTTCCGCTCGCTTTCGGAGAGAGATGGTGACAGAGAATGATGCGGAGGCATGGGACACCACAGACTACAGTAGAACCTCTGGTCACGACCATAATTCGTTCCATAACTTTGGCCGCAACCCGATTTGGTCGTGACTCGAACCTAATTTCCGCACTGGATTGTATGTAAATACGATTAATCCGTTCCAAACTCGTACGAACTGTATATAAATATTGTTGTTGTTTTTTCAGTACGACAAAAAATGTTAATTATGCCATAGAATTCACAGTGTAATAGTAAACCAAATGTCAAAACATTGAATAACACTGAGAAAACCTTTAACAACAGAGGAAACTAACATTGCCGCGTCAAGGTTTAGAATCGTTCAACAAGATGATTGTTTCGTCTGCTACATCAGTCGGTCGATTCTGAGAAAATTTTGTTAATTTTTTGGTCGGAACCCGATTTGGTCGTGGTCAGAAGCGTTCGTGACCAGAGGTTCTACTGGAGCTGGGAAGGTGTTCACAACTGGCGCCAACAATTGCCCAAGATCTGTGGTCCTGCTGTATTGGGGACGTTTGGCAAACAGTTGTCAGACCATTATGAGAGCTCCTTTGCCAGTAGCTCTCAATACTCTGATGGTGCATTGTCTTTGAGTTGTGCGCCTTTTGGCGTCATCTGGTCCAACAGCATGTGAGACTAGGCTCTAAGAAAAGCTGTCTCGGGTGTGGACCAATCAGTTGCAAGGACAGTGCATACATTATCAGAGTTGTGTTTTTTTGTTTGCATTTTGACCGCATGTGTTGTGGTCTATGCAAACGTGATCCCTTGTATAAAGGTGTCGGTTTTGTTGCCAGATAAATGGTAAAAACCTATTACTGGTTGTCAGACCGTCCGTTTGGCCGTGCCTCAAAGACTCGACCAGTTCTCAAGACACTTTCACGAAGGTCCCCTACGTTGGGATGCTTGACCCAAATTCTATTCGTGCCACAGGACACCTCTTAACGTGATGCCTTGAACTTGCGGTTGTGATGTACACAAATCAAAATGTCATCGATTGCTACACGACCTGCGACGAATGCCAGAGATGGAACCGAGCGGCTGTCCCCCCCCCTCTCCGCCTCCTGCCAATTATAAACTAAAACTAAACTATTTTTATTTTACCCGGGTAAGGCCCCATTGAGCTGTATAGCTCTTTTTCAGAAGCGACCTTTCCACAAATGATAACTCAACGAAGTGACTTATCACGTTGAAATTTAAAGCAGCTAATAATCTAAACGCACTTGAATTCTAAATGTGGAGGGAAAGACCGGAGGACCCGAAGAACAATCCACGTGACCACGGTGAGAGACACGCAAACTCCAAATATACAGCAGCAGGCGCCAGGGTCAGGATCGACCTGCATATCAGGCAAGGTATTTAACATCTTGCCACAGTGGTGCCCAATTCATCCCCGCCACCCCCCCCCCCCCGCTCTCTCCACCACCAGGTGTTCCGCCAGCTGTTTGAGGAGGGTCTGGAGGTCCAGAAGGAGCGGCTGAGCGAGCTTCGCAGCTACGCTCGCGACAAGCACGACGAGCAACGGCAGCGGCAACGCGACGAGCTGCAGTCGGTGGAGAACTACTACAAGGACCAGGTGAGGGGACGTGTCGTCCCCCCCCTCCTCCTCCACCGCGTGTGACGTCGCGTCAAAAACCCCTTTGGACATCTGTGACCAAGAGCTTCGTATAGTTCATCCGGATTCTGATGTGAAAAATTCAGCTTCTTTGAAACAAGGGGATATGCAGCGTTCCGCGAGCTCTTTTTTTTTCTGAGCGTCGGACCGCGTTGGGAATTTCGTGTAACCTCCGCACGAGGCCGAGATGGCTCGCGTAGAAGAAGGACATCGCGTCACGTAGAGCGACGACACGTCATTCGTGATTGCCACGTCACGTTCCTGGTGCAGAGGTCGGGCGAGGTAGCCTGCTCACCGGTGAACGGCCTGCGCAGTTGTTTGCCAGAGCCACCAGGGCTGAGGGCAGTGGTTAGCGCTACGCTGCGCTGTGACCCTGGTGACCCGGATTCAATTGTCGCTCATGGCCACCACCAGTGACGATTTTCTAAACCGGTTCTGGGCTTCCCCCTAGGTCGACTCGGCCTCAAATAAGTGCCTGGTGCGATGTGTAAACATCGCCACTGGGGGGACAAAGGGTGTGGTGCTGGCCACCCACCCCCTCGTGTGCAGTGCCAGCCTTCATAGGTGACCGACGTGGGTGAAGTGTGGTCAAATAAAAGCCCTTTCAGATCCGCACAGTGTGAGGGCAGCCCTCTACCAGCAGTGGATTGCACATTCAAATGTAGCACCTCGGGACGATCACTTTATGTGAACAACATTTCTTGTCGGCGCTGAACTCTGGAACTTGTAAAATGTTTTTTTGAAAGTTTCTGATAACGATCAGGTGATTTACGAATTGGCATCAGAATCGGAAAGGCTTTTATTCGCCATGAAAGTTCGCACAGACAAGGAATTTACTTTGGCCGGAAGGTGCATGCATTCAACATTTAGGAATCTTAAATAAGTGGTTTACAAGTCTAACTATACTAAAGGTACAAGTCTAACTAGTACTAAGGAGCTGCGCACATTCGTAGCTCGGGGGAAAAATAAGTGCCGCCACTAGGCATAGGACCCCAGAAAGAAGGGATTTTTAGATGGCCTGGGAGCAAGGCTCGGGTGCCTGGTTTTTAAGTTATCTCTGCTGCTCGCATTTGCGATGTGTTAAATTAATAAGTGGAAAAAACTATCTGTAATAATCCAATTGTATCCATTGAGTGTCCGATATCTGTCATTTTGGCAACAATAACGTCAAGGCAGCTAATCTTAAATAATCAAAGTTTTGCACATCTGCTTTCACATTTAAACACATCACACGCACATACGCACGTCATAATGAGTCTAAACGTGAATGCAGCCCATTGGGGTTAGCGCTGTCCAGATGACAAACGGTGATGACCGCTCGCGGCCCGTGTTTCAGTTTTCTGTTCTTCCCCCGCACCCTCCGATTCGCGCGGTTGGCCACGTACGGTGCGAAAGAGAAGCTCAACATACGTACACTGTCCTCTCCTGCGCCGCCCCCCTAGTTTTCGATGCTCGCCGACACTGTCAGCCAGGAGCGTCGGGACATGCAGGTGCGGGAGAAGGCACAGGGCAAGGTGAGTGCACTACGGTAGTGCAGGGCTGTGAGCCGGCTCTCGCACGGGTGAGGAGAGTGGAACGTTGCTAATCGGTGAGGCACCCAGTGGAGGGAGCTGGACAGCGAGTGAGCAAGTGGGCTGTCTCTGGCCAAGCATTAGAGTGTAGGACCTCCCTGAAAAAAAAAAATATTGGCTTAAGATCCAATTCGGCTTTACCAGGTAAACAGTTGATATTCTTAATGTTCGAGCCAAATTATAAGGATGCGGTGCTCAACCCCGTGGCAATTGTTAAGCTTTGTGGACGCCCTTGCAGACTTAAATGGCATCCGTCAAGAAATAAGTGGCAGTCGTGTGTGTACTTTTAGCAATAGTAAAAATAATACTCTCAAGAAACTGAAGGTCGACAGGGTTGTGGAGATTCCACAACGGAATGCGACACAAGAAGCGGCCAAAACAAGACACGGATGTGCTGTGCTCAGCCATCCTTGGTATTTGTCTTTATTTGTTTCACCTCTGGAAAGGCTTGGATTTATAACTCAAGAGCCGTGTTCTGCGGAAGGTACAAATAACTCCCGAGTTGTCGGGAAAGTGAGCACGTTGCTTCTGTTGTGACACCTGACGTGGGGTCAGAGAGAGAGAGAGGCAATTAAAAGAGCGCATCAAGCTCGCATGACAGAAGTGCAAACGCAGCAATGACGACCGCTTACACGAAACGGTTGGAAACCGAGAAAGCGTGCATCATAGTCGCACGTGAACTTGTCCCCACGCCCTGTGTAATACCCAGCGTAAACAAGTCGCTGGAGAGATCAGACAAAAGGAGTGCGCAAAGAATGTTTGAAGTTTGGATTTGAAACAGGACGGCGAAGGGACCGATCAAATAAAGAGAGCAGTGGCATCGTCTGCTCCGTGGCTGACGAGAACAATCTTAGAAATGACCCCTGCTCCCTCCCCAAAGAAGGGAGGCGACAGGGAGAGAAAATGGAGAGAGAAAAGGGAGACGGTGTGGGTCAGAGGGTCAAGAGGTCAGCGAGGCACTGACAGGTGCTGCCCTGCGGGGTGGTTTAAAGCCCCCACCAAACTTGGCGCACTTGGGGGGGAGGGGCGGAAACTGATGAGACTGGTGCTAAGAGTCTAGCACGTGACCTGACCCCCCTTCCCCGCGGTGGCCTTGGCAGGCGGTGCACAAGTTGCGGCGGGAGTTGCGCGGCAAGATGGAGCGCGACATCCAGGAGCTGCAGGAGCTGTTGGCGCACGACGACGCCGTGGCGCACTTCCGCGAGGTGGAGGCTGACCGCGTGCGGCGACAGCTGCAGGTGGCGACCTTCACTTACGCGCAGGAGCACGCCGCGTCGTCGTCGCCGCCGCCTTGATTGTCGTCAGCGGCAGGAGTGATTTTGGAAGGAGCCCGGTTTTGGTTGAATTAGCGGATGGAATAATGAGTCGTGCCCAAACCAAAATGTTCAACTTACCGGTTGCCACCTGGGATGGCCAAACTTTATTGGTACCAATGGCTTTATATGGCCACTGAAAGCAAGTTGTGACGAGCCAGTGGTGGCACATACAAGTGGATGGCTGACAACCTTTTTAATAGTTCCTATGCAATTATCCTTTCGTGACTGTATAAGAGGATTAATACCACTAAATGTTGTCCCCTTAAGTAGCACCGAATTAATGTGTGCTGACCGTGGGCTGATAAGTTATTTTGAACTCTGTGGAGCAGCCTTACATCTTGTTGCGGGCAGGGTGGGGAAGATGTTGGAAATAATTAAATGCGAGTCGCTTAAAGAAGTGTCCCTTAAAAGTGTCCCATCACCCACTGATGCATTTTTATTTTCCACGTATAGATTGTTCATTTCGAAACAAAGCAACGGAATGTTTTGTCCTCTGAGCTGGAACAATACAAAATGAAGTGAGGGGAAAAACAGATCTACATTTATATGGCTGGGTTTACCGTGTGGTCATTCGTAACAAGTGTGAAACCATCAGATATCGACACAAGTCTGGTTTAATGGTAGTGGCTAGAACTATGATTTACACACGGGAACGATTGGTGCAGGCACAGTGCTGACGCAGGCATTGTCCCAACCAGTCACACACTTGATTTGTTTTTACGGCTGTTGGCCTGACCATGTTATTTTAAGCATGAGTGATGCTGTTAACACCACAGGCTCTCACTCCTCTTGACGGTAGCTCTGCACAAAAATAGTTTTACAATTTTCACCTCTAGGAAATATTTAGCTTTTAATTTGCAATGCGGAAAAATATTTTTGTTCCCCAGGTGTGCATTTTTGTTGCTGTGGTTTTAATGTGAAGTAAAGAAATCAAAATTAATGTGTTTTTTTAACCAATAACACTGTGCTGCTGTACTGTTTAGGATCAATTTGATTGGACTAATGCTTGCGTTACAGTCAAAAGTTACATTTCTGTGCCACTCAAAACGGCATTGTACTTAAGAATATTATTAAATGGTGAAAAGTTTTCCTGTGATTTATAATAAATCTTTGTTCCACGAATGAACAGGTACATTTCAAAAACAAAAATGTGTATTTGTCATGAATGAGAACTGATGTCAGTATTCGTGTCTTTATACCATCACATACTGCTCTATCAGTCTTGTATAAGGGACAACATCAGGCCAGGCTCAGTCTGACTTAAAGGACCCTCTCCCCCTGTCATTGACCAGGCGTGTCTATTGTCTAAATACCAAGCAATAACATCCTGTACGCAGAGGGGAAAAATCAATTACTCCAGCTGATTTAAAAGTAAAGGCACCAGAGTCGATAAGTGGTATACAGTATAAATATATTTATTTTTGAAACTTTAAAAAAAGTTATGGAAAAACATTCAAGTCAAAACTAATACAATTCAAGCTTTACAAATCATATTACTGTACTATAGTTTAATGCTCTTGCTTGTTACAAATATAGAAAATGCTATGATCAGGCCACCGTAAAAGTCAGCGCAACAGATTACTCTATCATAAATATTGTTATAAAAAGTCAGGGAAGAAAAAAAGCACTTTGTTTATTAATTCTTAAATTAGTTTCATATGGGTTACGTAACTATAGAATATGTGCATGATTGTAAATATAACCGTTCTCTAGCAAAGGGCTCGCCTGATTTGACTACGGGCAAAAACACAAGGCAAGCTGAAGTTAAAGGAACACTGCTACAGAGTCATTACATCATCCAAAACAAAACAAAAAAAACCCAACAGCACCTGTCCAAAAAGGTGGCCGCTCACTTTTAAACATCTGAAGCTGTCTTAATATTACAATATTGACGGCCGAGGCCAAATCTTTCAAGCTTCGTCCAGAGGTTCAAACGGGGAGGGAGGGGGGGAAATAATAACAAAGAAAACGCTTCAAAGAGCTCCAGGGGTAAAGTAAAACAAATTAAAACTGTACAAGTAAATAAGCGTTTGCATTCACGATTCTTGACGACTGTTTTGCGCGTAACTGAAAATGCACGCGTCTATTCGAGGATCGGTCATGGAAACGCGCACACCGCAAACTGGGTGGTCTGCAGGGCCGCTGTGCGTTCAAAGGGGGGCGCTAATATTAGCAAGGACGCAATAGATGCTTTATCCGACCGACGCTTTCAACAAAGTTGGGGGGGGGGGGGGGTCTTCTCTCGCTGTACAAATACCCTGTCCAGAACATAACAAACCTTTGGCTTAAGCACGAGTTATTAAGCCTCATAAGTTGCAACATGTTCTGCCACTAACACTGACACGAAGGAAGTTTTCTTTTTTTTAGTAACAATACACCGTCTTCCATACGTTAGTAACAGAAGACAAAAAAAAGTTATTATCTGTGCATGGCTGTCCTTTGGAAATGCCACAAAGCAGCTGTTTTCACAAGCGAGGAAAAAGGTAATGGTCTCTGACGAAGCGTTTATACGAAACCAGAACCATGAACGTCGACCGTAAACGACAATTAAACTTAAAAGTTAAATTCCTTAAAAATTACTTTTTTGCAACTGAACACTGTACAGTATAGTGGGAGTGTCACGCATTCCGTTTCTGTGGTCCGAGGACGGTACGCTATCGTTTGCTGCAATACAGGCGGCGTGTAGAATGCAGTTTAACTCCACTAACAGGTGCAAATTGGGCGGACGGGCAGCCCTAGGGATAGACCTCGGGGGGGAGGGGGGGGAGCCCACTTGACCCACATCACAAAGTCCCGGTGGTGGTGTTTCACACAGTCGCGTTTCCCCAACACGGTCCCCCTTCCTTACGGGCTCGGGGAGCGTGGGGAGCGACCTGGCTGCTGGCCTGGTCACCGTCGCCCCACGTGGGTGCGCTTCGAGTGCGTACAGCGCGGGTACGGTGCGTTTGCGCGAGTTACGTGCGTGCGTGCGCAGTCAGCCGACGGACGTCCGTCACTCGACAGCGAATCCGCACGTCTCCTCCACGGCCGTCAGGAGCTTCTCGTACAGCTTCTCGTACGTCTCGTACGGCGGGATGTCGATTCGGTTGAAGCTGCGCGTGTGGAGGAGGAGGAGGAAACGGGACACGTGCACAGTTAGAACAAATGACTAAGGCCTCCAGGGCGGGTGGGGAAAAAACGTGGCGCTAAAAAAACTGCGTGCGCATCTCGGTTTGCAAGCAGCTGCTCGCCCTCACCAGGTGTGAGCTTTGGGAAGGTTGTCCGTCTTGGCGTCAATCAGGTGGATCGTGAACAGCCTGGGCCCTGCTGCGCCTGCGGGCGGAACCGTGCGGCAACAATTAAACAACAGCAGCATTGGCAGGGGAGCAGTCAGGATAGAAAACACACAAGGGGGAAACTGTAAATGACACGCTGAAGATGCAGGATGGAGATGAAGCACATATCGGATGGATCGGAATTGTACCACAGCACAGATCTTTTGCCCTCCGGCCGAACCAAATCTTCAGTTCGCCAATATTCATTTGCTGCTGCTCAACAGGGAGGATCGAATCGCGGTGAAACGTCATTTTAAAACATTCCGCAAACTCGAATGTCACAACAGGAAATCGAAAGGGGGGAAGGAAAAATATATCAAAAGTGTCGGCTTCACACATTTGGGTGTATCGGGCGCACGGGTGTGCGCCGCTTCTGGCCTCTTGTACGTAGCTTGTAATTTGGGTCTTCCATTGTAGACTACAACACCGAATAACGCAGCACGGAAATGCTTGTCTATGCGTTTCCTCTGGTCAAGCACACCACCCCCCCCTCAAATTGCCTATTAAATAATTAACCGTTTGGTCCAGTATTAATTCGTGCCTTCCCAGATGAGACCAGAGAGGGGGGGGGGGGGGGATCAAGTGTGAGAAACTCTAGACCACTGATCTGAGCCGGCCCCAAAACAAACAAAAAACCAAGCTGGCAAGCCGGTCGATTAAGGGCGCCCCGATTTTGTCGGGAGGTTCAACAGCGCGTAGAACAATGTCGCACAAAAACATTCAAAGCGCGCACGGGCGGCCAAACACGTCAGGTTCCCCCATTCGTGCAGACGTCACGGTCTCGCGCACAGCAGCGCCAATAGCGCTGCTGACACGGTGGGGGGCATGCATAATATTTGCCAACAAGGCATGGTTAAAAGCAACCAAGTAAAAAATGATGCACACGCATGAATCATACAATTATTTCGTGAGTATTTCATTAGCAGGGCAGGTCAGAGGCAAACTGGCAAGGCAAAATGTTCTCTGGCTTATGTCACCAGGGTTTGAGGGAACCCTTTGATAAACGTGTTCGGTTTTCAACAAAACGACTTGCCGATAGCAACATTTAGTTCGCACAGTCATAGTGATCCACACCAATATGGACGGAGAGATCTAAGGGAACAGAACTAATACGTCTTCTTGGTTCTTTCGGTAAAGTCACGTAGAACGGAAATAATAAAACAATAAAAATAAAACATTATAAAATAATTCTCACGACGTTTCGGCCACAACGCAAGCAGCCGTCCTCGGGCGAAGAACAGGTCTGTCGATCAAGACAGAGTCTGAATGACACGTCCTAGGCTTGGAGCGTCTATTTAATACGTAAAAGCACTTTCACAACCTCACGAGGTCGGAAAGCGTTAAAACACTTGGCATCGACACCGACCTTGCAGAGCCTTGAACCCCTGCAGGGGCACGCGCGACGAGCCGGTGACGAACTGCAGGAGTCGCGCCCTCCTCTCCTCGTCGAAGGACTCCACGGCGCGCCAGAACCACCGCACCACGCTGCTCTCGGGCGTGCAGTGCTTGAGCCGCGTGTTAGACTTCCAGTCACTCACGTCGATCTTGCCAAGCCCGCCGATGATCAACTGCAGCACGAGGGTGACGCGGGGAGTTTAGGGAGCGAATTTTCACCAGCGTCGTCTTTATTGACTAAAACTTTTTTGTATTTTAGCAGGTAAGGCCCACTGAGCCATATAACCCCCTTGGAGGCTGCCTTTGGTTCACTGGCTTGTGATGCAGACTTACGAAAGCCCTCTGATGTGTATAAAATAATTTGTTTGGTAATCGTAAGCATCGTCAGCCATGATTAATCAACTGCTGGATGACGGCCTCCCCAAGCTGTGTAATCTAACCTGCGGTTTTTAAACAAAATATATATGGAATCAGTTTAATTAATCATAATGTTGACAATCATATTCGCTTTACATAGATTTGGCCATAATAAAAACCTCTCCCCAAAGCATTGTTTTAAATATATTAAAGCATTTATGCACAACTGTTATATTAGTTTTGGTACGAGCGCTCCGTACAAACTAAGATCTTCATAATCAATGTTTTTGGGTTTAGATCGCGTTATTTATAAATGTGTCGTAACCCTCCACGCGATCTAAACCCAAAAACGTTGATTATGAATAATATTGGTCGCGAAACAAACTAAGATCTTACAGATTTCAATTCATTTGCCGATATCGATGTCACGGGTCAATTCAACGTCGTGAACAATGAGAACGCACTTACCTCCAGCTCTTTCTCGTCAAAGGATTTGAGCAGTGGCTGAGGAATGAGCTCGTTGAAGCCTTTCTGCAGGGCCAGGAACTGGGCCTCGATCCCTCGCAGGAATCGCCAGCTCACGTACAGCCTGCGAGGTTGCAAGACGGATCATCGCGGGTCACGCCTTTATTCAACGTTCGAAAACAAAACTGCACTGTAGATCAGAGGTGAGGGAACCCTCTTTCTTACCGAGGGCCCAAGAGGACTTTCAATACGTTTGGCGGGACGAAACAAAAACAAAGATCCCCCGTGTAGCCTTGACAGATGCTGTTAGCGAGTAGCACCTATAAATTCTAGATTTGAAGCTTTCGTGACTGCAAGGATTCATACTCTTAGTTCTTTCGGTAAAGTCACGTAAATAAAAAATGTAAATAAAATCGGAGGCAACACAAGTCTCCGTCATCAGGTGGGACCGTCACAGCCAGATTTGCTGCATAAAGTGAGGCAGGGATTCCACGATGCAAGCTCTTGATGCAGCAAATCTGGCTGTGACGGTCCCACCTGATGACGGAGACTTGTGTTGCCTCCGAAACATCGCGATTTTATTTTTTTATTTTTTATTTCATTTTTTACCTACGTGACTTTACCGAAAAAACTAAGAGTATGAGCACCTATAAAGGCCGGCACGGCACACCAAAGGGGGTCCAACACCACGCCTGTCCGCCTTTGTCTCCCCAGTGGCGATCCGCGCCAGGTACTCATTTGAGGCCAAGTCGACCTAGGTGAAGCCCAGGACGGGTTCAGACAATCGTCACCGGTGGTGGCCGCGAGTGGGAATCGAACTCGGGTCGTTTGGCGTGGGACACACATTGACACCCACATCTCATGTCACTCATGTTACTCCCAAGATGTTTTTGTGATTAATATGACAATATCCTAATTACCTCGGGGCTACAGTAAATAACAACTACAGCTTAAACCCTGCGCCCGACTCAACACGCCCCCCCCCTGCATCCCTCCTCCCTTGTTCTTACCCTATATAATCGCTCGTCACATACAGCTCTCTCTGCCCACTACAGCAGACATTTTTTTTCTGGGGTTGTTCCACCTGATGACGGAAGCTTGTGTTGCCTCCGAAACGTCGTGATTTAGTTATTTTAATTTTATTTAATTTTCACCTACGTGACTTTACCGAAAGAACCAACGAGTAGGGACAGAAGTGTCTGAGCGAGTTAAAATTAGAACCAACTTTGCAGGCCAGGACAAAAATAATGCCATCCTCGAGAGCTCGATTAGTGCTGCTAAGATGCCTGTTACCCAGGTCTCCCATGACGCAACAAAGCCTTTGGTCTCAATAGCTCCCAACCGGTTTAAACAAAGGAGACACATAGAGACGTTAGTCAGCACCCCACCCATCCCCCCAACCACTATGTACGGTATGTTCATGAAGAATGTTAACATCACTGAACGACCCCTAAAGTATGAATGACACGTGCGTCGGATACGGGAGGCATCTATTTTAATCTTTCACTCGGGGGAACTTCTCTGCATTCGTGGAAGTTGTGACTCTTTATCCATAGGCCAGATTTCCTATCTCAACAAAACGTCCAAATCATTTATGGCGATTTAAACCCAATGCTGGTGGTGAAACACATTCGATACACAACAGTTGAGAACGGTCATTAACAAATACTCGTATGTATGTTGAACTTCTTTCGCACCGTACTTAGCCAACCGTGCTAATCAGAGGTGGTGGAGGGGTGGGGGGGGGGGTCAAAGGACAACAAACTAAACACAAAAAGCAATTCTGAAAAAATTACTTTTCAATTGAAAACATGAACCCTGGCCCAACATCTTTCCTCTCACCTTGCACAAGGCACTGGCACACTCCTCTAAATCCTAGCTCTTCTGAGCAAATGAAATGAGAAGATGGGGGATGCGGGGGGGGGGAGGTTGTACATTTTGGCAGACTAAATGAAACTGCTAAACTATTATTATTTTACCAGGTAAGGTCCAAATTTTGATTTAAAGCTTTCGTGACTGCAGGGATTCATTTTCTTGGTTCTTTCGGTAAAGTCACGTAGAAGGGAAAGACAGCGTTCAGCGTCTGAACGCTGTCTTTCCGACAGACCTGTTCTTCACCTGAGGACGGCTGCTTGCGTTGTGGCCGAAACGTCGTGAGAATTGTATTTTATTATGTTTTAGTTTTATTATTTTATTATTTCCCTTCTACGTGACTTTACCGAAAGAACCAAGAAGAGGTAAGGTCCACTTGAGCTATTAACACTCTTTTTCAGAAGCGACTTGGCTATCACAAATGATAGCTCAACGAGGTGGTTTATGTGGCAAATTATAGCAGCCAAACGAGGGAAAAATCAGAGGACCCGAGAGAAAAATCCACACGACCCCAGGGGAGAGAGAGAACACCGCAAATTCCAAATATACAGTTGTCAGGGTCAGAGTCGGGATCGAACCCACGACCTGCTGTATGCTAGGCAAGGAAGTTAACACATCTCATCACCGTGGCAGTCAAACACTCTGAACCAGTGGTTCTTAACCTGGGGGTGCACGCAAAATGCCCTTTCTGAGAACCAAAAGGCTGCAGTACAGGTTAAGAACCATTGTTCTGAATGCACGTTTCTAAATGTGGAACGGACAATCGGAGGACCCGGAAGAAAAATCCACACAACCAAGGGAGAGAGAGAGAGAGAGACACGCAAACTCCAAATATACAGCAGGCGTCAGGGTCGGGATCGAAGTCCACGACCTCCTGTATACCAGGCGAGGGAGATAACATCTCCGGGCTACCTTGGCGCCCAGGAACGGGCGGTAAAAATCTGTCCCGGCGGCAAGACACCCACCTGACATACTCCCGCTTGTTGGCCTCGATCACGGGGAGGTTCTTGCCGTTGGGCTTGAGCTCGTGCTGCACCAGCTGGCCAAACGCCTCGTGTTCCACACAGAACGTGTTCTCCAGCACGCCCGTGATGTCGTTCTCCCTGTCGGCGCACGCAAGGGCAAAATAATTCCCCATATTACAACAGGTAGGAACAACAGTTCCACACTGCCCGCCAGGGATTATTTGTCTGTCTGTCTGTCGTGCATAGCCACACCCTCGATTTGTGTTTCAGAAAGTGCTTCGGGTGGGCTCAGCACCACGTGACGTGCCGCCCCATGCAGCTTGCACCGCGTGACACGGATTGCACAAAAGCGCTGTCCAACCAAGTTCCTACCTGCCCACTCCAAAGGAACGTGTTATAGAGACACTATGAGACCTCCTTTACCAGTGCCAAAATATAATAGTAGGTTTTTACCCTTTAAACTGGTACAAAACTGACACCTTTATATAAGGCATCATGTTTGCTATAACCACAACACAAGTAGTCAAAATGCAAACAAAAAGAAACAACTCTGATGATGATAATGATATGCACTGTACTTGAAGTTGATTGGTCCACACCCGAGACAGCTTTCTTTAGAGCCTAGTCTCCATTGGTGTTGGACCAGACTACTGTGTTATAGAGACTAGCAGACTCGCGCTGTTCGCAAGCGCCTGTTAGGAGACACACACGGGGCGGAGCGGGGAGGAGGTGTGGCTAGAAACCACACCCCAGCCGCCTTTGTCTCCCCAGTGCTGATGTGTACACACTGCACAATGTACTCGTGTAAGGTGCAGCGAACAGTAGCCAAGGCTCAGGGACTGGTTCGGAGAGTCGCCACCGAGTGTGGATAAGAGGTCGCCGTGGTTTGTGCGATATCCGCTTCCACGGGTCGCTGCCTAACACGATGGGGTTGTGCCGCCCTGCAAGTTACAAATTAATTCTTCCACTCGTAACATGATTGTCAATCGCACAATCGAAATAAAATTTGGATTTTGGGGATTATTTTTTTTATCAATCATGCGCTGAAAACAATGTCGGATGGACAACAGGAAAATTAAAAGTGCGTTATTGTTGTTGTCCGGAAAAAATATTTAAAAATACTTTTTTTTTTTAAACACGCTTTAATGAAATGTACTGTCCGAGCTGCCCCTACCCCTGCCCCCTTCCCCCATCGACCCTCCCCTCCTTCCACACCCCCCGCCCGGGGGGCGTGGCTTTCCGTGACGTAAGGAACCGTGGTGATTTACAGCCAACGCGAGTTGAGCGTCGACAATTAGAGCCGTGATGCGAGAGAGAGAGACAGGAGCGTTGTGCGCGCCGTGCACCACTCACAGGATCCAGACGAGTGACTTGTGGAGTTCAGGGTCCACCGTCTCCATGTCGGCCAGCGTGATAGGCTTGCCCAGCAGCTGCTTGTAGAAGGGCAGCGTGAATCCACCGTCGATGTAGTGTCCGTGGAACACCGCCATGCCCATGATCCGTCCCACAAAGTGAAAGTAGGAGAGGTGCTCCTAGTTCAAAAACGTGGAGGGGGGGGCAAAGAAAGCTCATATTTTAGGATGTATGGCTACATGTTGGAAGGGGTTGCCACCTGTAAGGTAAGGCAAGATGGATGTGGAGTGCCATAGTATACCAATAGGGTTTTTCCCCTTTTTTCTGGCAACAAAACTGACACCTTTTGCGTGCGCCTTTTGGCGTCATCTGGTCGAACACCATATGAGACGAGGCTCCAAAGAAAGCTGTCTCTGGTGTGGACCAATCAGTTTCAAAGACAATGCATAAATTACCAGAGTATTGTTTTTTTGTTTGCATTTGACTGCAAGTATTGTGGTTAATGTAAACATGATTCCTTGCAAAAGGTGTCAGTTTTGTTGCCAGAAAAAAGGGGAAAAACCCTATTAGTATATTTTGGTACTGGCAAAAGAGGTCCCATGATGAAGTGCCATAGTAATTAGCGGAAGAGCGTTCCGGCTGTAATTAAGCACTTGCTCATCTTCGAATACATCTAAAAGAGCACTACCATCGACGAACTTTATCGTCAATAATCCCGAAAGCAGCGCTACGGCCAACGCACCGACCCCACGCAAGTGAGGCCGGCGGTGGACGGTGGGCAAAGCGACGGGTCGGACGGAGCGCGACAACTCACGGGGTTGATGGCCGAGTCGGGGTTTATCTGCAGTGTGTAGATGTCGTCGCGTGAGTACTGGAAGAGCCCGTAGTACGGGTTGAGCATCTCGTGGGACAGCAGGTACAGCCACTCCCTAAAGGGATATGGGGGGGGGGGGGGCAAGGGTGGAGGGGAGGGGGGCAAAGCATAATTATTGACAGTATATGGCTGCTATAACTTTGCACGTGATAAGTCACTTTGTTGAGCTATCATTTGTGGCCAGGTCGCTTCTGAAAGAGCTATATTAAACTCAGTGGGCCTTAGCTGGTAAAATAAAACGTTTATTTTATAGTTTAGTCTTTATTTATATTAGAAATGTACGGTTTTCTCATTCCAAGGCTGTATAAAGGCCTCATCATGGGGAGGATGTTTGACCAGAATTCACCAGCGCATCTGCCGCCAAATCCATGGACCTCACATTGCTCCCCGATCTTCGCGAGCGAAGAACCAGCCGACGACACTGGACAGGGCGCGGTCAAGGTGGGTCCAACAGCAGTTTAGAAATCGCTCTCCACCGACGACGGCTGTGGTCGGGAATCGAACTCGGGTGGGCTGCGCGTTCATAGCGAAGTGCATTTGGCACCGCGCCACCACTCGACCCAACACGGCGTAACGAAGGATGGAGGACGACGCGTCATCCAACCAAGGGTTAAAACATCCGCATTTGTCGTTAATGACGAACAGGAGCGGGGGGGGGGGGGGGGGGGGGGGTGGAACGAATGACAACGCTCGTCAAGCGTGCGACGCGATTCCGGCGACGCGCCAAAGCGAACACAACGTGCGGCAAACGTTACGCAAGGCTGTTGTCACGACGCGTTCTGATGCAACGACTGGTGCGCACACCGGCAGAGAACAGGGAAGGGTTTGTTTCTGCGGGGCGCACGGTGTCAGAACACTGTGGCGCAGTAGACAGACCGCCTCATTATTGTCAGATTAACCACCGTAGGTGCTGTTCACGGATTTTGGTTGTGACGAATGATAAATCTGTGTCCCTTCCCGGTTATTATTTCACGGAAACGTCGGGGCTGTTTGTCGCTTAAATGCACACATCTACTTTTGAACCTGATACGCGTTTACGTGCGATGATTCATTCTGCCATTTTAATCTGCTGCATAAGAACCCATTTACTGTCACCAGCGACGATCATTCAAGTATTTAAAGCTGAATTTCAATCTGTTGCAGAACCCGTTTTCTCTCATGTTTGCTGTTCAGACTCTGACCTCTGCATTTTAATTTGCAGCACAATAATATGTTTGCCCATACAATACCTTGAACCTTGCTCCACCTTGAAAATGCACACAACTGATGCCAATGGGTTTTCCCCGAACCGTAAATTTCCTCTCTCTTGTACAGTCTCAACTTGCCCCGATTTGTTTGTATGATCTAGCCTTAAGGTAACATTGGCGTGCAATTTACATAAATATTAAGTCATAAGATTCCATTCACTAAGGATTCGATGTGTACATCGTGAGCTTAAGAATACATTTTCATTAATTGTTTTTGATTCCCCCGGGACCGCTGGTGTAGATACCTCGAAATTGGCGTGTGCGCACATCCGTGTGTATGCACGTGCGTGTGTATGTGTACGTGTGGGGCGCGGTGGTTTAGCGGTTAGTGCGTGGCACTACGAACCCCGCGATCAGAGTTCGATTCCTGCTCACGGCCAACACCAGTGACGATTATCTGAATCGGTCCTGGGCCTCCCCTAGGTCGACTCAGCCTCATATGAATACCTGGTGCGGTGTGTGAACATCGCCACTGGGGAGACAAAGACGGCCGGACATGGTGCTGGCCACCCACCCCCTCATGAGCTGTGCCGGCCTTCATAGGTGCTCACTAACAGCACTTGCCCTAACAGTCTGTTAAGGCTATACGGGGGATCTATCTTTTTTTGTGCGTGTGTGTGTGTACGTTTGCGCATCGCTGTGTATGCCTGCGTTGGCAGCGTCCCTCTTCTGATATTCATCTTTTCTCCTCTCTCTCTCCCCCCTCTCTGTCTCTTCCCCTATTTCTACCCCGATGTGTTTTCCATTTCCAAGGCAATTTGAGATGCCGCAGCCTTTGAGCAATTGTACACAAAGACACACACACGTGTAGATCAGGCGTGGGAGGATTTTGACCACACTCACCACCCTAGTATTAATTGGTTAACGAGGATCGCACTCACACGAGACTAGAGCAGTACAATACTGGAATTTTGCTGCAATGCCCTCCACTGCTCACCCCGCAAGCCTGCGCCCTATGACAACCTGCTTGTGTTTGGTGGTCACCCCATACAAGCACACTAAGCTGGGCTCAACCTAGCTCAGTTTCTGGGATGTGACGAGACTGGGCACATCGCCGGCACTTTTGGTCATTTACACGACGAACGAACGGAAATCCTCATCCTCGATTCGGACCGAAAGTTCGTGCCGGGCAGGAGAGGCGCTCCTCCGTACCTGGCGACGCCGCCGTAGTCCAGCCCCTCCTCGCCACGGAACTTCACCATGAGCCGCTTCTTGAGGTCGCGGGGCCTCATCTTCATCACCTGTCGGTACGACTCCTGCCAGGGGGGTGGGGGGGCGAGCCGGACCGACGTATTCGCTCAAATTGTCCCGTGGCAAAAGTGGTTTGCTTATCCACGCGGTGCGATGGTCAAGATAAAAAAATCCGGGCCCGTAATTAAGAGTTTTTTTTTCCTATTCACTTATGCAGGACAAGACGAACAGACTGCTTGCAGGCCAGACACAATGTGATGGCATCAGAGTCAATTAAGACACCTTTTGAGCCTGCACTGGAGCAGGGGAACAGGTCTTAGTAGCCGGAGAACAGTGCCGGCAGGCATTAGCGAGGGATTTCCAGACAATGAGGGCAGCAGGAGCAGCAGCAGAGAAAGCCACAGGAAGTGAATTGCCATCCACAGAGGCAGCAGCGGCAGCAACAACAGCAGCAGCAGCAGCAGGGTGAGCGTCCCCTCTCGTCTCACCTCAAAGATCTCCGTGCGGGAAACCTCGAGCCGACAGTGCCCAGCCTGCGACTGCTGCAGCGCCAGCTCTTGCCGTAGGCACTTGAGCTTCTGCACGAGGTCGCGTTTGTAGCGGGGCACGGGGCACTCCTCGTCCGCAGGGGGTGGCGGCGGGCCCGGAGGGAGACCCGGGGGGCACGGGCCCTGTTGCGTCTGTCGGTTTCTGCGACGTTGGCGTGAACGTGCATGGGGAGGGGGCGGCACACGTAGAAGAGACCGGTCAGTTTAAAATAACAAAACACGTCACTATCTTTCGATTTAAAGCTTTCGTGACTGCAGGGATTCATCTTGTTGGTTCTTTCGGTAAAGTCACGTAGAATGGAAATAAAAAAATAATAAAATAAAACATTATAAAATCATTCTCACGACGTTTCGGCCACAACGCAAGCAGCCGTCCTCAGGTGAAGAATTATTTTATTATGTTTTATTTTATTATTTCCATTCTACGCGACTTTACCGAAAGAACCAAGAAGACGTCACTATCTTTTATTTTACAAGGATGGTGGGGGATGGGGGGTGCGAAGGGCTTGTCGTACTTGAGAAGGTGGTGCAGGTTGGCGGAGAGGCGCGGGTCGGTGAACTGTGTGGTGCGGTTGTTGTGGTCGACGAAATAGACGCGTCCCGTGGCGGTGCTGCGTGTCTCCCAGCCGGCGGGCAGAGGGCCCAGGTCCTCGCAGTTCACGTGCGACAGGTCCCTGTGTCAACAGGGGAGACGCGGCGATGACAACGATGATGGTGATCAGTACAAGTGGGTTAATCGTAGTGGAGTAGTAACGACATTAACAGTGGTGTAGTGACTACATTATCAGTGTTGTAGTAACTACATTATCAGTGGAGTAGTAACTACATTATCAGTGGAGTAGTAACTACATTATCAGTGTTGTAGTAACTACATTATCAGTGGTGTAGTAACAAAATTATCAGTGGTGTAGTAAACTACATTGTCAGTGGTGTAGTAACTCCACTATCAATGACGTAGTAACTACATTATCAGTGGCGTAGTAACTACATTATCATCTCAGGGGGTGTGGCAATTGGTGAGGTGGGGGCCCCAATATTTGATTTGCCTTGCACGATCGCACATAGTGGCTATTCGATATCGTGGCTCCCCTTATTCACCCCAACCAGAAAGAGAGATTCCTCTTGTCTACGCGATTACACTATGGAAGCAAACATGTGATGCGCAATTCGCAGAAGCCAAACGATACAGCTCTAATTACATTAAAATAATTACATTAAAATAAATGTGAACCGCGTTTAAATAATTGTTGTTGTTCTTTGACACTGTTGTTGAAAACGTATCTCATGGTGGTTCGTCCCCAACTCGTAGCTTTGGCCACGGGAAGGGGGAGCAAGGCACCCCCTGCCCCCACGCCCGTTACGCCGCTCCGAGTTCACCGCGGATCTACCCCACTCACAATTTGTCACCCAAGCCTCCTCTGTCCCCTGTCTAGGTCTGGACGAGCCAACGCAGCCCGGTTACCTGGGAACGCGAGGGTCGTGCCACGTGCTGACCCCGGTCTGTGTGTGGAGGAAGTAAATTTGTCCCTGCTGGGTCGTTCGTTGTTCTGCCCGTGGAGGAGAGGCACAAGGCATGGGAAACGGTGATAAGAGGGGACACAAAAGGGTCAATAATGCTCTCCCAGCAACGGCCAAGAGAAAACCGTCGAGGCATATCACTTTAGTGTATCTTACAAGAAAAAAAGTGACTAAAATTAAACAAACCTATATGACTCGACCACTCACGTGAAACGAGATTTTTTTCGAATTCAGTTTTTTAACTTCCGTTTCCTTTTCCCCCCCCGATTATATTACAAATGCGCTATCGGCGTTCTCATGACGCGGACATTATCATTCGGAAGTCAAGCAGTTAGCGGCAGTGCATCAAACCTGTGTCAGAAAATGTCCCTGGAAGATGATATCAAAGAACTACTTGTGAAGTCACTTGATGAGGTCTCAATACAAACTAGGTGTCCACACACATGTGCATACCCTGCAAAAAGTGTTGGGACACGGAACATTTTTTTTTATTCTCAGAGCAAATAACGATCCAAATCAAGTAAAAAAGAAAATTTACGTGACGGGTTTTTTCTTGTGTGCGAACATTGAGACCATCATATACGCGAGATGAGAGAAGTTCCGTTTAATCGCGGGTGGCTGGAAACTGGATTGAACCCAGGGCCGACCACAGCCACCCGGCCACTTCCAAAACAACATTTCGGAACGCCGCAAACTTTCCGCCCGAGTTGAAGGGGACTGCCCGAAACCGGTCGATTCTCATGCATGCAGCAAGGGGTCACATGCTGCACGGGTTACATTTTAACTTGGTTAAACTAGGCTCCTTGTTCAGCACTTACAATTGGGAAAGTAACAACGCACCCCTGTAAAGTAAGAGAGCTTGACACTCAACGCTAATCAGAAATTACCCAATTCTTACACGCACAAAAACGGATTCATGCAACGCGAGCAGAACTTAACAGATTAATCGTCACATCGCTGCCAGGAATCCATATCGACATATAAAATTGACAAGTGTCCGTCTGTCCATTTGTCATGCTCCGCATCTCCAAAACGGGATGTTAAGGAAATCAACAAATGTTTGTCTTCCTGAGGATATTCCCGCAAAATTGTTGCCTTTCTAAAATTCCATCATTTTGACCCTGAAAATTTGACAAATACCTTTGGGAACAACCAAAAGCCCCTCCATCTATAACAATTTCATTAGAACGAGTCGCACCTCACTGCTCAAACCAGCGATTAATAATGGGTGCTTAAAAGCAAGCCGGTGAGTGGCAATGGTAAACGAGTAGCAACATTCAATTTTTGCATTTCTTACTTCAAAGCATGCAGGTATTTAGACATTGCAGGGGGTTTCTCGTACGAAATCCATGTTACTCGCATTTCACTGAAGCTATATCCCATGCAAATGCTCATGCAGTGCTGGTATATTCCGATACAAATCAGTGCCAATTTGCACTCGCTTTAGTGTGAGTACCACACCCCTACACGCGACCGTGGAACTACCCTTAAATAGTAACCGTCCACATCGTGGACAACTGCCCCTGAGTGAGGAGTGCCGAGTGATTTAGAGATCCGATTTGTGATAGCAAATGCTAGAGGAAACGGCAGAGGAGGAAGTGACCTCCGCGCAAACCGGGCCCACTTTTCGACGCGAGATTTTTCCCGTCGGACTGAGTCGTCGAGTCGTTTCTCACCGTAGCCCTCGGGCAGATCTGGTGGCTGGTGGAGGTGCGTGCGGCTCAGGAAGTTGCGGTGCCTCTGCGAGCGCGCTCCCAGCTCCGGGGAGCCGGGCGCCGCCGGCGCCGCCGCCGGCTCCCCGGCGGTGGTGGCGCGACCGTCGGCGCCCTGCCCGGCGCGCAGCGGCGTCCCCTCCTGGCCCGGAGCAACGCAGCCTGGTCCGCCGCACTCGGCCGCCGGCCTGAGACACGCGCGCGCACGCACACACACACACGACGCGTTTAGCACGGGCGTTGGCACACTCACTGCGTTATGCGGTTGTGCTGTGTTAACAGCTCTCGGATGCGTTTTCGGGGGTTGTACCGCTTACGGTGTTTGCGCGGTGTCTACGTCGGACGTCGTGCCCAACAACACGCGGTAACAACCGGAAAACACAATGGGCAGGTGAGGAATGTACGGCGTGGGACTGGCACGGCACGGCGGCTTCATTCGTACGGCTCGTGAACACACGAGGCCTACCCACCCTTTATATTTATCCATGGCTGCATCTTTAGCCGCACTCATTGGGTACTAGAGGGGAACGTTTTCGACCTAGCAAATGTACTTTTAAGTCCGCGCTTCTTGCTTACATTGCTTTCGTAAAGATGTAATATGTGCATTACAGACACTATATAAACGATTTACAACAAAGAATGAAAATTGCGACTTAGAACGCGTGGCAATCAGACAAGCCCAGGCAAGACACACAGCTTAGTATCTAATAGATAGGAGCTTTTTTTTTTTAGATTCTTGCTATTTTCCTTTAATATAACAATACGAGGGCGTGCTCTAGCCAGGTCACAGCACACCAAATGCCTCTCTCTCTTCAATCCCTCGGTCTTTGTGACCATCAATGCACATCTGCTGCTCCTCCTCTACTCGTGCTGCCCTCAATGCATCACTGCTGCTGCCTCCCCAACTTCTGCTCCGGTCCGAGATCCTTCTCCGATCCGTTTCCATTCCCTCCTAGGTCCATTATTTTTTGTTTTGACGTTTTCCAACCCTAGCTAACGCGCCACTTCTGCCAGGTCCTCTCGACCCTGCTACCAATCGTTCCAAAGCCACGCGTGGAAAGCAGCCGCCCGTCGCCACGCACGCTCTTTCCACGTCACAACAGGTGCCGCTTTGTTCCGCTGCGTTTTACCTGGTTGGTCTCTCCCACTGTGCGGTCCGCGTGACGTGGTTAACGTACTGTGTGCGTCCCATGGTCGACCTCCGCTCCTCCCACCTGCCCGACCGAAACGAAGGTCACGTAACGGCGCACGGCACACGTCACCTGCCCAAAACGGCTTCGCAGCGTATGTCCCCCGTCGATTTTAGACTAGCTCGGTCAAGGTGTCCGTCACTATTTTGGCGTCAAGTTCTCCGCGCGATGCCTCAAAAGACATCGTTCTCTGTCCGTCTGCCTATAATTATGATGAAGTAAGCAGGAACGCTCTTGTGAAGATGATCGGACATTAATTAAGCTTTAGGATACTGTTGCCTTGCTATTAGGGACTTATCCCCCCGAGAGAAAGCCAGCCCAATTGATCAAAAGGCTCAAACCAGGAAAGGGTAACATAATCCATTCGTTTATATACCATTGTTTATGCATCCTGTTAATTAACTGGAGGGAGACAATGGGGCACACTTTGCTTGTCCCCAAGTAGTATGGGTTCATCCTTTCGAGTAAACATCTCATTTCCTGAAATCTATATAAAAAAAAACCCGAATCCATTTGCCACAAAACTTGTGTCACACTGCTTACCAATAATGGTGCCCAATAACAATTTCCAAAGCTTTTGAAAATTGTTGTAAAAATAGGTTTTTTTTTTACTTAAAACATAAATATTAAGCTGCATATCAGCAATCAGCTCGTGTGCGCGACAACAGGAGAGCGCGGGTGCAAGCCGGCATGGCCAACGGTGTGTTCGTCTGTATGTGTCCATCTGTATATGCATGCGCAACTTTCATTGTACAACCAAAAAGGGCAACAACAAAAAGAGGCTCCCTTAATGCACTGCCCACTTTGTCAAAAGTACAGATGCAAAGCACAGACCGCAGGTCATGCAAGCCAGTCCATTTTACCAACCAAGCGTCCCAACGACACTTCTCAATTATTCAAGGGAAGTATTGGAAGTTGATGAAAAAAAAAAGTTTCAATAAATCGATGCCCAAATGAGCATGAAGTGTGTGCTCGTCACCAACTGTGGGCCCTGAGCCGGTGATGACAATTCCACATTGCTTAGACGGGGGCCAGTAGATATGAAATAAACACGACTTCTGACCTTCTATAAAGCGATACTCGTTTAATCGTATTTGGCGAGACAATAACAGGCTGACGCATCCAAAAAGTGGAACACGAACTCGCAACCGTATGACGGTGAGCGGATCGCTTTAACCACTAGCGCCACCCGACTGCCCTGGCAAAGCTTCGCGTGGAATAGAGTTTCTTTTCTCTTCGTTGAAATCAACGCACCGTTTTCAGTTTCATCAACACAAACCAAAATCGCGATTAAATATTAACCAGGGCATGGCCTTCTTTCCGAGGTTAAATTACCGCCGACACACGCGACTCCGCAAGCCCCGTGGCCGAGCTGGACACTAAAACATGGAACGTGGGCGGTAATCCCAAAGACACCGGGGCGCACACAGACTAAAAACTATGAAAACTTATTTTTATTTTACCAGGTAAGGCCCACCGAGTTATATAGCTCTTTTTTTCAGACGCGACCAGGCTATCACAAATGATAGCTCAACAAAGTGGCTTATCGCATGGAAATTTACAGCAGCAGCAAAACGCTCAATGCATTTTGTTGAGTCTAAATGTGGAGGGATAAACCAGAGGGGGCCCAGCGAAAATCCACGACCACAGGAAGAGAGAGACACGCAAACTCCAAAATACACAGGCGTCAGGGTCGGGATCGAACCCACGATCTCCTGTATACCAAGAGAGGGAGTTAACATCCCGCCACAATGGCGCCCGATGACATGGCCAAGCAGTTGCAAGGTTTTTCGTTTGGTGCAGAGGTTTGCGGTTCAAACCACGTGGCCGCCCTGGTTAATATTAGGGTGTTCACCATAATATTAACAACACACCATCCCCCGCCAAACTGGAGACGTTAAAAGATTCAGTGACGTTATTTGAAAAGGAGCATGACCATAAGCATAGACATCGCAGTCCAAATTTGCCAAAATCTAAACAATTGCCCTCAAATGATCTAGTTGGGTAAAACCACATGGCAAACTTTGCCTCCTATAAGGACGGTGTGAATAGCATAGGTACTCAATCATTGTTTGCATTATCATAGACGCGAACTGTGGTTACAGCTGCTGCTGCTGCTGCTGCACATGGAGATGAACCCTAGTGACCCCAACACTCACCCCTCAGGCAGGTCGTTGGGGAACAGGCCCCGGCAGTCGACCACTGCTCCACCAGTGCCGATGCGATCGCGCGACTGCAAGCTCACTGCGGAAAAAGGAACGCAAGGTTGGCGACGGCTGGCGGTATCAACTTGGCAGCATTAATAAAAAACTACAGTACAACAATGGATTTTGCTGCACTGCTCTCGGTTTGTGCAGTGCGCAGCCATAAATATACGTGGGTGAAAAAGGGCACGGTTATGGCTAAGGCAGGAATACGGCCTGAACTATCCGATTGGCTAAAGCAGAGAACTATTTTTCAGGGCGGCGGAAACAAAAAAAAAATTCGGCTCCAACACTGCGAGCCAAAGCGTTGGACAGGAAACACTTACAGACGATCTGTCCCCTGACGGTGTCGTTGCTGCTTTGGCCGAGTCTGCAGAGGTCCAGGCGCTGATCTGTGTACGTAGTTGTTCAGGGGGGAGGGGGAAGAGAGGAAATTCACCGCGCACGCGTGGAAACAACGCGTCACTTATCAAACCTGCAAGACCACACGAGACCGTATCAAGAACGTGAACTTTAAACGAGGCAATGCAGCCGGTGACATTTGAAGCCGTGTCTCTGCTCCAGTTAAAGCTTCCGCGAGGTGCTATGAGTCAGCTTTTTTTGTCAGCAAAGTGAAATTATACATTGCCATGACAGGGGCCAGTCACTCCAAATGTGTTACAAATGCCGAGTTTCCAAAGAGCGGTATCATTTTATCAACCTCGCGTGGGGATAAAGGGATCAAGTTGACCACAGGGGCCACGGGTTGGTTTGCGAGTCACGCACTCTGACCACAAGGCCTCCTGTTTGGATTTCGAAAAGGTCTGGCTTTAAAGAGACGCACTAACCGCGTAGCGGGAGAGTGATGCAAATTCCTGCAAGTGTTGCTCTCGATGCAACTGCTGAATTATACAGGGTCATCCGTTTACAGATACCACACCGATTTATAATGACACTCATACTTTCTTCGCAACAGGGGTGATTGAATAGCGTGAATGTAGTAAGCAAATTAGAATGGCTATGTTGGTGGACAAAGTGTATTGAGATTTAATGAGAGATGTGCAGAGGCTTTCAAGTTCACGATCATTTCTGCTGAATATTTGAGTTCGGTATCTAGAAACGGATCGCCCTGTATTTTACAATGCGACTTGTATTTTACACGATGCCGAGGGTACGTTTCCCCGCCCCCAAGATGCCGTATGAGAGGAGAGACAGCACAAGTGCGGGGGGAGCAAGGGAAAACTAAAATAAATAAAAACGCAGCGAAGATGACTATGAAATAACAAGGCGGACAGAAAAGCGAGCGGCTGGCGGAGGAGGAGGAGGAAGATCTGAAACTTAGACTTGAACAGGGAGAGGAGGACAGCAGTGCAGACAGCCTGGAGGAGGAAGTTCCAGACAGCGTGGTCTGCAGAAGGGAAGGAGCGACCTCCTACTGAGCAGAGGCAGACAGTTATAGTCACACCTCAGCATAAGAAAAATATTTCCCTTCCCCACCCCCCGCCGCTTGGGGTATGTCAATATTTCCGCCGAGCGTGTAAAAAAAAACTCAAAGCCAGCAAATTCCTTTTTTGGGGCACAAAATCATCTTCCCCCTCTTTTTGTGGCAAGTCCATCAGTTTCCACGTTGTTTACATTTCACGTAGGGCTATCAAAGTGCACGTCATGTTGTGGCCAGAGGCACAAGAAAACCGAGATTGAGATACGATTATCCACATCGTAACTGGCGTAGCAGTAGCACCCGCAAGCTGAACACAGCACACGATGATTTTGGATGCAATGATTCATCGACTCGAATCGATTTTTACACGTGCAGCACATGCATTGCGAATGTGCGTTTAAAGAATGATTTTCAACATTTTTAAGTTTAGATTTTATATCGCTATATTTCTTTACAGAGTAGCGGTGGTGCAGCGGTTAGCCCACTGTGCCATGGACACGATGATCCGAGTTCGATTCCCAACTGTGGCTAAAATCAGTGGCTGAAGTCAAGTCAAACAACCCCTCACGACGACATAGGCAGGGGCCTTCATCCAGCAGCGGATTGACAAAGGGCTGTGTACAATTCAAATAGATCATACAGATTCACATTACTTTAAGATTATAAACAAAAAAAGACTTAAGTTTGAATTGTGGCGACGGAATCGGGAATAAATCTTTCACATGCATAATAATTAAAGTTAACAACCAATAATAATGTGCATTTCCACAGAACATTCCACAGGCGTCTGGGACACGCAAAACTTTAAGGAACTCGGTGTTTGCAGCTGAACTAAATCATCTGTTCAACAGACATTCCTCGCTCCCATGAAGACGGGTGGAAACTAAAATTTTAAAAAAATCCCAACCTCAACAATAGGAATTTTCCCCACGAGGCCACAACGCAATGTGGTCAAAAGGTTAAGCGGCAGTGGCGGTGCAGGCGCGCGTGTGCGCAACATCAGCGTGAATCCAATGGGGGAGGGGGGGGAGCCCGCCGAGGGCCGACTCACATCCCGTGTCCTTGATGCGAGAGATGAGGTTGGAGAGCAGACGCACGCAGCCCAGGAAGCCGGCGCCCTGCTTCTTGTGGATCTTCTTGCGGTTCCACACGCTGATGGTGATGGAGTCGGACTTGCTGATGTACCTGCACGCCACAAAACAGAACGATGGGTGAGGGGCAGGGTGGGGGTAATTTTGAGAGCGTAAGCGCCGCTTTATCCCTTTCCTCCCTGCGTTTGATAGGCTGCTCAAATAACGCGACGGCCGACGGTGCTTTCTTTGGACGGGCGCCGGTTTCAGAACAGCGCGGGGCGGGGCGAGAGGGCGATACGCTAACGGCCGCTTGTGCGGTAAGGATGCCGTTTGTATGCCACGCGCGCGGCGGCGGCGACACCGGCTCTGTGCTCCACTTAGCAAAGTCAACGAGTTTAAACGGCCGAGTACACAATACCTGCCGACAAGAGACGCCGTGTGAAAAGAAGGAAAGTGAACGACCACTTAAGGCAAAGACGAGAATTGTATCGCGCAAAGCGGGAAAACGTGCGAATGGGTCAATGGACTGTCGGCCACGAAAGCATCTACATAAGAGATTTGTGGGTTAGATTCGCATAAATATAAACGTGTCGTTAACACCACCACCACCACACACAGCCAATTACTAAGCTTTGTCACGTAAACAAAACATGCCAATTCGTTTACAATTCGAGTACGACGTGTCGCCGGTAATTACAACAGCCAGCATCAGAGTTGTGGAGAACCCTCCTGTTTCGGTCTTAAACAGATGAGGGATATGTGTGCAGAGGACTATTGTGGGTATCCCATGAGGGGGGCGAACGGGTTGAGAGTCTTGTGGGGCCAAGGATGACGTAACATTATGGGTTACATACTCTTAGGTTTTTTCGGTAAAGTAACGTAGGTAAAAAAAAATTTAAATTAACAAAAGTAAAATTAAAATTACGACGTTTCGGAGGCAACACAAGCTTCCGTCTTCAGGTGGAACCGTCACAGCACGATTGCTGAAGACGGAAGCTTGTGTTGCCTCCGAAACGTCGTGATTTTTATTTTTATTTACTTTCATTAATTTTAATTTTTTACCTACGTGACTTTACCGAAAAAACCTAAGAGTATGAATCCTTGCAGTCACGAAAGCTTCAAATCCAGAATTACGGGTTACGTAAGGGGCTTTCGGATGGCACTTGCAAGAAGGTGGGCGGTGCCGAGCTGGGGGGAGGGCCGCCCAAAGGGGTTCTTAAGGGGGACCCCGTGACGGGGGCGAGTTCGTCGTTGGAGGCCAGGGTAAGGAGCGGCTGGAAGAGGGTCTCTCTCCTCGTCTGCCCGGAGCGGTGTTGGCTGATCCCCCGCTCCGGGCAGACGAGTGAGAGGGCCGAGAGGATAGCCGGGGTCGGCTCTTGATAGTTACTAAGTGTCCGGGTGAAGGACCGAGACAGAGTGCACCTACACTGGTGTGAGTGGAGGATGCCGAGTGAGAAAGTGTTTAACAAACAGCAATATCGCTTATAATATTCCTCATCTCCGCGTGGTTCTACTGCACAACCTATGTGATGTCGTCACTTGTGAGCAAATTAGGTATAAAGGCCGGTGGGGGGGGGGGGGGGGAGGTTAACGTATGTATATCATAACCCAACCTCTATCATGTATTTTGGTCGCAAAAGCCTACGTGTTCAACCGAAAGCATCTCCGTCGGCCAAAACCAACATTGGGTGGGTGGGTGGGCGGCGGTGATTCTCTCCTGCAACTTCCACATGCCTATTGCAGGGGCTGTTCTTCATAGGATTTAGCTTGCAAGGCATCATTCACCCAATTAAATTGCAGTGAAACCAAATTGCAGGGGGGGGGGGATGGGGAAATTCTAAAAAATAAAAACAAATTGTACACACGAGCAGTAACGATTCTTTCCCCCTGGTGAATCAACTGTCGTGATGCAGGGTTGTAATTCATTTAGAGAATCTATGAGATCGTACCATTGTGGAGAATGCACTGGCCTCTTAGCGCACAGGGGGGTTCAAGCGAACCCGCTGCACATACAACATACACGAATAACATAAAATAAATGCATCAATTCAAACGCGCGTCATCACTGAACGCGCCTATCAACGTAATAATAATCCGCGTGAATCATTGCACCCACGAGTAAAGGCTGCAGTCTAGCGATTAACTCGCGCGCCGTACCGCCACCTCGTTAAACATTTGCCGCGCACCCTTCGCCACGACGGGCCCGAGAGAAAGAGTGTACAGCGATACACAGTGTGAAGCAGAGCGTTGTCACAGTGGCAGCCGGAGGTTGCGAGGCGCTTACAGGTCATAGTGCTGGTTCCACTTGGGGTCCAGAGTGTTCCTCACGGTGTCGGTGGAGTGGCACTCGCCCGAGCCCTCCACCATGATCTTGGCGAACGGATCCGGCAGCCCTGCACGCGGTCGGTCAAGCACGACGGAGTCTTTTATTTATTACCCCGAGTTCGCATGCGCCGGCCAGACTTGAAGCGAGCCGGACACGGCGAGACGTCAGCCCCCCAGCCACTCGCGCACTTCACCTCCTCAACCAGCCACCCTGTTACCCACCTTACACACTTCGCTCACCCATCCACTGATCCAATTAAGTCACTAAACCACCCACTCACCCACCAACTCACCTTCAAACCACTCACCTATTCACCCAATAACCCACTCATTCACCCACCCCCCCCCCATCTACTCATCAACCTTCTAATCCACCTACCCACACAACTACTAAATCACCCATCTACTCACTCACTCACCCTCCCACTCACAAACCCACCTACCCACGCATAAACTGGCAATGCAATGAGCATCAACATGATAATAATGTAATTTATTGATTTAGAAAGGCCTCTGAGCTGTATTCAGGAGGGCCCTGCATAAGAATGTTTGGTAAATTCCTTCATTCTCTTTTAATGAGTACATTGCGTGTGGCTATAAACCAGAATACACAGGTACAATCCACGCATGTTTGATCAAAACACTCGAATATCTGCATTGAGGGATTTGCAAAGCAACTTTTTGTACGGTCATCTCCCGGGCCATGCTGCAAATCTGTGATCCACCAATGCTTGGCACTAAAAGTGCTGGTTTACAGGCGTGTACACGCCACCACTCCCGGTCACAGAATTCTCTTTAGATTTAAAATACAGTTTAAGAAACTTAACTACATTTTCAGGTCAACATTTATATTTTCACATGCTAAACAGAACCCACTCTTTGCACAAATTGCAAATGCATGAAGAATTAAGCGGCACAATAACGCACTTGAATTGCCATTTCCAAGCAGGCTTTGCTTCTGATAAATGTACGGAAACAGTTTTTGACAAATGAATGCCTGGAAAAGCCCAGGCATTATTTACTTTCCTCAGGAGCCTGGAGATGACGAGTTGGCAAGGGCACTGCATTTTCCGCGCGTCCGCAGTTGCCGGTTTCAATTAAAGCCGGTGCAGGGAACAGACGAGGAACCACAGCCTAGCACGTGACTCCACCATCGCGTCTCCGGTTTTGGCGATCACTCAAATAATCTGTGGCCACATGGCAAATGCGCACGTATTGCACACAATGCCGAAACAATGACATCCCAATGCTTCTTCCCCGTAGGCTTTTCGCGGTTGCGCCATACGGCTGTCTGATGTGTTTGCGTTGTTCAACGTTTCGAGTTCCTAAAGGATCTCCCAGCACGTGGGAGAGAAACGTCGGACATCGTGACGGAGATACATTCTAAACACAATTTAGTGACTGGCAGGATTATCATTTGAGTCTTAAAGCTGAAACCGGTGAGGAGTTCTCAGATGTGTCGCTAGATACATTTGGCAAAACAAGCGAGCAAAGTAGACTTAAGTGCTGAAAGAGATTATAAGGACGGTCTGCAATAGGGGCAGCTGAGAAAAGGAATTGAGAAACTGCCAGACCCGTCTCCGATGATTTTCACTACACATGGACCGCACATTAGCAGCAGCGCAAAAACACTTAAACAAGAGCCATTTTCGGTTACTGTCATTTCTTCCTGTGGCCGTCACGGTTTAACGCTGGCTTCTACCGAAGGTGGTGGTGGTGGGGGTGTAAAAAAAATATAACTCTGGCTGAACTTGCTGGAGAGGAAAAGGAGTGAGGCACTGCCAGTCGCCTCGCGTTTGCTTCCCGATTAAAAATTCAGGCTCTCCTGGTAAAAACTCCATGCCTCGCCGAGTAAGAATCTAGCACGTGACCGAGTACAGATGGTATCATGTGACCTTCTGGGGTCACGATGGACGCCCCCCCTCCCACATCCCCCCCTCCCAATGCTCACCCCCCGCCCCTGCGACGCCCACCGCCACCACCGTCGACTGACGCCTTGGGGCCGACGTGCTGTTGACCTTCACGGTCTCCGTGGCAGTCACAAGGTCACGAGGAAAGTATTTTTTTAAAAGGACCGGATCCCAAGTCCAAAAATACAACCAGAAACCGCAGAGTTGATGGACAGCACGTACAGCTGGGCACAGGGCACCCACTGGCGATTGGACGCGGCGGCGCCGCTAAGCAGCGCAGAGCAAAGTCGTCGCGTAATTTACTATTGTTAATTGTTTATCGTGCGTAGGTTTGTTGATAAGTGAGCTCATGTATATGAAGGTGCGGGGAGCAAAGTGTGCCCTTGCTGTTCGCAGCAGAAGACGGAGGGAGGGAAGGGATGTGGGTGAAGTGGTACTCACTGAAGAAATCTTTCTTGGCCAAGTTCTTGGCACAGAGCACTGCAAAACAAGAAGCCCGTTCATGCACTCGGTTAGAAAGCTGAAAACCAGAGACCTAACTCCAGCCACGTGCGTAACAGTTTCACTCGGAACTGCCAGGAATTCGAGCACTATTGCCATTCACTCTTTTTTGAAAACTACAATTCTTGTACTCAACCACTTTACAGTTAACGGAACCGTTGCAAACCAGCAAAAGCTAGTAATACGTACACATTACAACCGATGACTTTTTCTGATGCCGCTAAATTGCTGCTGGACTTTTCTTTTTTTTCCCCCCCCCCACCGCAAAATCCCCCGAACGCCGGAGCCAAACCTAACAAAAACCCAGCGCCGACCTAACGTTACATGGGCGTATTTATGTAAACACCGTAATGTGCTGCCTCTCACCGAGTGCGATAGAGGGCCGGGCATTTAAATGGAGGCCATGTGGAGGGAGCTGCGTTCGCAAACGACGCCAAACGACTTTCCTACCAACATCTCCCAGCAAAACGGCGTCAACGACTTTCCTACCAACATCTTCCAGAAAAACTACGCCAACTACTTTCACACCAACATCTCCCAGCAAAACCACGCCAACGACTTTCCCACCAACATCTCCTAGAAAAAACACACCAACGACTTTCCCACCAACATCTCCCAGCAAAACCACGCCCATGACTTTCCCACCAACATCTCCCATAAAAAACACACCAACGACTTTCCCACCAACATCTCCCAGCAAAACCACGCCCATGACTTTCCCACCAACATCTCCCATAAAAAACACACCAACGACTTTCCCACCAACATCTCCCAGAAAAACTACATCAACGACTTTCACACCAACATCTCCCTGAAAAACTACACCAATGACTTTCCCACCAACATCTCCCAGAAAAAAACACGCCAACGACTTTCCCACCAACATCTCCCAGAAAAACTACATCAACTACTTTCACACCAACATCTCCCTGAAAAACTACGCCCATGACTTTCCCACCAACATCTCCCAGAAAAACTACATCAACTACTTTCACACCAACATCTCCCAGCAAAACCACGCCAACGACTTTCCCACCAACATCTCCCAGAAAAACTACATCAACTACTTTCACACCAACATCTCCCTGAAAAACTACGCCAATGACTTTCCCACCAACATCTCCCTGAAAAACTACACCAATGACTTTCCCACCAACATCTCCCTGAAAAACTACATCAACTACTTTCCCACCAACATCTCCCTGAAAAACTACACCAATGACTTTCCCACCAACATCTCCCTGAAAAACTACACCAATGACTTTCCCACCAACATCTCCCTGAAAAACTACACCAATGACTTTCCCACCAACATCTCCCTGAAAAACTACATCAACTACTTTCCCACCAACATCTCCCTGAAAAACTACACCAATGACTTTCCCACCAACATCTCCCTGAAAAACTACACCAATGACTTTCCCACCAACATCTCCCTGAAAAACTACACCAATGACTTTCCCACCAACATCTCCCTGAAAAACTACATCAACTACTTTCACACCAACATCTCCCTGAAAAACTACACCAATGACTTTCCCACCAACATCTCCCTGAAAAACTACACCAATGACTTTCCCACCAACATCTCCCTGAAAAACTACACCAATGACTTTCCCACCAACATCTCCCTGAAAAACTACACCAATGACTTTCCCACCAACATCTCCCTGAAAAACTACATCAACTACTTTCCCACCAACATCTCCCTGAAAAACTACACCAATGACTTTCCCACCAACATCTCCCTGAAAAACTACACCAATGACTTTCCCACCAACATCTCCCTGAAAAACTACACCAATGACTTTCCCACCAACATCTCCCTGAAAAACTACATCAACTACTTTCACACCAACATCTCCCTGAAAAACTACACCAATGACTTTCCCACCAACATCTCCCTGAAAAACTACATCAACTACTTTCCCACCAACATCTCCCTGAAAAACTACACCAATGACTTTCCCACCAACATCTCCCTGAAAAACTACATCAACTACTTTCACACCAACATCTCCCTGAAAAACTACGCCAATGACTTTCCCACCAACATCTCCCAGAAAAACTAAGCCAACGATTTTCCCACCAACATCTCCCAGAAAAACTAAGCCAACGATTTTCCCACCAACATCTCCCAGAAAAAAAACACGCCCATGACTTTCCCACCAACATCCCCAAGCAAAACTGCACCAACGACTTTCCCACCAACATCTCCCAGAAAAAACACGCCAATGACTTTCCCACCAACATCTCCCAGAAAAAACACGCCCATGACTTTCCCACCAACATCTCCCAGAAAAAAAACACGCCCATGACTTTCCCACCAACATCCCCAAGCAAAACTGCACCAACGACTTTCCCAGCAACATCTCCCAGAAAAAACACGCCCATGACTTTCCCAGCAACATCTCCCTAAAAAACGCCAATGACTTTCCCACCAACATCTCCCAGAAAAAACACGCCCATGACTTTCCCAGCAACATCTCCCAGAAAAACTACATCAACTACTTTCACACCAACATCTCCCTGAAAAACTACATCAACTACTTTCACACCAACATCTCCCAGAAAAAAACACGCCAATGACTTTCCCAGCAACATCTCCCAGGAAAAAACACGCCCATGACTTTCCCAGCAACATCTCCCTGAAAAAACACGCCAATGACTTTCCCACCAACATCTCCCTGAAAAACGCCAACGACTTTCCCAGCAACATCTCCCAGAAAAAAAACACGCCAATGACTTTCCCAGCAACATCTCCGAGCAAAACTGCACCAACGACTTTCCCACCAAGTTCAACTCCCATGCGCTCCCCTCACTTGTCCACCCCCTAAAAGCACTGGCTTTAATGTTCACTTGCACAACTCGGAAAGAATTTACTTGCAGCAATTTTCACTCGCTCAGGTTTTTATATTTTTGTTGCCGTTTTCATTTTATGTCATCGTAACATATCGCCGGAACAAATTCCCGCAGGGGGGGGGGGGGGGGGTGAATATCACGGTCAATAGAAAGTGAAAACAAAGGACCCGTTCGCGTAAAGCAGTCCAAATCCAGCGCACGGCAAAGAATCCGGAGCTATGGCCATTTACGTCGAGCTGGTGGCACGGCTCCATTCCACTAGTGAAGGAATTCATGAAACGCGCGCACACTATACACGGTGGTGAGAGAGAAAAACGAGTGCCGTTTTCCGTTTTTTTTTCAAGGAGGGCCCCTCGCAAATGCCAGACCCTTTGACATTCACCAAGGCCGCACCTCGAAGGCAAGCCGGTTTGCCTCCGTGTATTAATGAGTCACTTGTTGCCAGAGAGCGTCTCGTGACGCACCGTTAAGCATTGTGTGCAGTTTACATCCTGATTCCTATCGATGCGTTCTCCGTTCTCCGGTATGCGATGGATGAGAGAGAACATAATGAGCGGCCAGAAACACTCAGCACTTTTGGCCGCAGTCACCACTTCAAAAAAAAGGCGCCTTACTGTTTGCACCCATAACTACGCCGCCGCACAGAAGATGCAGACGAAATTAGCAGCGATGTTAAGGAAACGTGAAAACAAAGGGCACTGTTGTGGCAGTGATTGCGACACAGTATACCCAGTGTCTACAATTCATGTTAAACTTGTATGTTCTGTTGGGCGGAGTGGTGGAGCAGCGGTTAGCAAAATGCGCTAGGAACCCACTGACAAGAGTTGCATGCCCGACCAGGGATAACACGAGTGGCAAGTGATATATAAAATGGTCCAAGGCAAAATGCCCTCTCGCCAATCAGCAGCTATAATCGGTGTGGTGAAGCATGGTCAACCAACACCCCCCCCCCCCCCCCATTACCAACATTGCCTGGGGAGGCCTTAATCCAGCAGTGGATTAATCAATGGCAGAAAATTATGATATATTACTATAATCGTTTATATTCACACATCAGAGCCTTTAAAACGTGTTATATAGGGTAACCAGTCGTGGCAAATGTACGTAAACTTTACTATGTCACGTGCGAGAAAGACGAACTGACTGTGTTGATTATATAATGAGAGCCGGTGTTGACTGCTGCAGACACATCACAACATTCCTCTCTTCCGTTTCCATTCCACAAAATAATGCTTCACCCCCCCCCCCCCTTCCAAGTTTGACCATTTTTACTTTGACCCGAAGCAGCGCTCTGCTGACGCAGCAGCTCCTGCCGCCGCTGCACATACCATTACCACTCTCCTTTTGTATTCCCCGCGGCTCAATCCCCTCGGCGGTGCGAACACGAAAACCCACACGAACGATACTGTACAGCAGGGACAAGCATGAACCCTACCCTAACCACCGACCCCCCTCCACCCCACCTCGCAACCCATCCAAAACTGGCCCCCCACACTCCTCGTTCATACAATGCCACCACTGGCGAGTCGTTGCACCGAGGCCTTAATGCCTGCCTTTGTCTGGACAAGTGCAACCCCAAAGGCTTTTCTATAATAAACCTTAATTACACGCGCAAGAGTCGGCGGCCAGTGGCATGACACGCAGTGTTTCCAAAGCCAGCGCTGCCAAAAGCCGTCTTCTCAATTCCCATTGTTGTCCCACTTTATTTACTTGCGCGCGCGCGAATATTCGCGTCTACGCCGCGCGCGAGCGTGTTACAGTCGACGGCGCAAAATGGGATGCAAGCTTTAGTTGGAATTGGGGGACCCCCCCCCATCTCCCCCTGACTCACCCCGCACCCCACCCCCCCCCAACATAATTTATTCACGCTTGTACAGATGGACGCGCGGTAACGTCCATCTGCGATGTGTATACAACGCGAATGGTTTCCCAGCTCAAACGATCGTTGGGCAGTGTGGTTTTCATGTCGATCAGCGGCCCTCGGCCAGTGATGGATATTCCACATTGCGGGTGCATGGGGGCAGTGTCTTCATAAGACAACCACTGCTGGGGTGTACATGCACAGCCGCTTTGTTAATCCACTGCTAGATGAGGATTCTCCCTACAAGGAGCGGGTGATGGGGGAGGGCGTTATTTGACCAGAACTTTACCGAGCTGGTCAGTGACAGGTTGTAGAAGACAGGGAGCAAAGGACATCAGAATCTTTATTTATCCTGGAGAAAAACGATGAGCTACGAAACTCTTTTTCACAGATGTCCCGTAGACATGGGAGCATAGGAATACAGTGCAACAATTGATTTTGCTGCGCTGACTTCTAGTTTCTACCACATGGACCTGCAGCCGGAAAACAATGTGGTGGTCACACATCAAAGCACTATCCAAGGCCCCAATATGCTGAGCTTATGAGATCGAACGAAATCGGGCACATTGTTTGCAATTTAGTCCGTCTTACTGAAATGAATGTATGTTCAGGCAGTAATGGTTTCACGAGATATAAACTGTCTTTTTTACCAACTCTTTTCTCGCCTCTTTCTCTCAGTAATCGCATCGTAAAATGTCCCCTTTAACTAAAAGCCACTTTCTATACATCCCTCTGCTCCGACAAGGAGCCAGTAATTGAAACCGTGAGCTTATTATTCACCACCAGTCATGATCAATCCACTGCTGGATGCAGGCCTCCCCCATCTGTCACCAGCTCTCATTGTCCTGTAAAAAAGCTTCAGCGTCTACACACGACCTGATTTTTATTGCTCCGTCTCCACTGTAGACATCCTCTCAGGCACTTTGCAGCGCATGTTATGTTTACAGTTTTAAAATGGTGGTCAAGTATTTTTGGTATTTTCAGCCTGTCCTGTAACCATGACTAATGTTCCCATGAACTTCACTCATTCAAACATCTACCCAGTCCAGGACTCGGTTTACCAGACTGGCTTTAATCTCATCCAGAGCATGTTCAACCACCATACTGCAGGCCGAAACACTCCTTTCTGCTTCTTTCATTTCTGCTTTTTTTCCCATTACACTCCTCAGTTTCAGCATTCCCTGCCACCGTCTTTTCCCACTATTTTTACAACAATGCTCAATTCATGAGTTGTATTAAGGACCGTCGATTAATTACACCTTCAGCAGTTTAGTTTGTCGCTGACCAATTGGCACGAGTCTTGGGCCTGTACTCTGCAACCTCGATTTTAAAATATGTAACGGATAAACCAAGAATCCCACCACATCACCCCACTCTTGTCCTGCACATGTAAAACATTAGTAGCCAAAGCAGAGGGGAGGTGGCGTGACTCAAAAAACTGAGCTCCACAGCCCCTTCACTGGATCACCACCCAGACCATCAAATGCGCTAACGCGGCTCACTGTGAATCATTACGCCCAGTCTGGACCCTGGAATGGCAAGGGCTCGAGACCTTTGTGGTGTAAGAAATCTCACCAAACCTCATTGTTGTTGCCGTCTGGTCTGGTCGTGCCCTTGGCTCAATGGCTACACTGGCGATTCGTGCACAAATCTTTAAAAGGCCAAGCATTTTAAAAAACCACTCAGCTGATGCCAATGCTTGAGACCGTTCACAAAGCCTGTGCGAGACCTCACTAACATTCATTGTTGTTTATGTATGGTGGTGCCCTTGACTTTATGACTTTTGAAAAAGCCCTCTGATGTACGAATAAGCACAGTGCACTAATAATCATCATCATCAGCCATGATCAATCCACATCTGGATTAAGGCTTCCCCTAGCCGTTGCAAGCTCAATGTTCTGCGACCTCACAATCCACATAGCCGCGAACACACGAGCTCATTCCATTGCTCCAATAATTTACTCGACAATAAATGATGCACTGCTGGATGTGGGGTTGTATGAACTATACTTTACCACACTAGTCGGTACGCATTGACAATGGGGGGGGGGGGGGGTTGAGTTAGTGGTGCCCATGACCGGTTTCACATATTACTAACAGATGTGCGCGTATGTAACAATGTAATAATGTACAGCTCCCTTTGTCAATGCATTGCGGATGAGGCCTCAGCCAAGCCACGTCGGTCGTGGGTTGCTTTGACCATACCTCACCATACCGGTGCTCCGTAAATATATACACGGCACACAAAAGATACAGGCCAACGTTGCGGTGGTAAACCCACTCTTGTTTCCTAGCTAGCACCGTGAAAAACCCGACCGCCTCGCCAAACTACCACCAACAAAGAGAGGGGGGGGGGGGGAGACGAACAGAATAAAAACACAAGGACAGAAAGCCGGGCAGAGGCGGCCAAGGTCTGAACCAGGCAGGCATATCTGCGATCTAACAAGAGAGTGAGAGATGATGATGGTGGTGGTGGTGGGACCTTTGTCTTAAATTTAAAACCCACGGCAAATTCCTCGTTCAACAGAAATCCCGACACCTCGCCCCAGTGCACGGGCTATTTAATTAAGTCTCCTGAGCGAAGGCTTCACATGCGTGCAATCTCCCCCCCCCCCTTCCTTCCATGTCGTCGTCGTCCTTGTTGCTTCTCTTTGTTTCGTCGTTTTTATAAATGTCGAGGCAGTCATTAGCTTTAAAGGAGCGTCGTGTGTGTGTATATATACTGTATTATGGCGACCGTAGAGGGAGCTTTTGTGTATTATGGCAATACGGTCTATTTATACGGCCATAGTGGTCGTGCAGCATCAACGTGCATTGTTTCTAGACAATCTAACGCATCAATAGACGCCGAATACAAATTAGTCGGAACTAAAGGTCGTATTTGCGGTTAAACCGAGACTTCTTTAAGCGCGCCCAAGTCTAACACGCCTCACCGCCGAGGCCTAGCCACGCCCGCCGAAGCCTTACGATTATCCTAGTTTTCCCTGCGGGGCAGCGAGCGCCCGAGCCCGGCCAAGGCCGCGTCAACAAAAGGCGGCGGTTGGTGGCGCTTTTCGTCGGAACACACGCGTAGAAGAAGAAGAGCCACGAACGAGCACGCAAAAAAACGCGGCTCTTACCCGTCAGTCGAAGCTTGGTGGCACCGTTCCGTCGCGTGACCGCGTTGGACATGTTTGTGGCGTGAGGGGAAAAAGCCTCAAAGCCGCCCGCTCGCTCGCCTCTGTGCTCCGTCGCCTCCCGTGTAATGGCTTCCGTCACCTCGCCTCCTTCGCGCAGGACCCGGATGTTCGGGGCGTCCCGCGGTGACGTCACTGTTCGCCTGCACCGCCTCCCGTGACCGGGTTCGATTCCAGCTCTCGGCGAGGAATTGAATATTATAACGCGTGGACTTTTCGCGATAAATTTCATCCGTAATAGCCATAGTCATTTATATGCATTCATTGATTACCCCCCCCCTCCCTCCCCCAAGTGATGTCATCAAATCCTCTACTTAAGGAACGAAACAGGGTTTAAATTTCGATGTAAAGCTTTCGTGACTGCAGGGATTCATCTTCTTGGTTCTTTCGGTAAAGTCACGTAGAATGGAAATAATAAAATTATAAAAATAAAATATGATAAAATAATTCTCACGACGTTTCGGCCACAACGCAAGCAGCCGTCCTCAGGTGTAGAACAGGTCTGTCGAGAAGACAGAACCAAGAAGATGAAGCAGGGTTTCTCCATAAATCTGGCTGTCGCCCTGATTAAGCTGGTTGTAGTTACTGGCGAAACGTCGTACTCAGATTGTAAATGTTGTGTAGATTTGCTCTGCAACGCACCGGTTAGTGCTGTACTCGTAACGAATTGGCACGTTCTGTTTACGTGACAAACCTTACTAATTGGCTGTGTCGGGTGGTGGCGGGTTTAACGACGCAACATTTATATATTTACGCGATCTAACCCAAAAAAAACTGTATTGTGGAGAATATTACGTTTTTATTTATTTCCCAAAGCATTTATTGTTACGTATTTTTGTGCCTTGTTTTTCAAAAGTGATGCGCACCTATTAAAATGCATGAATCGGTGTGTATTATTTTTCATATTCTTTGGGTCTTTCGCTAAAGTCACGTAGATAGCATAATATGACTTTGAGACCCCCCACCACCTACATATTCCTAATCTCATATCTGCATTTGTCATAAATATGCTAAATTCCTCTATTGATATGTAAACTCCTTTGTCAAGGCTCTCTCCTCCTCCGACCCATCTTAAATATACGCTGCCAAGCTTGGCGGTGTTCATTCGGACGCTGTCTTTCCGACAGCCCTGTTCTCACCTGAGGACGGCTGCTTGCGTTGTGGCCGAAACGTCGTGAGAATTTTATCTTATCATGTTTTATTTTTATTATTTTATTATTTCCCTTCTATGTGACTTTACCGAAAGAACCAAGAATATGAATTCATGCAGTCACGAAAGCTTTAAATTGAAATTTCACGTAGATAGGTTCAAAGAAAATAACCTATCTACGCGACTTTACCGAAAGACCCCAAAAATATGAATTCCTACAGTCACGAAAGCTTTCAGTCGGTGTACATTACCTGATTTGACATTTTGATCAGAAACATTGACAAAGACTTATGAAATCAAAGCTTAAAAAAAGTGCATTGTGTGTGTGTGTGGAGAGACACGTGCTTTTGAAATTCCACTGCGCGACAGACAGGGAAAGAGGAACACAACCCAGCAAGAATGCCAACTTTGGCGCAACGATTCCAACCACGAGCTAACGTTGGCCCAACGTTCAACATTCGCTGGGCACGCATGAGACACATTACGCAAGTTAGTGGCATCGCGTTCGACTTCAGAGGAGCAAGGGGACGGTTTGGGGCTGGAAACGCCGCGGCGAGGCGGCGTAATAGCCGATGGTCGAGACTCAGGACGGAATAGCAGCCCAAAGGTCGAGAGTACGACCGCTGCAGAAACGGAGTGATGACATCAGCTTCCTGTGGCAAGATCTACGCTGATTGTGGCATCGTGATACCCCAAAGGAATGGCGATGGCTTGTGGAGGCCTTCATCTAGCAGTGGATAGATGATGGCTGATGATCAGCTCAGCAGTGTTTATGAAACTAAAATGCAAAACTAAAACATTTTTCTTTTTTTTACCAGGTAAGGCCCACTGAGCTTATATAGCTCTTTTCAAAAGCAACCTGGCCACAAATGATAGCTCAAAGAAGCAGCCTACTCTAAAAGGCATGTTTCTAAATGTGGAGGACCCGGAGAAAAATCCACCCGATCAAGGGGAGAGAGACGTGGAAACTCCAAATATACCAGCGTCAGGGTCAGGATCGAACTCACGACCACCCTGTGTTCCAGGCGAGGTAGTTAACATCTCGTTACCGTGATCGATTACAAGAGACCGGCCCAACGTACCATTCATACACCGCACGCAATTGCTGTACACGTAATTATAGTACTCTGTCCCACCTTGTGCTATCTTTACACCCACTTATAAACCACGCACCACACACAGCGCTTACTCACCGAAGCCCCCAGCTTATTCACCCGTGTACTTGTGAGCTTCTGAATGCTCACGTTTTTATAGACGACATCCAGCCCACACCGTGACAACCACATCAAGTATTTTATTTACCCAGAGCTTAACGTACTTCGAATAAGACACAGGTAATAAAGTGAACACACACCCATGTTGTGTAAAGTGGAAATACCGGTTCGGGTGAAATTAATGAAAAATTGTAACTCTCCCGTTCGGTCCTAGTTGTGAATATAAGAATTTAAATTGTGGCCAAGTTATCGGAAATTGTGGCCAAGTTATCGGAAATTCTAGCACCATACACAGGTTGTACAACAACGCGACGTTTTATTATTGATATTATGATTGTCTTGGACTTTGAAATAGAACGTTGCATTTTTTCCATTTCATAAAAGTAAAAAAATTACGTAATTAACATTCACATTTTTTCGGCTGAGTGATATATTTTCGAAGCTGTTCAGATACCAGGATCAATGTCAGGGAATTCCTGTAAGCGGTGCAATAAACATAATACAATTCTGTACACGATACACATATTGTACTTAGATATTCGAGTCCTGTGTTAGCTGGGCACCACCGTGGCGAGATGTTAACTACCTCGCTTGGTATACAGGAGGTCGCGAGTTCGAAGTCGACGCTGACGCGTGCTCTATGTTTGGAGTTCGCATTTCTTTATCGCGTGGATTTTACTCTGGGTCCTCCGGTTTTTCCCTTCACATATCGTGCGTTTAGAGTATTTGGCTGCTGTACATTTCCACATAAGCCACTTCGTCGAGCTATCAGTTGCGACCATGCAGTCCAGTGGGCTTTACCTAGTAAAATAAAAAAAAGTTTGGTTTAGTACCTTAGAGCCCGTTGAGAATACTTCCCCATCCCTCGAGGGAGCTCTACAGAACCCTCGAGGCAGGGGGTATTCTGGCCAACCCAGTAAACATGCAACGTTGGGCCAACGTCGGCATCAAATTGTAAATCGTTGGACCAATGTTGGCCCAACGATTCCCACGTTTAATGGGGACCTGCCGATTGACTGTGTTGAACTTCTTTCGCGCCGTACGTAGCCAACCGTGCTAATCTGAGGTGGGGGGACAAACTAAACACACAAAAAACGATGTATTACTGGGAAGCTGCTGATTCACTAAGTTCATGAATCGACTTATTTATTACCTCGGATTTCAAATAAAAATAAGCTAATTTCACAGTTTATGTGCAAGCACCACTTTGCAAAAATGTACAAAACAAGTTGGAGATGAGGTCGTTGCAGGAGGCACCTTCTTATTGACTCTTAGGTTCATAGGTTCCTTCCGATGTCGTATATCCTAGTCTAGACGCAACCCTAACCGTGTTACACTGACGACGTCGAACGAAACAGCCTACAACTATCCGGCCGCGCAATAATCTCGTGAAGACGACAGCAACGACGAGACGAGTCCATTCCCAGAACCGGCAGCCCGGAGCTGTTGATTAGCTCCGCCCTGGCCACGCCCCCCTTCTCGAACCCACGAGCGAGTTCCAGGGGCTTCCAGACGAGGTCTTCCGTGACCCTTGCCCCAGTTCCTCCGCCCTGCCGGCACACCCAGTATATGCTCAACGGCGTGTGCGCCAACTGTCCACCGCAGTCGACACTATGTCACTACACGTGTAACGGTGGTGGACTTAATAAATTTAGATGAATAGAAATCCAGCCCTTTTTCCAATTCACTGCTGGCTGAAGGGCCTCCCCCACGCCAATGCCAAAGCTCGTGACGCCGTGGTGCCACAATCCACGATCCTTCGGCACATCACCTCACCGCTTCTTCTCCTCTGCAGTCACCATCCCACGTGGATGCCCTCATTTGGCCGTCATCTCATCACCGGCTCTCATCCACCAATAATTAACAAACCTCACCGGGATGTCCCATGCCCACTTTATTTACATAGACAATGTCTCTGATTTGTACGTGTTCCCCGATGCATGTGTTACTCTTTGTCTTTCGGTGTAATTCCCAGCGTGTATCTCTCCACGTGTCTTTGAACACTCTTCAGCTTATTTCATTTCTATATGCCTGCAATCCAGCAGTGGAGATCAGTACAGCAAGTGTGGAATAATCTCCCATCTGTAATCTCCCATCTGTTCCATCTGTATGGGATGGAGTGTTGCCCCCTCGCATGCATTTGATTCTTTGGGTGCCGGTTTCCTTCCACATGTAGGCATCTATTCATCGGCTGATAACACCCTAACAAATAGAGAACTGCAGAGCTTTGGGGGGGAATCTGGCACCAGCTCACCACATGAATGTTGCTGCACTTCCCGTTCTTCTGTGATTCCACCCCACGCCTCTGCTAAAAAATATCAGAGCGGAAAAAAACGCACCGATTGAAAACGTTCTTCAGTCACGTTGGTGGGAAAAAAATGTGATCATTGCATTCGGCTTGGGGGGGGAATTATTATTGAGGACACAGGTGGAAGAGGAACGCTGTTTAAATCATTCAGCCAAGGCATGCATGTCCGTGTGTAGCAGAACATTTGGTCCCGAATGCAAATCACGTTGGGTTCGCCTTAAATTTGTACAAGTTGCCTTTGGCCAAAACTACGCAGCGTGCTCTCTCGCCCTTCTCTTATTAATCTCTCCCATCTCGCTAATCTATAAATCTCATTCGTATCTATCTCGACATCTCCCGGCGAGCCAGAGCTGGGGTGGGTCACTTCCAGAACCTTCTTGGGCCGGATCTGGCCCGCGGGCTCCGCAACCTGAAGAGCC